CATATTCCCGTAAACTTAAACCATTCCCCAGGGCTCTGTCCTCTGCCACTCGCTCACTCCCTCTCCAAATCAATGACCTTCTCCATTCATCAGCCAACCCTCGCCAGCTCGCCTGTTGATCATTCATTCTTCCTCGCATCAATCAGTTTTGTTTGTACGGACGCATAAACCTACGAAACAAATGCCAGCAGCGTAGATTTGCTACCAGGAATAAAAATCCTTGCATTTGATATTGCTCCTTTCACACGGGAGGGCGTCTCAAAGCGCTTCGCAGGATTACACTACACAAGTGTAGTGCCTGTGTATTTTGCAGGAGTGCACAGTGGCCAATTTGCCATCGGGTAAACGACCGATTTGTTTGTTCTCGAAAGCGACAACCAAATCAATTAGCGAAGGGCGGCCCCGGAGAGATTCAGCGGAAATTAGATCACAAAGCAATAAAAAATACATTAAAGAAATATAAATATCAGAATTTAAAAACAGCCCACAGACAGCGAGGGATACGTCACAACTTCTTACGCTGCTGTAGGGAGACATTGTGGGGTCTGAGAAAGTATCAGAAGAAGGGAAGAAATGACAAACGTATTGGGGCATCAGAGAAACACAAGCGATCCTGCAAAACGATTCAGAAGCCTCAGACCACGTGGCGCACACACTAAAGACGCCCTGAAAGTTTTTTTTGATGAATAGGTTGCAACCCGGTTTCTAACTAAACAGTGCCACCCTGTGTCCGCGATTCAGTAAGAACACCCAAATCATTGTTAAACCTGTCCCCGCTTTAGTAACGACAATCCTCGCATTTGATACAGCGCCTTATCACGTCGGGGAGACGTCTCAAAGCGCTTCACGGAATATACTGTGAAGTGGATTGACTGTATACTTCGTGGGTGAAACGCGACAACCAAACAGTCGTGGGTTGAATGACCAGGTTACTCTTAGTATTATTTTTTTAAGGGATTATTACCCCCGGAAAGCAATCTGCTAATCAACTAATACCCAGGTTCCTACTTACTGCCAGGTAAACAGAGGTGTGTGGAGTAAGGAAACTCGCCTGAGGTTTCACCCTGTTATGATATCGTGCTTCACGTAGTTTCTGTAAAGCGTTGTGTCTTGTTAAAGGTTTAATATAAACATCAGTCAACATCTCTTTGCCTACACAATAAAACAGTCACTAAACTTTAAATTGAAGTCCTGCGGAGCAGTGAGAACATCCTCCTGACAGGAAGGGCACTGTATCAAATGCAAGAATTATTATGAATAATAATAGTATCATAATAACAATATATTAATAATAATAATATAATAATATAATAATAAACTGCAATAATAATAATAGTCCGTCGTTAATGGGTTTGCAATGCCATTATTGAGTAACAAAATAACATTAACAATCCTTGTATTTGAAACGGTGCCTTTCTTGATTGGTGGACGTCCCTAAGCGCTTCACAGGATTTACCGTACGGTGTAGTGTTGTGTGTTTTGTTGGCAGGTAATCATGAGTCAGAGTTGCCGTCGGTGAAAGCTTGGGATTCGTTGCTCTCTCGAGCCCCAAAGTATCTCCCGAGGCCCAGGAATTAACTCATTAAGCACTGAGCAGGTTTGCGTGGCGTGATAAGAGGCTCGAAACGTAACGATGGATTGTCTGGCAATCTCGAGAGGTCGTACTGCATCCCAGCACAATTGCCAGCTGGTTAACCACACGTGAATAAATCCCTGAGGGCTGCCATTGTTTCAAAGTGCTTTGTGTGTCAGCCCGGCTCAGTGGCAGCCACAGCTTTCCTCTCGCCTCTGAATCACAAGGTTGTGGGTTCAAGCGTCGTCTAAGCTGACGCCCCAATGCAGCCCTGGGGGGTGATGTTAAATTGTCGGACGTGCCGTCCTTCGGCTGAGACGTTAATCCGAGGTCCCGTCTGCCTGCTCGGGCGGACGTTAAAGATCCCGCGGTGCCACTGGAAAAGACAAGGGAGCTTCGCAACCGGCTGCCATCTTTTTCTTCTGTCGAAGAAATCACCAGAGGTTGTCAGTTAACGAGGCCCCCCCCCCCCCCTCCCCCCCTCGAATCAATGGTATTGACAGCTGCTTCAGTGTCTTTTCAACGCAGCAGCACAACACAACACAGTCGTAACACTTTAACGTTGTTAAGGTTGGCTCCACCACAGGAGACGGAAAAGAGTCCAACTCTGCTACTCTTTCCGTACTCTCGCCGTTTAAAAAAAATGGCTGTCACTCCGGCCTGCAAATGCACAGTCACTCCACTCCGCCGTAAGTCCTTTCAAGTGCTTTGAGACATCTTGACAACGTTAATAAGGATTTCCGCCCACAAACTGTACAGTCAAATCACTTTATAGTATGTTCTGTGAAGGGCTCTGAGACGTCTCAACCACGGGATAAGGCTCTATTATCCAAATGAAAAGCCTATTAGCCTTATTATTATTAAGGTGCTCTACGAAAAAGCAAGGGTTACTATTCATATTATTATGACATAAATGCAAGTTTTGTTGTTCGGTTGATCTCTGCTTTTGTCGTCACATTCAAAAAAAANGACTTTGGCCGTGTGTTGGTATTACGTGTCAGTTTTTTGTGAGAGGTTTGGGGGTATAATGCCGAGCATTGCCTTAAGGACACGGTGATTAAATCCTCTTGTGTTGCCAGTCTCCTTTTCCACCCAGTGGCTCATGTCTTGAGAGCCATCCTCAGTGCGGTGGGGGAACTATAGGCCTCGGCTCATCACCATGTACGAGGGATGTTGAATGCTGAATGCTTGTAGGTTTGAAGTGCTTGGCTGAAACAGAAAGAGAGGCCAGCGAGCCCATTCAATCTCATCTGCCTCCTAACCACCGGAACGTTCTGGAGCTTTTCAGCGCTGTGAGAGGTGGCCACACATCAAAGCACTTGCACAAACAAGGATAGCCGTCCACTCCGTTTAAGCCCAATACACACACTAATCACTGATTACCTGTCAACCTATTTTGTATACAAACGTACGAATGGGCTATAACTACCTCACTGTTACCTCACACTATTCTCCAAACCAGCAATAATTTGCCAGGATTGTACAATCCTTTTGATCTTCAAACCTGTCGTGTGGAAGCTAGTTATTTCCCGTTAACATTAATTGGCTCCAGCCTATGGCAATGCCGCCAAACGTTGAAAATACAGAACATTGGCGCCGGATAGATCCGAACGGCGACTCATTTATGGTTAACAGCAAACCCGGTTGCTTTGCTCCAGTACACCGAACGAGGTTTAGTTACCCGGGAAAACTCTGGAACGCTATGCCCGAATCGTCGGGTTGATGAACTTCACGTTGGATAAGCGGTCCGGGACCCGAGCCCACCCGAAGGGCGCTGTGTAAATGCAAGATGTTGTTGTTGTTATCGTGATTAAAGGTTGGAGGGTTGGAGGCAGTTGCAGCCCCTGTGGGTGGGGGGGGGCGGCATTTAAAAGTATTGCTGAAATAAAACCGGATAGTCCTCACGTTCTGACGTAGCGTCAAATCACTTTGGGCGGAGGTTTCTGCCGAGTACGTTTGCAGAAGAAATCTTCACCCGAGTCAACGTCGCGGCAACAGTTCCCTGAAGCTTTCGGACGGTTTTAACTTTTCGACCGGTAAAGATTGCCGGCCGCCGGTGGGGGGTGGGGTGGGGGGACAACTCTTAACGAGTTTCTACTTAAATGAGGCGAATTTCAGCCAATAAAGCACCCGAGCAGACATTGAACCTGATCTATATAAATGCAAGTTGTTGGAGTTGTTGGAGTAGTTGTTGTTGTTGTAGTTGTTGTGGTTGATCTGAGGTCATTGTTATTAATAACGACGACAATAATCGGGCCACTCGATCCCCGACTGTTTGGGGTGGGGGGGGCACCGCCGTGCGCGATTGGCTGCCGGGTTTCACCCGTAAACCGCGCAGTCAATTCACTTTACGGTGTACTCTCGTGAGGCCCTTTGGGACGTCTAGAAGACGTGATATAAGGCGCTGTATTAAACTCGAGGATTATTACTATTGTTATTATTATTATTATTATAACCTTAAGGCAGGGATCGGTGCCGAATTCGGTTCAAGGGAGTGCGACAAAAGGAAGCTATCGGAAACAGATAATAATAATAATAATAATAATAATCCTTCCGTTTGATTTAAGCCGTTCTTTGCCGCGTCTTTGAGACGTCTCACCTCAGATCAGATCAACGTGGTCGCGGGGGTGAAAGCAATGGTTGCGCCTTTACGGCTGATTCATACCCGCGCGCGAGAGAGAGAGAAAGAGAGGGAGAGAGAGTGAGAGTGAAAGTGATGAGAGGGAGAGAAAATGATGTCAGGATGAGTTGGTTGTTTGACCTCCTCAGGAATACAGCCTCAGCAGAACCGAATAATCTATACCTACATAAGAAAACCTCCAAATGGGGGGGGAGAGGGGAGAGGGGGAGGAGAGGGGAGAGGGGGAGGAGAGAGGAGAGGGGGAGGAGAGGGGGAGGAGAGAGGGGAGAGACATCCCACAGTGGCAGCCAGTCCATGTTTGCAAGGATCCAGCTGCAAAATTGGAGCCTTTTGCTCTTTGCTCAGTCTCTTGCAAAATAAAGGAGGGAGAGGGAGGGAAGGAGAGAGAGAGGGAGAGGGAGGGAGAGAGAGAGAGAGAGAGGGGGAGGGAGGGAGGGAGGGAGGGAGGGAGAGAGAAAAAGAGAGAGAGAAGGAGAGGGGGACGATTTCTTGCTTTGATCGGTAGGGGTCGTGCAGTGTCAGCATTTGCACTTTTTAAGAATCGCCTCGGAATGGGGTCTCTCTCTCTCTCTCTCTCTCTCTTTTTTCTCTCTCTCTCTCTCTCTCACTCTCCTCTCCTTTTTACTGCGCAGTCCACAAACATGGCGGAGACTGATTGAAATCTAAGGCTCTTTAAAAGGAGAGGGGAAAGGGGAGAGGAGAGGGCACAGAGACAGACACACAGACACAGAGAGAGACAGAGAGAGAGAGAGAGAGAAAAGAAAAAAAAAAGAGAGAGAGAGACAAGAGTGTGCAGGAAAGAAAGAAAGAGAGAGAGAGAGAGAGAGAACACACATCAGGACAACACAACCCCCATTCCCCAACGGAAAGTAAGTATTTAATTGGCAAAACCCAGACCAGGGCCCCCCCCCCCTCACCCCCCCCCCCCTCCCTGTGCACAGTGGGGGGAGAGGGAGAGAGAGAGAGAGAGAAGGAGAGAGAGAGAGAGGAGAGAGAGAGAGAGACGCTGCGCTCCGAAGGTCGCAACAACCGCGTTGGGATACATTGTATCCTTTTCTTTTGGTATCCGCTTTGTATCCGACGCGATGCGCGGAGTGTCGAACCCAAACAGTGGCCCGCGGGCCGGTCCCCGCACAGCGTAACTGCATTCTCTCTCTCTCTCTCTCTCCCCCTCTCCTTCCGTCTTCCCTTCTCTCTCTCTCTCTCTCTCCCCACATAACGTAACTGCATGCTCTCTCCTTCCTTCCTTCCTTCCCCCTCTCTCTCCTTCCTTCTCTCTCCTTCCTTCCCTCTCTCTATCTCTCCTTCCTTCCCTCTCTCTCCTTCCTTCCCTCTCTCTATCTCTCCTTCCTTCTCTCTCTCCCCCTCTCTCTCTCCTTCCTTCCTTCCCTCTCTCTCCCCCCCTCTCTCCTTCCTTCCTTCCTTCCCCCTTTCTCTCTCTCTCCCCCTCTCCTTCCTTCCCCTTCTCTCTCTCTCCTCTCTCTCCTTCCTTCCTTCCCTCTCTCTCTCTCCCCCTCTCTCCTTCCTTCCTTCCCTCTCTCTCCCCCTCTCTCCTTCCTTCCTTCCCCCCCTCTCTCTCTCTCTCTCCCCCTCTCCTTCCTTCCCCCTCTCTCTCTCTCCCCTTCTCTCCTTCCTTCCTTCCCCCTCTCTCCCCTTCCTCCTCCTTTCCTCCTCCAGTAGCCCCTGTGCTGCTGAAATCATTAGCTGTGTTGAGTGTACATTTGCATTGTGTGTGTATATATATATATGTGTGTGTGTGTTTCTCTCTCTCTCTCTCTCTCTCTCTGGGTGTGTGTGTGTGTGTGTCTGTCTGTGTGTGTTGTGTGTGTCTGTTCTGTGTGTGTGTGTGTTGTGTCTGTGTGTTTGTGTCTCTCTCTCTCTCTTTCCAGGGCCCTTGTGGGTCTCAGTGGATGAAATGAACATCAGCCGTCAATCACTGCACATTTGCCTGTGCCATGCGATCAGGGAGAGAGGGGGGGGGGGGGGGGGGGGTGGAGAGGGGAGAGAGAGTGGGGGTGGGGGGGGAGAAGGAGAGAGAGAGAGAGGGGAAATTGTGTGTGTTTTGTTTGTGCACATTGTGTGTGTGTATCTCACTCACTCTCTCTCACACACACACACACACACACAGAGCCCCAATGCAAGTGTTGGTTGCGATGACACAAGTGCGTCCAGAAGCACAGCTTCAGCGGATTTGCGCGTCTGTCTCTTTGGCTTTTTTTTTTAAAATTTGGGGTTTTGCAAGAACATAAATATGTGCAAAATGCACGTCGAGTGGTGTGTGTCAAAAAAAAAGCAGATGAGAGAGAGAGAGAGAGAGAGAGAGGAGAGAGGAGAGAGAGAGAGAGATGCAGAGTGTGTTTACTGTAGCAGAGGGAGGGCTTGAGTGGAAAGCTGATTTTAGTGATTGCTGATTTTTTTGCGTGAAATTGGCCTTTGCAAACCCCCAGGGGGGGCTGGGGCTGGATGCTGGTTGTAATGGTGCAAAATCGGGACAAAGGTTCCAAGATTCCCGTTTGCGGTGCAAATCCTGGGATCACACACTGCCGGTGGGGACCTCTTGGTAGTGCAGCCCCAGTCATTTGTTTACACCCAAAAGCACTGCTGGACATGGCATCATCCCAGAGCTCACCTGCCTTCCTTCAGCAGCTCTGGTTCACTCCCTGCTTTCAAACCTTCCGCTTATGGGGTGGGTGGTGGGGGGGGGGTGGGCAAAGGGACTTAATAATAATAATAATCCTTGCATTTGATATAGCGCTTTTCACGTCGGGAGGACGTCCCAAAGCGCTTCGCAGAACACACTGTAAAGTGAATTGACTGTATGTTTGTGGGCGAACGCGGCAGCCAATTGCGCACAGCAATGTCCCACAAACAGTCGTGGGATTGAAAATGACCAATTTATTATTGTTTTTGGTTTTGGAGGGATTATTATTAGGCTCTGTGTGGAGTAAGGAAACTTGCCCGAGGTTTCGCCCTCTGCCTGGAATTGAACCCAGGTCTCTCACTTGCAAAGCGAGTGCTCTAACCACTGAGCTACAGGACTTGGGATGGAATGGAATTGCAGCAACTTATTTGTAATAATATTAATACCAATAATACTAATTCTTGTGGTTGATCTAGCGCCTTATCGCGTCGTCGAGACGTCTCAAAGGATGTACCGTCAAGCGCATTGATTCTTAATTTTTTAATATGGGATCAGTTGGGACCGTACATTTCACGTGGCGTACGCAAAGTACGAGTCGTGTGAAAACAAATCCAGAGTCGGGTACGTGTTGTGTATAAATACGTACCCGAATGAAGTCGAGGTGTTGACCGCCTGGTGACTTTAAGTGGCAGTGACAAGTTAAACCAGGGTTGAGTTATGAGGAGTTTTACTGTAGTTAGTTTCAGAGGAGCAGAGCTGGCTGTTCCCCCCCCCCCCCCCCTCCCCCCTCGCTCTTTAATGACGAGTTGTATGTTGGTGGTGGGTGGGGGGGGGGCACAAGGAGGGAGAGCGATGAAAACATGCAACTACTTTGCAGAGTAACATATTACAATGTGTTAAAATTGTACACTGTAGAAATGTATGTTGCCCCCCCCCCCCATTACCACAGTCTCTACACTTTGCAGTATCTCCTGTGAAGCGCTTTTAACTGAGACGTCTCAAGGACGTGATCAGGCGCTACATCGAATGCAAGGTCATTATTATTTTTATTATTACACTTTCCTTGACTAAATCTTTTAAAACGTCTGTGTGTTTTTTTTCTTCCTCTCTTTATTTCCAGATCTGTGCCTTTCCAGCTCCTGGAACTTCCGTGACCACAGAAAGGGGTCCACCGGTGGGCTCCTGGGTTGGAACGTTAGCCGGGATGGCTGTTGTGCCGATGGGAATGGGAGCTCTCCGTTTTTAACACCGGGCGGAGGAACACCGAACACTGGGTGTATGCAGCCTGTCACCAACACCCACGCACTCGGCCTTCCCAACATCCTTTCATAGGTACAGTGTGTGTGTGTGAACGCTGTGTTAAACTGCCAATGCAGAACCTGGGAGGACATACACCGAAGACTTATTATTATAATCATTGGTGCAACTGGGACTACTAATAAGGCTACGCAGAAATTGGCTCAGCGAGCTACCAAATTATCCACCTCCTGCAGAAAATAGTTATTTCGGGAAGCTCAAATGTACGGCTAATAATAATCCTCGCATTTGATACAGCAACTCATCACGCCGTCGAGACGTCTCAAAGCGCTTCACAGAATACACTGTCGTTGACTGCAGATTTTGTGGGCGAAACGCGGCAGCCAATTGCGCACAGCGGCGTCCCCGCAAACACTCGCGGATTGAGTGGCCGAATCTTTTTTTTTTTGTCGAGAAAAGTCAAATCGGTTCAAGAGTAACGTGGCGGTGCTGTTGGCTTGGCTGACCCATCACCGAAAAACACTTAGAAAACTGTCGCGACGGAGTGATCCAAACTGCAACAACAATAATAATAATAATTATAATAATCCTTGCGTTGGATATAGTGACTTAGTAAACGTCTCAAAGCAAACGTCTCTAATACCCTTCCTCTGAACCACTTGTCATTCTTTCTTCAATGCCCCACCCCGGTACAATTCTGCTCTTGTTGGACGGTTCCCTTTGATGTGCCCTATTCTTAACAACAACAACAATAACAACAACTCGCATCGATATAGCGAGGGTAGTGTCCCATTATGTGGGGATGCCTTTTCTTTCAAAAAAGCATTCGTATTATTTCATTTGGAGGTTCTTTACAACGACCAACGTAAAGTGCCTCCAAACAATATAATGCAAATGCTTCTTTTTTAAAAAAATACTTCCCCACATTCCCAGGGCGGGTCTGTTTCACTTTCATTCGAGCTGCAGAACATTGTGTGGCCTCCGGGCACATAAACACCCAACTGTCGGAACCTGTTAACTTTGCGTTTGTAGTTTGTCTTGCAAACCTGTGGTATATTTTCTTCCTTTCTTTTTTTTTTTGCTTTTGCAGGATTCAAACTGCGTTCGATTTAGAGCAGACTGTCGGAGGCCGTCTAAAATGAGGAGACCGGGGCCACAGAAAGGTGAGAGCTTTAATTGCTTGGTCAAAGGCATGAAAGTTTCTTTCATCAACTGGTTTATTGATCGATTGATTGATTAATTGATTTGCAGTACTCTGTTTGATTAAAAACTAGCGACACAGCATGATGGGAGGAATCCGTTTCATAGTACAAGGTGTCCACAAAGTCCTGTTACCCGCCTGTTACAAAACAGCGATACAAGACTACGGAGGAGCTGAAACGAGCTGACAGAGAAGCATTTGGCCTCCTCGCTCCATCCACGTTACGGGAAGCATGGTGATGGATCATTACCTGCCATGAAAATGAGGGCGCTCACACACACACCATCCTCTGGACGTCTAAGTACAGTTAAACACTTGTACTAAATACAATGAAGAACTTCCAAATACAATTATTATCATTCTTCCCCATGTATCAGTTGTTGGTCAGTGCATTGTCGGAAAAAAAACCTGGGGCAACAGGACTTTGTGGACACTCTGCAGACTGGACTAGGGTTCGGTGAAAGGATGGTTGTGATATGGATGTTTCTCGAGATCTTTTGAAATCGATCGATGGATCCGACTGAGAGATGCTTGGGAAAGAGAAATATGTAAAGGGTATGGTGTGAAGGCAGGGGTGTGGGATTAAGGGAAGTGTTGGTGTGATATTCCCTGGGATGGTTTATGTTTGTGCAGTTTCAATGGGTCAAATGAGCTGCTCTACCTAAGGCTATGTACCTAGTGGGTCTTTGCTGAGTTTGTTGTTAAATTTGATACAGATTTCCCCTTCTCTTTGGCCATGGTACAAGGTGCATCTTACGCTACGTGATAATGTGTGTTGAGGAAGTTGGATAATTCCGTATATTCTCAAAGCGCTGCTTGTTTAAGGGTGGTTCAGGCGGGTCAGGAAACAATGTGAGTTAGTGGGGTAAGGTGGTATTTCGTCGTTGGGGGGTGTTTGTGAATAAGGTGGCACTTTTCTGATTGACTAGCTACAGGCTGCTTATTGTCGGGATGTGTAAGACACAGTGGCTGATTCCAGCCCCGAAACAGGACCTACAGAGTCTGACGGTCGACTGTTTCAGTGCTGGCATTGAATGGCATCATTTAACATTTCTGTGGAGTCCTGTGATGTAAGTCCTGGTTAGAGCACTCGCCTCGCAAGCGAGAGGACCTCTGTTTCGATTGCCGGGCCGGGCGAAACGTTAGGCAAGTTTCCTTACTCCGCACCCCTCTGTTTAGCCTGGGCCAGTCGGTAGTGCTCTCGCCCCTGAGTCAGAAGATTGTGGGGTCAAGCCCCCATGTTGGGACTTTAAACTCACACGAACTCTACAATACATTGCTGGGGGTGGTGTGGGGGGAGCAAGGAATTGTCGGGTGTGTCGTCCATTGGACGAGACGTTAAACCTTCCTCCTATAAACATCTACCTTGACGTGTCATGTAAAACTCATCTGTTTCTAACCAACAAGCATGAGCAGGTGTGCTTGTCAAAAGACTTTTTTTCCTCCAGTGAAATTTTTTTTTATTTTTTTTTTTTTGGTCAGCTGAACGTCTGACACACTCGCAAACCCATCACCGTTGCTTAAGAGCATCCAAAGCAAGCGAGAATTCCCTGCCTCCCACCTACACTTGGGAATTCCAGAGATAGATTGTTGGAATGGAATGCGCTCTCTCTCTCTCTCTCTCTCTCTCCCTGGAGAGACCCATCCGGTTTACCTAACTCCGGAAAGGAGCGCACACAATCCGGGTCGCAGGCAGGTTTAGTCTGATTGCCAAAGATGGGCTGGCTGTTTTGGTTTACTTCTGTACCTCTTACCCTCTTTTTTCCCCCCCTCCCCACCACCCCAGGGTCCACCTCGTCACGTTAGTAATGAAAGTAGGAAGGATCTGGAGGAAGCCATTCAGCCCTTTCGAGCCTTGTTCCACCAGTTGATTAGCTCACGATAGATGATGTTTTAATCTACCTTCGCTACGTTTAATCTCAAGCAATTAGGTGATGCAATTGGGCATTGTAAGTGCCCCACCCCATTCCTCTCCATCCTAAACCCTCAACCAGTCCTCCCCCCCCCACCCCGCGACAGTCTGCTCAGGGTAAATGCCAGGCAAGACTGGGCTTTGAATTTAACTCTAATCGAGAGTCCAGTGCCCTAGAATGGTAGTAATGGGCCACCTCTGACCAGAATCCTTCATTGAAATGTTTTATGCTATTGTTTTCTGCAGTGTGCGATGTCCCATCAGAGTCTGAAATATGAGCACATCTGTCAACAGGAATATTAACACAATGCCACCTTCTGTATGAGACATTCTCTTGAATTTAAAGGTATAAATGGCAATCATTCTTTATAATGTGTGTATCGCAGAGCAACAAATTGGATGGATATGTAGTGACACGATTCAGGGAAAGTAACCAGGGCTTGTGTGTGTGTGTGTGTGTGTATTTTGTTACGTAATTTTTCAACTTGCAAGCTCAATGTTTGAGGAATGTGTCCAAAATCCAATTCCATTTCTCACACCAAAGAGTGACCAGAGCTCTACCTCCCTATGGATCGGGGGAGGTAACCAAAACAGCGTTCAAAGCCTCTGAGCAATTATTGGAATAATGAGCAATGGAAGAGTGGTGTTCGGAATCCGTTTGGGTCACATTCCCCGTGATCACAGCACGATGACTAAAGGCACGGTCAAAGAGGAAGGTCGTAAGACAGGGAGAAGAGGGGTCGGGGGGATGGGGGGAGGAGGTGACCAGACATGTCCCGAGACCTGTTAACCAATTCTCTTGTCCTTTTGCTCTAGCCATAGAGTGGAGAGACGGCAGAAGACACAAGTATGCTCGGAGCGGCCGCCCGTCAAACACTCCGTCTCCGTACCAAGGTAAATGGGGCCGTTGTTCTTCACTGGGTTGGGAATCGAGTGATGGAGCCCACCAACCAGTTTGCTGTCGGGGCAAAGCCAAGAGTTGAGTTGACCTCCGGAAACTCGCCCAGGCACAACCTCTTCAACAACTTACATTTATATAGCTCCCCTCAGGCAAGGAAGTGGGAGAATGACTGAAGGCAAGGTCTAAGAGGAAAGTCTTGAGATGGGTCTTGAAGGAGGCAAGGGAGGGAGTGAGGTGGAAGGGCTCCTGGACGGAGTTCCAGAGGGTGGGGGAGGAAAGGCTGAAGGCCTGACCGCTGATGGTGGAGCAGGTAGGCCGAGCGGGGGATAAATTAAAAAAAAAAATTTGAGTCTCGGTCCATCCCAATTGCATAAGAAAGACCAACCTGTAGCATTGTTTTGGTTGAGTGGCCATTATATTGTTTAGCAGCAGCGTAGGATGAAGTGATATACATCAGGTATAAAACTTAATTTTAAACGGAGAGAGAGGAAAAAAAAACACAGGCATAATGGCGGCTGATTGAATAGTTCCCTCGAGGGCCAGTATTTTATCAGAAGCAAAGTGTTTCGTTGGGAATCAGACAGGAGAGAGAGCAGAGCGGAACAAAGACAATCATTGATTACCATGTAGCTGTGGTTTGCGGACCATGGGAGCAATCTTTTACATCATTCCCTGGACCCTCTCTCCGCAACCCCCCCCAACCCATCCCCACCCCCCATGGCCCCGCCATCTCCAACCCAAACTGAAGATAACATTCACTCAGAAGGGGCTGTTTTCAAATGGAATAACATGGTCTCTCCACTGCTTGGCTCAATTGGAACACAGTCCATTTCCATGCCTATGGTTGTTTGTATTCTGCCAGGTTACCCTCCCTGCCCGCTGTTTGAACTTGCTTCAAATGGATTTCCTGAGTCTGCAGAGACTGTGTGCTTGCCTCCTTCGAGGTTGATCTCAAGACATGCCTCTTTGGTCATCCATTGGAAAGGTCATGGGCAAAGAGCAGGAAATTAATAATAACGATCCTTGCATTTGATATAGCAGCGTATCAGGTCGTTGAGATGCCTCAAAGCGCTTCACTGGATACACTGTAAAATTTAGTGACCGTGTATTTTGTGGGCCAAGCGAATTTGGTAGCGTACTTGGAGGAGTGAACCCCAGTGTAGGAGCATTGGGACAAATCCTGTTCCGTCATTTCGACGAGTCTTGCAATTTGAGTCCAGTGGTTAAGATGGGAACGGAGCATATTTGTAGAGAACCAGATGTGTTGGACTTGAGAAATGTTTAAACTACATCTGTTCCAACAGAAATACAGTAACACAGCACGATTCACTTTTGTACAGCGCCTTTCGTGTGGGAATGACGTCTCTCAGCACTTGTTAAAAAGATACAGAATTGATTTGAAGGCTGGCGTTAACGTGAATGTCTCTTCCTTTTCCTTTGTCCAACACGAGACCCAGGGTTTGGGTTAGGATATAAATAAGGCTTGGTTGTATTGCTAGGCTAGTAGCGCAACTGTTTACAAGACTGGAGCTTCCTCCGTTAATAATGAGCTTGACACTCGACTACAAATGACCATTTAACACCCAAGGTTACGGTCTCGGCGTAATATCAGAGAGAGCCCCTGATAGTTCTTATTTTGCACTCGCAATCCGGCCTTAATGTGCAGTGGCGTTTTCAAGAGCTCAGCACAATTGTGCTATTGATCTGAAGACAAAATTCTCCTACACTGATGTGCTTTTCTGTATTTTTTTAAAAAAAATCCTTCTGTGTTAGCCACTTGCCCTCTTCCCAAATTTTCGGTACTTTATTTCAGAATTAGCGTTCGCCTTTAAATACATATATATTATATATATACTTGTATCACAGTTGCTGGATTTTACAATAATTCCTGTAAAATGCTTCGAGATGTCCTCTTGATGTGAAAGGAGCGATATCAATCCCGAGAAGTATTATTATAATAATAGCTCAGGTGATCCTATTACAGGTTTCGCTTTTCTTGCCTAGCTTTCCATTATTTTTTGATTTTCTTTTCACTGCCGACGTGAACTAAAGTTGACCGGGGACTGTGCTGTTTCCATCCACTCTCTAAACCCATCATCCCTCCTTTTCAATCTGCCAGCACGCTCCTCTGTATCAGATTAATGCATTCACGATGCCCCAGGTGTTGGGGTTGACCCTTTCCCCATTTGATATCCTGCCTCTTATGTGGGGTCTTCTCTCCCCACATCAATGGGGGTTCCTGAGAGGCTGGTGGGTGGGGACAGACAGGTCAACAATAACTTACATTTATATAGCGCCTCTCAAGCAGGGTAGCATCCTTGAGCACTTAGCCCTCAAAATAAGTAATAATAATTTGGTTACTCAATCCCCGGTTGTTTTGTGGGACGTTGCTGTGTGCAATTGGCTGCTATGTTTCTCCCACAAAATATACAATCAATTCACTTTACAGTATATTCCGTGAAGTGCTTTGAGATGCCTGAACGACTTGATAAGGAGCTGTATCAAATGCAAGAATTATTATTACTGGGGGTGGGGGGGTGGGGAGAGAGAAAAACCTCATGCGGTTCAGACCAAGAGACGCACATCTGCCAGCAGCTCATCCTGTAACAGAAAGGTGAAGAGTGAGTTTTTAAAAGTAAATGGCAAACTGCATTCAAAGTCGCTTTTCGAACCACTCGCAAAACCGCATTGCAATAATCTGTACCTCCGATTCTGTATCACTGCTCGGAAACTGAACTTCCTCGAAACCTCTCTCTCCTCTCTCTCTCTCTCACACATACCCTTCCTCCTCGTTTCCCCCGTGAAGGGTACTATATAGGGGCATGTTGTTGTTGTTGCTGCTGCTGCTGCGTGGCAAATGTATTTTATTCCGCCCCAAAGGATCAAAATAGACATCTGACGCTTTTAGGATTTGGTATGAAAGAACCAGCCAAATACTATCCTCCCCCCCCCCACCCCCCCCCCACCCCCAAGTAGTGCTACCATTCTGAAATGAAAGAACATCAATTGGCCTGTGTTAATTGTTGGCAATAATGACTGATTGATTGCCTGGAAAATTGTTTTTTTTTAATCTTGCAATCTGAAAGGAGAACTTCCATTAAGAGTAGGATCAACTACTCTTTTTTTTTAACATTGGCAACGAACATGACTTGGTGATTACAGTCGGATACAAGAATCCAATTGTTCAAAGGCAGCATTGCATTGAACCCTGGAGAGGTGGGGAGCTTGGCCAGGATTTGGCCTGTGTTTGCTCCACTCTGATCCCAATATCTTATTCAGCGTAAGGTTTAGCATTTACACCACTGTAATACCAGGCAGAGAGGCTCACAGTAGGGTCATTAATAATAATGATCCTTGCATTTGATACAGTGCCTTATCACGTCTTCGAGACGTCTCACAGCGCTTCACAGAATACAGGGTAAAGTGTAGTGGCTGTGTGTTTTCTGGGCGAAACGCAGCAGCCAATTGCGCACAGCAGTGTCCCACAAACAGTTGTGGATTGAGTGAACAATCTATTGTTTTTTTTAAGGAATTATCCCCCCCAGGAAAAGCGATCCGCCTATCGACTAACAACCAGGTTCCTGCTCACCGCTAGGTAAACAGCGGTGTATGGAGTAAGGAACCTTGGCCAATTTTTCGCCCTGCCTGGGAATCAAACCCAGGTCCTCGCTTGGAAGACGAGCACTCTGACCATTGAGCTACAGAACTCCACAAGGAGCTACGGGTTGTATTGAAACTAATGTTTGCTCTTGACAGTTAGTTGCCAGTGTCCCGGGGGGTAGGAGTGGAGAGAGGGTTAAGAGAGTAATAATAATCCCACGCATTCGATATAGTGCCTTTGAGACATCTCAAAGCACTTCACAAAATATACTGTAAAGTGAATTGACAGTATATTTTGTGGGTGAAAGCAGCAGCCGATTGCGCTCAGCAGCGTCCCATAAAACAGGAGTCAGTGACCAAATTATTGTTATTTTTTTTTTGAAGGGTTTATCAGGATAGATGATGACTTAAATTTACGTAGCATCGTTCGCACAATGGGTAGCATCTCAAAAAGCTTGCCAGCCAGTGCAAGCTGCCTTAAATGTAACACTATTATTCCGGACGGAAATGAAAGAGGCTGTTGGAAGGAGCGTATTGTTATTTACGGTGCACCTTAAAAGCCTGGGTCTCGCTGCAGAAGAGAAATACTTGTACACCGCTGGAACTTTTGAACCGTTCTGTCTCGTTGCTCCGAGGGAGCTGGTATCCTTGAGAGGAAACCTTGCGTCTGGCTGGCCTGTGTAATTACCTTGCTGGCTTTCTGGCCAGACATCTGAAAGATCAGATCGACATCCACATTTATCAGAATGTGATTTATGTTTTTGAGGGAGGGAGGGAGGGGAGTGGGAAGAAACAGGCACACCTTGAAAACATAAATCTCCAGTTTGGAGTGGAGGTATTTCCTACGTATGGCTTTTCACAGTTTAAGGAGGCAAATGGCAATGTGTGGGCTACTCTGCATGACCTGTGGAATCCTGTAGACTATCGGTTAGAGCCCTCGCCTCGCAGGCGAGAGGACCCGGGTTCGCTTTCCAACGCGAAACCTTAAGCAAGTTACTCCACACCCCTCCGTTGACCTAGCAGTATGCAGCAACATGGTTGTTAGTCGATTGGTAGATTGCTTTTCTGGGGGTAATAATCCCTTCCAAAAAAAAAAAGAGAAAATTTGTTCACTTAATCCACGACTGTTTGTGGGACGCTGCTGTGCCCAATTGGTTGCCACATTTCGCCCACAAAATATACAGTTAATTCACTTTCCAGTATATTCTGTGATGCAGTTTGAGACGTCTCGATGACCTGATAAGGCGATATATCAAATACAAGGATTATTATTATTAACCGGGGAACTGAGTGTTCTATAAAGTGAGGTTCGTGCTTCTTAAGCACTGAGTAGAAGGTGGTGATGAGCTATATGACTCTTAGCTGTTGTCCTGCCTCGCCTATTAGACATCTTTCCCAGGTGAGATGGATTTGCCTGCCCGCTTATTGCATTTCTCTCGATTGCACTATAGCCACTCGAAAGCGAGAATAGATGTATTGAAAGTCGTGCTGCGTTCGCTCTCACAGCTCACACACGCACACAACACTTTGCAGTAAATCCTTTGAGACTTCCTCCTGACCTGAAAGGCACGATATCAAAAATTCAAGGGTTCTGTTCTGATCCTTTCCACCTGACGAATTATTATTTTTGTTTGTCAATCCTTTGACCCGATCCCGTAGCCCCATCAGGGCTCTGCAGACTTTATGCGACAGACTGGCCTAATGGTAGCGCTCTCGCCTCTGAGCAGAAGGTTCGTGGGTTCAAGCCCTACCTTGGGACTTGGAATCACATCGTCGAAGTTGACGCTCCAGTGCAGTGGTGGGGGTGACGTTGTAATGACGGAGGTGCTGTCCTTCGGATGAGACGTTAAACCGAGGTTCCATTTGCCTGTTCAGGTGGACGTTAAAGATCGTGTGGCGCTTTTCGAAAAGAGAAGGGACTTTCTCTCTCTCTCTCTCTCTCTCTCGGTATCCTGGTCAACAAATCCCCCAAATAAAATCGATCACTCATTCCATGGCTGTTTGTGGGACACCTGCACGCAACTGGCTGCCGCGTTTCGCCCACAAAATATACAATCAATTAACTTGACACATTAATTTGTGAAGCGCTTTGAGACGTATCGAGGACGTGCTAAAGCGCTATATCAAAGGCAAGGATTATTATTGTTATTTCCGTGATGGTCTTAAGCCCGGTCTTGGTTGAGCTACTGTATGTAAAGGCTTTGGACTGCACGTGGAATGTGACCTCCACTCCGAGCTCCGTTAATTCAGAGCCTACGAGACGACTGATGAATTAAATGGCTTTTTAGAGCCATGGCTAGTCTACTCAGCCGACTTGGAACCAGAGGCTTCTGAGCTTAAACCCCTGAGGATCGCTCCATCACCTTAACGTATGAGCAAAACGTCTATAAATCTCTTCAGGAGAGGAGAGGGGGAGGGAGGGAGGGAGGGAGGAAGGGTCGGGAAGTGGAAGAGGAGAAAGAAAGAGAGAGCTGTTTCGTTACACGAGACACTGGTGTAATCCTGCAGTTCAGACGCAGGCTTCCCACGGTGTTGATTGCTTGCAGATCATTGCCAATAATCCTACAGCAGAACTGTCCCCAATCATTAATTGGCGGGTGAATGTGGTCGGAGATGAAAGACCTGTTTCGTGCAGGGCAATGCAGTCTGCAGCAGTGAAACGAAACCAGTGAATATGTACCAACCTCCCCCCACCCCCCACCCCCAAAACAAAAGACTGATACAGAATTTTTTTAAAAAAATAATATCTTCACATTTGATACAGCGCCTTTCGCATCGTGGGGGGTTTTGGGTTGGGTTGGGGGGGGTCCTCAAAACACTTCGCAGGATTTACAGTAAAACTCGCGTCAGTCTGATCTGTATACGTCGTACAATCGCCAAAGTCGTACATCGACCCGAGTCTCGTTCAAGAGTTTATATTCTCTGCAAGTTTGATGTAACTCAATCATATTCATATTCAATGTGTGGGGGAGAGAGTGAGGGAGGGAAGGGGGTGGGGGAAGGAGAGAGAGAGAGAAAGAGGAGGGGGGAAGGAGAGACAGAGGTTGGAGAGAGAAGGGAAGCGAGGTAGAGGGGGGAGGGAGGTAGGGAGAGGAGGGAGGGGGAAGGAGCTAGAGGGGGAAGGAGAGAGAGAAGGAGGGGAAGGAGAGGGAGAGAGTGGGGGGGGGGGTCAGATGTTGAAACATTGGGGCCAGCTGTACTTTGTGTACGTAATGGCTTTTTTTTTACATTATGGATTGTTGGTGTCCTGAGTAGCCTCTGAGGACCCAGGTCACCAGCTCGGTGTCTCTGCTGCGGTGAAAGCCGGGGATCGATGAGACGTTTGATTAAGTGGTTGAACTGTGCTGTGGCAGTTGAACAGCCAGTGAACCCCTTTGTTAGATTCCATCTTCCGAGTGACTGTCTGGTACCTATTACCCTGCTCCATCCAGATGGCCTTAGAGGGTGGATGGATGGGAGGGAGGGAGAGAGAGAGAGAGGGAGGGAGGGAGGGAGGGAGAGAGAGAGAGAGCGGGAGGGGTAAAGCCTTATTAATCATAGCTCACATTTGCCGATGTGTCGGGTACGTCGTGAGCAAGTATTTTAAAAATAGACGTTTGGGCTGGAAGAGCGAGTGAGAGAGGGAGAGAGTGCGTAGATACTGACGAGGGGGAGGTGGGGGGGATAGAAGCAAACGCAACTGGAGGCAGCACATTTGATCACTGAGAGTCAGCTGTTCTGGGTTGTGTGTGTATATACATACAGTCATTATCGATCGGTATTGTTGTGAGCAGCCTCTCGAGTGCTTGGCTGACCTGGTCAGGGAGGTATTAGTTGCTAATCAGATGCGCGCTGGAAAATCAATTTCCCTACCTGATTAAGCGACTCTCTCCCCCTCTCCCTCCTTCCTCTTCACCGGCATATTGTGTACCTACCCTTTGTGCCGAGGGCAGCCATTAGACGCAGGCAGACTCTTAACGACCCTCACGTTATCCCGTAATGCTGACCAACCACACAGTCACTCCGCTTCACGGTAAATCTTGCGAAGCGCTTTGAGGCGCGAAAAGGCCTCTGTGCCCCAAGGCCAGTGATGATTGCTATTGGGCGGATGTTTGCGGTGAGCACAGACGCCGGGGGCGAATGGCTCATTTTCCACGCCGTGTCACTCTTTAACGAGGTGATCATTAATAAGCTTTACCATTTGGTGCAGCAGCGCCTTTCACGGTATCAAAGCGCTTCAAGGGGGGAATGGTAGAGCGACCGTCCGTGTTTTGCCGGCCGGCAAAACTGTGAAGGAAGGTCAATGAGCGTAAAAGTAGATCGATTTGGACAGGCAATGAGAAGCGAAATGACATTTCGCCCCCTTATTGTTTCTTGCCGTTGAATTGATTCCGTTTTGTTTCTGCTTTCAGGTCATTTCAGTTGGGACAAATATCTTAAGGAGACGGGTGCTGTTGCTGCTCTTTCCCAATGCTTTAAGCAGGTGAAATAGACTTTCCTTCGATTGCTTTGTGCGTGGCCAGGTTCGACTGTGTTTTGCTTGAAGCCGACTCGATGAGATTTCTTTATTTTGTGGGGGTGAGGTGGGGTGGGGGTGTGGTGGGGTGGGGGCGGTGATCAAAAGTTTTTTCACTCGGTAACACTTGTCTGCTGATCAGCGCCTTGGGACGTCCTCCTGACGTGAAAGGCGCTAGACAAATGCAATTTATGGTTGTTGGCGTCTTGTGTTAAACCGAATATCTGCTGTGATTTGACTGCGTTCACAAACCCCTCACAGTTTGAGGTCATCTGGAAACAGCTCGCCCCAAACTGCAGGTTCGTAACACGGAAGCAGCTGCCTGATATTCCCCGGGGCTAGAAGTCACCACAGGTTTCTCAAATTACAATTCGATATATATATATAAATTCCTGCTTTCGCTAAGCGGGAGCAGAAATAAACGAACTGATCGCAGAGCACCAGACACTGTGTGCGACGTTGCAAGCAATGACGCTCACTCAACAGATAATAATAATAATAATCAACAATAATAATCCTTGCAATTTGATATATCTTTAATGGCTCTCACTATCTTTATTGGGAGTGGGTTCACCCTCTGTCGGCTTCAGGTTTCCCCCCGTTGTTCTCAACACTGAGCAAGATGCTGTAGAGAGGCAGCCTGGCGCTGGTAAAAGGGAGTGGAGCTGAACCGAGACCTAACGGTGTGTCAGGAGAGGTTTTAGCCGACCCAGTTCTGTTTTATTTACTTATCTATCCAATTCCAAGGGTTTCAGTAATAAGAACCGTCCTTGCATTCGCACCCCCGCCTTATCCCGCCGTCGAGGCATCTCGAAGCGCTTCATAGGATTTGACTGTGAAGCGTAGTGAATTTGCAGACCAAATTCCTCGTGAACGTGCCTTTAAGACTGGGCTCGGATTCGCTTTGAGCCCGGTGCTTCAGTCTTAGTATCAGTCACTGGGCTTCATCCTCTCGTGGGTCCTTGTTAGACTAATACATCTTGGGGAGGGTAGGAGATTGCCAGGAAGTAAAGTGGGATGAGATCTCTCCTCGCAACTGTGCGGTGGGATTATCTGGACGGTTGAGATTAATTTCACTGGTGTCTTGAGGGTAGCGTTTGATCCGAAACACTGCCTGTGATGTCGGCCGTTCAGAACGCCAGCCGTCTGGTAATGAGGGAGAAGAGAAATCATTTCAACCCAATGCTCTCGGTCCTGAGAGCCCCAGGAAAATAAGTCAAAGCCGTTCGACAAATATCGTTGCTTTGCGAAATGACACTCTTTCCCTTTGGACGTATAATATCCAAATCCGAAATAGGATTTTCTTCTCTACGTTCAATGGCTTCCCGCTAATGTTACAGCCCCCCCCCAAACAACCACCAATCCCATCCGTTGGAATAGAGTAAAGACATTAAACTGAGGATATGTTGTCACGGAAGGTGACCTGGAAGGTCCTTAGTCCTTCTAGTGGGCCTCCTTCAAGGCTCGTCTCAAGACTCTCCTCTTTGACAGCGCCTTCGGTCACCCTCCTAACCCCCCCACCCTCCCTGCCTTCTGCCCCTCCTGATCCCAACACTCAGGTCGGGATCCAAATCCCTGACTGGTCACAGGCCAGCGCCTTGGGACATCCTCCCGGACGTGAAAGGGCGGGCGCTGTGTCAACGTAAACGGGTGGTGGTGGTGGTTGATGTTGTTGTTGAAACCGCAACCTCGTGGCGAGGAGGTGAGAGCGCGAGCGACCGAGTTGGACCCTCTGACGTGTCGCTCGCAGCTCCTGACCCTGCGCGGCCTTTCCCGTTCCCAGTCCTTCGTGCCGCCCGTCAACGAGTTCAAGATCGGGATGAAGCTGGAAGCCCAGGACCCTCGCAACGTGACGTCCACCTGCATCGCGACCGTGGTGGGCATCACCGGCGCCCGGCTCCGCCTGCGGCTGGACGGCAGTGACAACAAGAACGACTTCTGGCGGTTGGTGGACTCCTCGGAGATCCAACCCATCGGGAACTGCGAGAAAAATGCAGGGATGCTTCAGCCGCCCCTCGGTGAGAGGGGGAAGGGGAGGGGGACACTGTTCTCGGGGATGGGGGAGAAGCGGGGTGGGGGGTGCGGAGGGGCCGGGTGTGGTGGGGGGGGGGCAGGGGGGAAGGACTTCTTAATTAAGAAATACCGCAGAATGCACTCCACCGCCGATCCATGCGTCGTTTGGTGATGACTCATCGTAAGCGCTCTGGGACGCCGCCCTGCGTGAGGGGCGTGGTATAAATGCAAGTTGTTGTGGTTGACTCCTCCATCTGCGTTCGTTGTCTTGCCCCGTGCGGCCTGCAGTCCCCGCATACGCCGCGAGAGGTCAGTTAGCAACCGCGAGTTCGAACAGGGTTAGTTTGCTTCGATGGATTCGCTCCGTCTCTCGAGCTCCTGAGTATATTTTACACCGCAGAGCTCACTGTGTGTGTGTGTGTGGAGGCTGCACAGTGTTGTAAATGTACGTGTGTGTGTATTTGCTTTCGTGTGCGCACGAGGCTCGCTGTGTGCGAAACACTGACTCGTGGGTGTATCCACTCCAGGGTTCCGTCTGAACGCCTCGTCCTGGCCCATGTTCCTGCTGAAGACCCTGAGCGGAGCAGAAATGGCCCCGGTGCGAATATTTCACAAGGTACCCCTCGCTCTCGTGAGCCGACGGCCTGTCAGAATCCCTCTAACGATTCCGGGGACGCGCTTCGAAAAGAGAAGGGAGTTGCTCTCTCCCGTTGTCCTGGCTGACAATCCCCACTCCCTCTCCCCCCCCCCCCCCCACCAAACCCCCTCCACCCACACCCCACCACCACCGCAACTCCCCGATAATAATACAATAACCCCAAATGCACCCCTTTTCCCCCACCACCCCAACACTGAAAAGTTAACCAGACACCGAATCGATTCCCGACCGGGACAGTGTCACTTTTCCGGGGGTAATAATCCCTTCATAAAAAGAATAAGAACAGTAATTTGGTCGCTCACATCACGGCTGTTTGTGGGGTCGCTGCTGTGTGCGCTATTGGCTGCCGCGTTTCGCCCACAAAATACACAATCAGTTCCCTTTAGAGCATATCCTGCGAAGGGCTTTGAGACGTCTCGGGGACCTGATAAGGCGCTGTATGAAATGCGAGGGTTATTGTTCTTATAAGTTATTGACCCACTCGCTCGCCGGTAACAGGAGCCACCGTCACCCACGCAAAACCACTACAAAACGGGGGTGAAACTGGAGGCTGTGGACCGCAAGAACCCGCACTTCATCTGCCCGGCCACCATTGGCGAAGTGAGGGGCACCGAGGTGCTGGTGACCTTCGACGGCTGGAGAGGAGCCTTCGATTACTGGTGTCGCTACGATTCCAGAGACATCTTCCCCGTGGGCTGGTGCGCTCTGACCGGGGACAACCTACAACCCCCGGGGACTAAGGGTGAGTGAGACGAGGGTCAAGTCGTTCCGGGTCCTGCCAACGGACCCCAATCCCGGTGGCTTTACAATCCCCAGGGACGCGCTGCACTCTGCACGTAAGTCAGACTTGCGTATACAACACAAACTCTCGAGCAGGACTTGGGCGGGCGGTACGATTAAAACGGATCAGATTCACGCGAGTTTTTCCCCGTAGGCGTCTCGTGCGCTCACGACACGGGACAGCGGCGCGACTCTTGTTGGAACGTAAGTCGGGAGAGGAACGTAACAGAGAGAGCGAGAGAGAGAGAGAGAGGGGGGGGTTGCAAACTGTCACCTTTTTGCCGTTTGTTTGGGCAGAAAGGACGCGAGTTGTGTCGTTTGGACGAGCGGCCACTAGGTGCCACCGTCAGCCTTGCAGAGCGCTGTGCAATGCAGAGCAGACTTTATCTCACACTCTCTCAGCCGCTTGCTTTCGGCCGGTTATTTTTGTAGCAAAGCCCCCCGCCCCCCCCCCCCCCCCACCCATCGCGGGGGGTGGCGGGGTGGTGAAAGGTTGAGGTCGTTGCGCGTTTTTGTCAAGACGCACGTCGTAATGGTAACGGAGGGAGGGTTCGCAGTTCTCGCTGTTCTCCTCCCGTCTTTCCTGCTCGCTCCCGGTAGTAAAAATAATAATAACAATAATAATAATAATAATAAACTAATCCCTCCGTTCGATATAGCGCCTCAGCACGTCTTCGAGACGGCTCAAAGCGCCTCGCCGAAAGCCGTGCCAAATGAATCGACTGCTCATTTCGCGGGCGGATTGTGCACCGCGGTGTATTGCCCCAGCTGCAGGCGAAGTTTAAATCAATCTATTTGTTCCGAGAGTCCAGAAAGAAGAAGAAAAACATTTGCAAGGTCTCCCCCCCCCCCCTCCCCCCTCCCTCTCCCCCCCCACCCACCCCTGACCATTTAAGGCCACGGCAACTGATTTCAGCCGGGCTTGACGCCAGCCGGCGAGCTGAGTGTTAGCTGCGCCGGGCACAGAGAAGTCCAGGGAGAGAGAGGTGGGGCTGCATTGTGTTGTACAACAATCCATGACTGCGCGGCTCACGTGCTGAAGCCAAGGTTCCCACCGACAGCGCTCCCCAGCGACAAACATTCCGGATTAGAAATAATGGGATCCTTTTTTATTTCTCCCTCTCGCTCTCTCGATCCCTCTCCAGGTGTTGGGCACATTCGAGCCAAACTTGCACTGTGCCTTGTCTCGCGTTTTAATGAAACCCGGGTTTGTGCTTCTCCTGGGAATGGGTTAAGTGAAAGCAGATGGTTTTGGCAGCTGTTTTGTAGTATATACGTATTGTCACATTTCCAGCCCTCTCTCTCTCTCTCTCTCTCTCCCCCTCTCTCTTTCCGTGTGTGTGTGTTTGTGTGGGTGTTTGTGTGTGTGTGGAGGAATCGGGTCAATTTTTTTTTTTTAAACGATTCAGCCGAGATACATGTTCCAGATTACAGCCGAGTTTGCGTGGCAATATCTGGAGAGCGTCTGTGTTATCGCTCAGCTCCAACCCGAAAGGTCCTGCATCACGCAGCGGTGTTAGAGGGCGACAGCGTGGACTGAGGTTACCCACCTCGGCTCGGAGAGTTTTGTGCGTAACCGTTTTATGACCACCCAGTAAAGGCCAGACCGGCGAGATGCTCTTCATCAATGTTTGACCCGTAAAAGCGGGTGACGGAAAAGAATCGCCGAGACTGCTAGGTTTCCTTTGCTCTGGATCGCATAAAATGCGTCGTCCTGGGATTTTGTTAACGTTCCATAAGGTAATTTCTAATCCAGACCAGCGTGTATTTAGTCCTTTTTTTTTCTCTCTGGGTTGTTGCTGTTGCTCGTTGAGTGAGAATGTTCTTGGTTTCACTGCCGAATCGTGGCTTGCGCAAAACCCCTTCATCGTCCAGCGCCTCGGGGGGAACTTCCTCCCGACCTGAGGGGCGCGCTGGTGCAAATGCAAACTTAAAGTCGTTGGCGTTATCTGCGAAGCGACAGCCTGGGGGCGAAACACGGCGCTCAGCGGGGGGTCCCACACACCGCCCCTGAGTTTTAATTGAATTGAATGAGTTTAATTTAACGCAAGGGCGATTTATTAGTTAGCGTGCAAAGGCGGCTGAGGGTTCGAACTGGCTCGGGATTTCCACACGTGTGCTCTGAGCCCCTGCCGTGCTGCAGCGCGTGTGTGTGTGTGTTTTTTTTTGTTAATGATTATCGGGGAGGAAGTTAGCACAGGGCAGCTTTCTGCTGTGAAAGCACGGGTTACTGGGCTCGGGGTTCCGCAGGCGCCGTGATGCCGTTTGGATCGTTAGGGCGCCTTCCCTCTGCGGTTTCAGGTATAAACCGTCTGTCCCTAAGGCTCGAAATAGTGCTATTGACCGTTAGCCACCTTTGTGGCTCGTGGTCACTGAGGCTGATCTGTGTTGTCAGAACGTCTTGGGGCTCCACATAAAGTGACGTTGATGCCTTCTGGATTTAAAGGCTTCAAACTTTTGTGGCACGTGCTCACGTAGGCACTGACTTACTTACTTTCCGTCCACAAAGTGCACAGTCAAGTCACTCGACGGTATATTCTGCGAAGCGCTTTGAGACGTCTCGGAAGACGTGATTAGGAGCTGTATCAAAATGCCAGGATTATTTATCGTGAGTAGGAAGTGGATTGAACCCTTGCGCTCTGTGTGGCGATTGTCTTCTTTCTCCCTGTCATTCATTCTGAACAGTTCTAATACTCCGGAAAAAAAACAGCCCACAGAGGTAGAGAATAAGACCAGCGAGTTTGAGTGTGTCGTCCACACTCGGGTCCCGTCTCGGCCTGTTCAGTGGACGTTAAAGATCCCGTGGCGCTTTTCAAAAACAAAAGGGAGTTTCTCTCTCCCGTCTTGGCCAACACTCCTTCAGATAAATCTGTTGTTCACTTCAAATGCAGGGATTATTATTATTATTATTATTATATCCGTATGCCAGAGCTTGCTGTGTGCAAATTGGCTGCTGCATTCGCCTGCAACAAATTTGACAGCAGTTGCCCGTGAAATGCTTTGAGGGGTTTTGATGTTGTACCAAATGCAAATATTCTTTTTTTTAAAAAAAAAAGCGTTAAGTAGGAACACCTGGTTGTTAGTCGATTGGCGGATCGCTTTCTGGGGGTAATAATCCCTTTTTTTTAAAAAAAAAGTGGTGCCCTTAATCCACGACTGTTTGTGGGACGCTGCTGTGCGCAATTGGATGCCGCCTTTCGCCCACAAAATACACAGTCGCCCCACTTTACAATTTAATTTGTGAAGCGCTTTGAGACGTCTCAACGATGTGATAAGGCGCGATATCAAATGCAAGGATTATTATTATTACTCCTCCCCCCCCCCCCACCCACTACCACCCTCAGCATAATCCTGTGAAGCGCTTTAAGACACGGGTAAAAAGTTCGGCATCAAATGCCCCGCGAATAAAGTTCAAGCCCACCCTGGTTCATAAGCTGCAAGAAAAAGGAAGGTCATTCCAGTGAAAAGCACAGGACTTGTTTCTCTTATTGGGGAGTCGCTTTAACTCGCCTTGAAAACTCTTTATCCCAGCCCCGCGCCGTCTGAAATGAAAGAGTTTTCTGTACGCTTTGGCAGTTTGGAGAGGCGCTGACCTGTTGGAGTTGGAGCTTATATACATAAATCTCCCTGGAATCCGCCAGGAGGCATTTTCCTAACGTACCTTGCGTCTATAAACAGCTATTAAACTGTGTACAGTGTCTGAGTCTGTGTGAGTGTGTGTGTGTGTCTCAAGTTCATTTCAGGACAAACTGTGTCCCACAGAGACTTTCCCCGATTGTTTGAAGGCTGATAGAGAGAGGAGAGCGCGTGTGAGTGTGTGAGTGTTTGTGTGTGTGCGTGTGTAAGGTGAAGGGACCGTTCGTCACCGAGCAGCGACTGAGGTCTGCTCGTTGGGAGGTTGGTTGGAAGGTGCGAGTTGCCCGGTGAATTGGCAGGTACGTCCTTCACTAACAGTTGCTGGTATTTGCTCTCGGTGAATTGCCAGAGTTCGCTCGGCACACAGAGATTGTCCACTCTGGCAGCGTGAGCACCGTTTGGCAAAGCACCAAATTTGTGCACGTCCCAAGGTCACCAACAGTGTTATTTTGTGTGTGTGTGTGTGTGTGTGTGTGGTGGGTGGGGGTTGGACTAGGGATGTGTGTATGGATAGGGGGGAGTTGTGGGGTGGTGGGGGGGGAAACAATCTTTGCAAACAAGAAGTGAAGGCTGCCTTTTTTTCTTTCTTTCGCACTTTCTCGGGTTAGGAGACCCTTTTCTTCCCCACCACCCCCCCCACACTGTCAAATCGTCGGCAATCAATAATGCCTCATTCTCAATCAATGGCCCTTTTGGGATCCGAGATTTTTCAGACTTGCCAATTAATTATTGAAAATTGAGTTCACAAACTCCAAATTCTCTTATTAATTCAGCTCTGGTTTGCAAAGGTCACGTTTCAAGGCGCTCCAAGAGGGTACCCCCACATGAAGGGTGCTATATAAATGCAAGTTGTCGTCGTTTTGATCCTTATTGTGTGAGATTAGAGCTCAAAGTTTATGTTTGCTGTATAGCTGCGGTTCAGGTTTGGATACTAGATTTCCTCATTGTTTTAGGCGGTGGTGGTTGTTGCTGTGTGTGTGGGTGTGTGTGTGTGTGTGTCTGTGTATGTGTGTGTATATAATTGATGGGAGGAGGAATGAATCTCAAGGCGGAATAAAAACTATTCGGCATTCAAGTTATTGAATGGTTGTTGAACAGAATCCACGTGTGTTCATTTCATTCCGACAACAGGTAGCGTGTGACTCAATTAATGGTTCAATTCAAATGAATTAATTTTAAGATCCAAAATGTACTCCAAAGCTTCTTTGGATTCACAGTGGATTGACTTTGAGTTGGAGACCGAACGAGGGTTTATTTTTCACCACCTCCCCCTCGCCTCCTCTCCTCCACTCGCCCCCCCCCCCCCGCCCCGCCCGCCGAGGCACAGTTTCTGTGTTGGCTTCATGTGTTAGGTCTTTTATAGGAGCCTGGTGTATTCTTCCAACCCAGTCAGTTTACGACGGTGTTTTTCTGTCCCCATTCCATTTTTTTAAATTTTATTTTATTTTTATTTTATTCCGCGGCAGAAGAACGCAACTCGAGTGTAAACAGTTGGTCCCTGTGCCAAGAGAGGTTGTCTGCTCTCCAGATGTCTTGAAAGTGCTGCATATTAAACTGCGCCTTTAATAATAATAATAAAAAAAAAGAAACCATGAAGGAAACCGTCGCTCTGGGCAGTGCTAAAACATAAGTGTGTCTTGACGAAGCTCCACATCGACCTCTCGCTCTCTGACTGAGAGAGAGAAGCTGATGTCAAATCTTGGCAGCTTCACTCACTCTCTGCCGGTCTCTGGAGCTTCAGTGTCGTGGCCTATCACCTCATTCCTCGCTCGTTGGCTGGCTCTCGCGCTCTGTAGCTTTCTCTCTCTGTGTGTGTATATATATATATATAAATATATATGTGTGTGTATATGTGTCCCTATATGTGTCACTGTATTAATGTGTGTGTGTATATCTCTCTCTCTGTCTCTTTCTGTGTGTCTGGACACTACTCTGCGTGAGGGACACTATATAAATGCAAGTTGTTGTTTTTGCCTCTCTATGAATATATTTGTGTGGGTGTGTGTCTCCATCCCTCTGTATATATTTGTGTGCGTGTGTCTCCATCCCTCTGTATATATTTGTGTGCGTGTGTCTCCATCCCTCTGTATATATTTGTGTGCGTGTGTCTCCATCCCTCTGTATGTATTTGTGTGCGTGTGTCTCTATCCCTCTGTATATATTTGTGTGTGTGTCTCTCTCTCCCTCTGTATATGTTTGTGTGTGTGTGTTCAAAGCATTCTTTTCCACTTTGTTCTGCCTTGTTACTTTTTATTGGCATCTGGCAGTTATATTAATATGAACCTCGTGAGCCTTACAATATATATAATAAAACAGGTTGCGAGTGTTCTGTGCACCACAGCTCCCCTTTGTGGCATTGGCGCGGAGTCTTACTGTGGGATTAGATAGTGTGTTGCTGTGGTAACTCGGAGCTGTGTGCAGTAATGGAAAAGAACAACTTGGTGTTTTTTATATTGTTAAAACCGCCATCACGAACATTGGAGTGGAGTCCTTTATCGCAGTGGTTAGAGCCTTTGCCTCACAAGTTCGATTCCCGGGCGGGACGAAACCTTAGGCAAAATTTCCTTACTCCACGCGCACACACACACACACACACACCTCTGTTTGCCTAGTTGTTAGTCGATTGACGGATCGCTTTCCGGGGGTAATAATCCCTCCCCCCCCAAAAAATAATGATTCGGTCAGTCAGTCCACAGCTGTTTGTGGGGGCGCTGCTGTGCCCAATTGGCTTCCGCGTTTCGCTCACAAAGCACACAGTCACTCCACTTCACAGTATATTCTGTGAAGCGCTTTGAGACGTCTCAACCACTTGATAAAGAGCTGGTATCAAATGAGTAAGAGTTGAGGATTGGAGTTGAGGTGCAGATCAGCCGTGATCTCATAGAATGGCGGAACAGGCTCACGAGGCTGAATGGCCTCCTCCTGTTCCTATGTTTATGTTCCTACGCAAGAATTATTATTATTATTATTATTATTATTGCCAGTGCAAGTGGGCAGTTAGCTCTGAGCTGACATCCCAGTCTCACGGGCAGACTGGACAAGTTAGTTTGGTGTAGAAAGAGCAGACTGAAGACTTGGCAGCCAATAATCTCCCAAGTGTCAGACATTCAGGGCAACAAACACACAGACTTCAAAAGCTCCTCGTCTACAAAATGACTCTTCCAAAGATCAGCTGATTCCCCAGTTCAAAGTAAGACCTTATAAATCTCTCCCCCCCCCCCCCCCCCCAAGAGCTGAGACGAAATATTTATTAGACCGGGGTAATGGGATGGATAGGCCGCCGACATATATAATGAATGACAGTTTTTACTGCGCTAAAACCTTCCTACGTACTAATATGGTTATACTGTACTGTGGGTAGTGCTCCAGTGAGTTTCGTTGGGGAATAAGGAGAGGACGACTGTTAGACAGTGGAATGCAGCCTGAGCACTTTCTTCGGCTCAAGGTTCGTGATTCGAGGCTGGAACACTGCCTTCGTTGTGAGTGCGAGTGGGTATCCAGCGGGCAGGTAATGGGGCAGTGACCGGCCCGCCATTGCCCACTCTCTCAGCCCTTGAAAGGTTCAGCGACACGGCAAAGGTAGGTGTGGGTCAGTCCCAACAGATAGAATCTGGGGCACCACACACCACACGCTGATGTGGATTGCGTCAGCCGCGAGCCACTGCCTTCTTCGTGTTGTCATCACCCGAATGAACTTTTTTATATATGTATATATATATATATATGAGGAGGAATCTTAGTTGACAATAAAACACAATACGAGATGGAGGCTGTTTGTTTCTGTCGTGCTTCGGCTTTTGTTTTGCCTGATCAAGCAAAGCTTTCTGTTGCATCCATTGCCTCGCACACACAGACGCACAATTCTCCCCACCACTCTCGCACACACACACACAGAGACACACGCTATCCACATCCTACATGGCTGATATATTATCTTGTCTGTTTAGGTGAAGTTTAGGGCTCAGTGCAGCACCTGGATGCAAGGAAACCGTACACAAACAAATCCCTCTTAAAACACGCCGAGTCGCTGAGTTTTACGGTGAATCCCTTGAAGCTCTTTAAGATGCGATGGTGTCTCGAAAGTCACTTTATCGAATGCCCGGATAATATTGTTATTAATATAATAATGAGCGAACCAAAATTGGAATTGCACTCACTGCCCTGCCCACTATATAAATGCAAGGTGGTGTTGTTGTATTTGGTGCCTTTGAACTCCCTCCCATTTCGGTAAATGAAAAACGATTGAGGTTGTTTTGACGTTGATTTGTGACGAAACGGCAAGTTGATTCCTTTCTCTCTCCCTCTCGCTCTCTCTTCCTCCCTCCCTCTCCTCTCTTTGCCTCTCTCTCTCGCAGTAATCTTTCCAAAGAACCCCACTCCACCACCTCCAGACGTGAGCAGTGAGAAGCTCAGCATGCAGGCCCCCCCGAGGTGCATCCCTGAGCACCTCCCAGCCCAGCGAGGTCGCAAGCCGGGTCGCAAGCGTGGCCGGGTGGGCCTAACCTCGTGCGGGGACAAACCAGACCCCCAACACCCCATCCCCTCGCCCGCCAAGACCCTAGAACCGTTAAAAATTCCAAAGAAGAGAGGACCAAAGCCTGGGAGCAAGGTAACCATTTGTGTTTGGGGTTTGGGGGTGGAGGGGTGGGGGGTTGAATGGGCGGTGGGGGCTTAAATGAGAAATATATACGTTATAAAATAGTTCAAAATGATCCTCTTCCGAGGTCATCATGAAGAGCTTTGATAACGTGATAAGGCACTATATCAAATGCAAGGATTATTACCCCACTCCTCTCTCCGAACCCCTTCTCTCGCCTGGCTCCAGCCTCTTGCACGTCCCTCGTCCCCTCCTCTCCACCATCAGCGGCCGTGCTTTCAGCCCCTACTACGCCCTAAAGCTCCCGATCCCTCAATCCCTCTCTCTTCCTTTTTGACAGCGCTTACAGTCACCTCCTCCCCCACTCTCTCACCGACTCGGTGTCGAACTCCGTCACTGTTAAGCGCTCCGAGACACTACCCGGAGTGAAGGGCGCTGTGTAATACAAGTTGCTGCTGTTGTTGGGGTCACTTCTGGCTTCCTATGCCCGGGGGATACTTCCCCACAACCCCCTGTAACTGGAGTTACGTTCTAACCAGGTCAGACTGTAGTGTGGGACGTCCTCCCACGTGAAAGGCTGTTGTTGTTTGTTGTATTGACCCCAACGTTGTTTCTTTAGCGGAAACCCCGAGCTCTGCATAACCCCGTCCCCAGCTCTCCCACCTCCAGCACACCAGAGCCCGACACCAGCACCGTCCCACAGGACGCTGCCACAATCCCCAGCACGGCCATCATGCAGTCCCCAACAGGTAGGCCACAGCCCAGGGGCAGCTCCACTCAGGCCGGGCTAGCGGTTTGTCCACTCAAAACCACCGGCAACTTTCGTCTCTGGGGCAGGAGGTTGTGGGTTCAAGCCCCACCGCTTCGGGGACTTCTAACTTAATAGTCCAGGATGCCCCTCCAGTGGGGGGAGCATTGCATTGTCGGAGGTGCCGTACTTAGCATGAGATATGGTGGTTGGGGCTGGGTTTATGGCCGTGTGATTGGGGTTGGGGTTGGGGTTAGGGTTGGGGTTGTGTTTGGTGATGCGATTGGGGCGTTGTGTGGTTGGGGCTGGGGGTAGTGGCTGGGTTGGGGTCATGGCTAGGGTTGGGGCTGGGGGTTGACGGCGATTTTCTGGGGAACGACAGTCGCAAAACCTCACCCGATCATCCCCACCTTTTGCTCCCAAGTCTGCGTTTACTTGAACAAGAACGGCATCACGGGCCCACACCTCGACAAGAAAAAGCTGCAGCAGCTCCCTGACCACTTCGGGCCAGCCCGAGCCTCCGCAGTCCTGCAGCAAGCTGTGCAGGCCTGCATCGACTGTGCCTACAACCAGAAAATGGTCTTTGCCTTCCTCAAACAGGGCCACGGCGGAGAGGTCATATCAGGTAACCGGCTAGAGACGTGTTGCTTTTAATAATAATAATAATAATAATAATAATTCTTGCATTTGATACAGCGCCTCATCGCGTCCTCGAGACGTCTCCAAGCGCTTCACAGGATACACTGTAATGTAAGCCGACCGCACGTTTCGAGGGCGAAACGCGGCAGCCAATTGCGCACGGCTGAGTCCCCAGAAACGGTCGTGGATTGAGTGACTAAATCACCGCTGTTTGCATGTTTTTTTTCTTCTTCGGAAGGGGTTATTATTCCCGGAAAAGCAATCCGCCAATTGACTAACAACCGGGTTCCTCCTCACTGCGAGGTAAACAGAGGTGTAAGGAAATTTACCTAAAGTTTCGCCCCGTCCGGGAATCGAACCCAGGACCTCTCGCTTGCGTGGCGAGGGCTGTTATCTCGCGCCTTATCATGTCGTTCAGACGTCTCAAAGCGCTGCATCGAATGTACTCTGAAGTGAATTGACTGATTGTTTTGTGGGCTTATTTTTTTTAAAATAATGCGTGTTGCAGATGCAAAGGATTTATTATTATTAATATTATATTGATGATAAGACTGCGCCTAATACTGTCCAGAATTTGGTAATCAGAATGCATCTCCTCCCCCCCCCACTCCGACACCAAAAAAAAATAAGTGCGTTTGTGAGTCTAGAACCCACTGCCTGAAAGGGTCGTGGAAGCAGATTCGATAGGAGCTTTCTAAAGGGAATTGGATAGGTACGTTGCAGGGATGTGGCGGAGAGCAGGGGAGTGGGTCTATTTGGATGGCTCTTTCAAAGAGTCGAAACATAGGAATAGGAGGAGGCCATTCAGCCCCTTGAGCCTGTTCTGCCATGGTATAAGATCGTGGCTGATCTGCACCTCAACTCCAATTACCCGCCTTTGCCCCATATCCCTTGATACCCCGACCTAACAAACATCTGTCATTCACCTTAGTCTTGAAATCTTGAATGGATTCAGTATCCACGGCCTTTTGGGGCAGAGAGTTCCAGATTTCCGCTCCCCTAATACACTGCACCCCAGGCACGATGGGCCGAATGGCCTCCTTCCGTGCTGTAAGATTCCACGCGTGTTTTATCTTCCTTCCTTTCCCTTTGCTCCCCACCCTCGCAGCCACGTTTGACCGGGAGCAGCACACGCTGAACCTGCCGGCGGTGAATAGCGTGGTGTATGCCCTGCGCTTCCTGGAGAAGCTCTGCCACAGTCTGCGCTGCGACATCCTGTTCGGGAGCCAACCGTTCAGCCAGGGCTCCGCGGCCAATCACATCGCCCCCGAGTATGAAATCGACCGCTTCAAACCAGGTACAGGTCAAGTCATCTTGGGGGTGGGGGGAGAGGGCCGGGGGTGGGGGGGGGCGGTGGCTGGAGGGCAGGTCCTGTATCTTATTGGTTGCAGCACTCGCTTCGCAAGCGAGAGGTTCGATCCCCAGGTTCAGGGCGAAACCTTAAGCAAGTTTCCTTACTCCCACACGCCTCTGTTTGCCCATCAGTGAGTAGGAACCCGGTGGTTAGTCGATTGGCAGATTGCTTCCTGTTAGAGGAGATGTGAGGGTGGGACCTTAGACAAGTGAGGTTGGAAGATCTGAGAGAAGCCCAACTCCCCAAAGGGAAAAGCATTTCTTCCTCTTTCGAGGTTGAGGAAGGAGCTTAAAATGGTTCGGTAAAAGCAGCTCCTCGTCTCCCCACAGGTAAGACCGACTCCGTGGAGGGAAGTGTTCAAGGCTCCGTTAAAGGCACCAAACGATTTTTGCAAGACTCCCCGCTGTACGGCGCTCCTCTCTCGCCCAAACTCTCCAAAACTGACTGGCACCCGTCGAAAGGTGAGTTGTTTACAGATCCTTTCACTTCTCACCTGGCGTTTCTCCATCTGAAATAATAATAGGGTCACTCAACCCGCGGCTGTTCGTGGGGACACGACTGCGCGCAATTGGCTGCCGCGTTTCGTCCACAAAATGTACGGTCAATCCAATACATCGGCTTTGAGACGTCTGAACGACGTGATGAGGCGCTATACCACATGCGAGGTTTTTATTGTTCATTCTCATTTGATACTTCTCACTCATACCAATAATAATCCTCGGGAGGACGTCTCAAAGCACCGCGCAGGATGCACCGTGAAGTGTAGTGACTGTGTGTTTGGTAGGCGAACTCCGGGCTAGCCAAACAACATAAATTAATAATAAATACAGTTACGGATAACCCTCGCATTTCTTCACGTCCCCAAATTATAATTAAAAAAGTGCGCAGTCAATGCCGCGTTTCACCCACAAAGTATACAGTCAATTCACTTCACAGTGTATCCTGTGAAGAGCTTTGAGACGTCTCGATGATGTGATCAGGCGCTGTACCAAATGCAAGGATTATTATTATTATTATTACCATTACAGCGAAAGGCTGCACTGACATCTCTTGTTTCTTGCAGCCGAGACCTTTGTCCTGGACGATGGATTTCCCCGCCCCCCCGAGCACCGGCTCAACCCCATGGACTCCGCCCTCAACTCCGTCAACTCGTCCAGCCCCACCCGCCGCAACTCCAGGGAGTTCCGTGTGTACCGGCCCCTCCACCACTCGACCAGCCTAACCCAGAACAAGCCAGTGACCTTGAGGAGGCTCAGCTCCGGAGGTGAGGAAAGCCCGTCTGCCCGTCAGAGAGACCCGCAGCACAGAAGGAGGCCATTCGGCCCATCGTGCCCATTCCGTGCCTCTTTGAAAGAGCTACCAACGAGTCTCAGCCCCAACCCCCGCCCCCAACCAGCCCTCCGCTCTTACCCCATAGCCTTTAACATGGGGGTGGTAGAGTTGAGTTGAGTTGCACGGAGAAAAGGATCGGCCACGATCTAAACCTGGTGGAACAGACTCGATGGGCTGAATGGCCTCCTCCTGTACCCACCTGTTTTCTTAACGTTCCCGAATCCGCAGCTCTTCCCCATTGTATCCCAAGGAATTGAAACTTCCCGTTTCACTTTACGGTGTGGCCTGTGAAGCGCATTGAGGCGTGGTCCCAATTCTTTGTGACGATCAGGGAAGCGAGGTACGAAGGGTTCGGTCTCTCGGGCTCCCCCTCAGCGCAGCAGCGATGATAGTTTTCTTTGGAGGCGGGAGCGAGCAAGCAATCTGCTGCGAGGCTCGGGAGGGAGTGTGAGGAATGCTGCTTGTCTCGCCAGGTTCGGATCGCTATATGGCCTCGCGGGACCCCCCTCGTTCGATCGGCAGAGACCCCTCCACCTGGACCGTGGAGGACGTGATGCAGTTTGTGAGGGACGCAGACCCCCAGTCTCTGGGACCTCACGCGGACCTCTTCCGGAAGCACGTGAGTGCCTGCGCCGGGGCCTGAGACAATCAGCCCAGATTCCTCCTCTGGGTCACTACCCACTGAGCTCTCCTGCCGTTCGGTAGACAGCCTCAGGCAGGAGCGAGCCTCGGTCCTTCAGCTCCACCCGTCCAACTTGTGTCTGTGGTCTAGGGATGAGATGCTAGAATGCCACCTCCAACTCCGACCCCCCCCCCCCCCGCCAGTTTTTGATAGTTTGGGTGAGAGAGGACCGCTGTACAGCAGGGAATCTTGAAAAAGTCATTTGGTGCATTTATCTTAAATCTCACCCCTCATCCTCGCCCGGCTTCACTGGCTCCCCATCCCCTCCAGAGGACTTGTTCAAGAGATCCTCTTCCTCACCTTTAAAGCCGCCCACTTGTCTCGCTCCACCCTACCTACCTACTAAAACCTTACCAACCAGCCCGCTCCCTCCGCTTGACGGTCAATGGCCTGCTCCATCATCAGCGATCGGGCATTCATCCTTTCTGCCCCTATCTTATGGAACTCCATTCCCAGATCCTCTCTGCCTCGCTCCCTCCCTTGTCTCCTTCAAGGTCCATCTCAAGTACTTCCCCTTTCCTTCGGGCTTCCTCCCACCTCCACCCATCTGGACTGCAAACCCCCAGCCTCGGGTGCAAATTCTTGACTAGGCCAGAACCTTGGAACGATCTCCCAAAGTGAAAGGCGCTGGTGGTTGTTGGCTAATGCTGTTGGCTTTGTGCTCTGCGCCACAGGAGATCGACGGCAAAGCTCTGCTGTTATTACGGAGCGACATGATGATGAAGTACATGGGCCTGAAGCTGGGACCAGCCTTGAAGATCTGCTACCACATCGACAGACTCAAGCAGGGAAAATACTAACCCGGGACCTGGGCGGAAAGCGAGACTTTCAACCAAATTCCAAAAAAAATATATATATAACGCCAGAACAGGGAGCTGGCCAGACAGCTCCAGGCGAGGAGGACGGTGGCTCGAAGGGCAATTTGGTCCAGTTCTGCCCCTTTGCTTCCCAAGGTGGGACCCGTCAAGAGTCAGCAGTTGAACCGGATTTTTTTCTCAACGGGTCAATCGCCAGTGACCTCTCTGCCACGCCTTCCCGTTAAGACTGGTGGACAACGACCGCCACCCCCCCACCCCACCACCACCACCACCACCACCGCCGTGGATTGGTTTGGGCCGGCTACTAGTTTCCGACGCTCGCTACGAGACTTTGCTCCCCTGCGTTTCCCAAACTGGAAGGGGAGACGGGTGGGGGAGAGGGGAAGAGCGGAGCAAAAAGAGAGAGAGAGAGAGAAAGAGAGAGAGAACTCCCCTGTTATGCAGCGGGAGTGAAATATTTTATTGATACTGCCCCCCCCCCCCGCCCCCCGGAAAAAGAAATGCTGTTATGTAGCAATGTAGCTCTATTTTGTTTGTAATCCTCTCGTTTCAATTTCCTTGGACTTTCCTGCAATCCTCAACTCTGTCCCGAGAGAGGAACACAATGTGCCAATTTGTGACTGACCCTCTTTTTCTCCTCCTCCCCCCCACACCCCCCTCCACACGCACACACGCACATACCCCCCCACAGCCCCCCACTCTTCCCTCCTCCCGACACCCTATCCCACACAACGATCCCATTTGATGCTTTTGAATCCTGGAGAAAGAGAGGGGGAAAGGGTGAGGGTGAGGGTGGGGGGGGGGAGAAAAAGGGGAGTGAGTCCTTCCGTTTCCCATACCCCCCCCCCCCCCCACTACTGTATTGCACTCCAAAGCGGTCGGAAAAAAAGATTTAACAGCAAGCGAAAGTTTTTTTTTTCTAATTATATATTTAAACGTATATAAATGACGATCGTTTCTGAGAAGAAGAATTGATCCCGGGCATTTTGCTTTCTTGTTTGTTTTGAAACGACGGAAGCTTTAAATATATATATATATATTTTCTCTGGGTCAGCCAACCCCGTCGCCGTGCTCGAAAGCGTCCCAACCAGTGCGCGCACACGTTCCCCGCCGCAGACACACGGAAATTTCCCCGCGTCTGGTTTCGGCGTGGCTTCCTTGGCGTCACGGTGGAGGGGGAAGGGGGCGGCGGGGGAGAAAGGGGGACAGTCTCCTTCTATCCTACAGCGCATTACACAATCTTGTTTTCTGTTTCCGTTCAATTGTGGACGTGTTTTTTTTTTGTTTGTTTTTTTTGGGGGGGGGGAACTGGTTTTGCTCTCCTCTGACCGAGCGAGTCGTCGGAATCGGAATTTTTGGAGTCCGAAGCAAATCCTGCACCTGAATTCACTAATGTAGCACTTGTCTTCCCCCTCCCCACCCCACCCCACCACCACCCAAAAAACGGTTACGACTTCACACAATCTCACTCGGTGTGAGTCGCTGCTTCCGTTTAACACAGACCCGAGCGTGTGGTCGGGTTGAGCGATGCCCTGGTTGAGCTAATTTATGTTGCCGACGACAAGATGGGAGAGGACTTTGCGGATGTAGTCATTCTGGGCGATGGGGATATATGTTATTGCGAGCGGCTAAGCTGCCTGCGGAAATACCCAATCTTTTCTGTGACCGACCGTCGATTTTAACATTTCATAGTTTCCCTGTTTGATGGTATGTTTTATACAGCATGCGTCTAGTAAAAAAAAATATATATATTTTTATTTACTATTACCGAGGAGCGTTAAAAGAGCCGGTTGACTCCCCCCCCCCCCCCCAAAAAAAGACGTTCCAGAAACTCGGAGCTGCATCTCGTGGGGAAGGGAGTGAGGAAGTCTCCCTCCCGCCCCCCCCACGCCTCGGAGTGGGTTGAGTTGATAACAACAACAACAACAACAAGATTCCATTTATAAAGCGCCTTTCACGTCAGGAGGACGTCCCAAGGCGCTGCACAGTTGGGCCATGACCCGAGCATTGGGGGGAAATGGTCAGGGTGAGGGAAGGGAGGGAGCGAGGAGGGGGGAAATGGTCAGGGTGAGGGGAGGGAAGGGAGGGAGCGAGGAGGGGGAAGAGAGTCGAGAGGGGAGCTGAAGGCTCGGTCAAAGAGAAGGGAGTCGGTTCTACTCTGTACGAGAATTTGATGTTAAAGCGAGTGACGGAGACGGGAACGCCGATTTGAAAATACGGTAAATTCCTGATCACTCATCGTTCCAAGGGAAATGGGCTCAGCGACAAGTTAACAGGCGGGTTAGGCTTGTGTATAAACACATAAGTAAATGCGGACGGGAGACTGAGCTCTGGCGAGTCCAACCTTTCGGCTGCCCTATTGATCGGAGAAACATCCGTGGGCCCACGTAAGCAAGATTTTTGTGTTTCCCTTCCAGAAACAACATAACATTTACGGGTTACGGAGGGAGGAGGCGGTGGTGGGGGTCAGTTTGACCATCCTGTAAGCACTGGTGACAAGTTAAGAGTGTGCGGGCGAGGGGAGAGGCGCGGGGTGAGGGTTCGAGTTATCAGGAGTTTACTGTATATTTAAACATCCACGTTAGTTTGCTCTTACAGAACTGTTGAAATTATAAAGTCTGTGAAGTTCCTAACTCCTCCCGACCTGTTTCTTCGACCACCCACCCCCTCCCCCTCATCACTAATCGCGGACGGACAGACACCTGGGAAATGAGAGTGTTGAGAGTTGCGGAGCAAAGGCGAGGAATTGGGATTCAAGGATTGGCAACGATAAAAAAAAATAAAAACTGGCGGAACAGGCTCGATGTGCTGAATGGCCTCCTCCTGTTCCTGTCATTTGAACTGTCTCAGGGATACGTGTTCTGTTTTTGCATTCAAAGGGAATGTTTCTCCAACCCCTCCCCTCCCCCTCCCCCCCCCACACACACACACACGCCACACGCTTCGATGCTTAATTCAACTCCCTTCCCCGTCAGGAGGCCCAACACTTTGGCTCGTTGGGCAGGAGATGGTCCCAAAACTTTCTCGTATTGGGGTGTGAACCCACTTTCGGGTAGTGTCTCGGACTGCTTAACATTGGCGGAGCCTGGGGGGGTGGGGGGGGTGGGAGGGGGGAAGAGAGAGAGATTCCACTCGCTTCTCGAGAGGCACCGCCACCGAACCTTTAAAGGTCCACCTGAACCGGTGCAGACGAGGAACTCGGCTGAAACATAAAATATCTTGTGACGTCGATGAGAATAATGTGCAAAAGGGACCTCGGGGTTTAACAACAATTCCACCCCTTCCCTCCCCCCCCCCTCCCCGGAACTGCACTGGAACCTCAGTGTCAAAATGAGCTCGAGTTCCCACTGGGGGTTTGGAGGGGAGGAGATAGGGAAGGTATCGGTGGGGCTGTCAGTCTTCAAAAGGTTATTGGTTTGGTGAAAAGTATTCTTTGGTCCACACACCCCCATTATTGGTGGGGCGGGTGGAATGGGGGGGCTATTTTTCAGCTCGAGTGTTGCACAGTTGCATGCAACGTGTTCGTGACATGAAAAAAAATAACAGTTTGATTGATTATTAAACCGATTGTATTAAGTTTTCCAAACTTCTAGAGGTTGGCGTTTGTAATTTCTTTGAGAGAGAGAGAGAGAGAGAGAGAGACACACACACAGTTTTAACCTGGTCTCAATTTGGGACACAAATGAGAATAACTTGTCTGCTCCGCGTCTCCGGCTCTTACGAGCGCAATTGTCGTGTGCAGAAACGAGAAGCCACAGAGCACATTTGAACTATTTTCGAACATTTCTACAAAGTGTGTTATTGTTGTCGTCGTCGATTTGAAATCGTACAAGTGGCTTGAACGGGTGGCAGTTCGTTTTAATTGGTGGCATTTAATCAGTTACACACGTGTTTAACAAGGTTCCCACACATCTCTCTCTCTCTCTATCTCTGTCTCTTTTACCACTTGTCAATTGTTTGAAGTTTTATTTGAACCAGGAATGATGCAGCAGAAAGTAAGTGGGATTCTTTTTTTATTTCAACGTGTGTGGGCTTTTTTTAAGATTCAGATTCAAGAGATTCGGAGAGGGAGGGAGAGAAATAATAATAGGAATTGATACAAACTATTCTGGACTTTAAAGCAAATTTGCTGTTCTTAAACGTTGCGTGGTATCAGTTTCTCAAGTCGATTCGACGGAACTTTCGCACCATTTATTTTAGATGAAATCGGATTTTTCTTTTTAAAAAAGGCTTTCGACGCTTGAGAATTAAATCGCAGCAATTTTTTTAAATCTTACAACAAAAACACCAACAAAACGATTGGAAAATGCGACCATCCGTCGGCTTTTTAACGAATTCCCTCCACCTGGTTCAAGCTGGATCGAGTTTTGCAGCAACGATGCTTAGAGTTGCAGCAACAGAAAAAAAAAAGGAACTTATACGCTTCGGGATACGAATAAAAAAAGGGATTTGATACCGTCACCAGCTTCGAACAACCCCTGTTTGAGCACTGAACATGCCTTGCCCTTGATGAGGAAACGTGTCGTGGTTGTGATGTAAGTTACCCCATTCTCTCTCTGCATCATTACCCTTTTGTTACATCAGTTCACAAATCAAAGCATTTTTATTTGGTAAACTTACTCGTACTTGAGACTCGAGAGAAAGAGAAAAAAAAACAACGAACGGCCCAGGACAGCAAGAAGTGAAAACGCCAGCGCAATTTTTTTTTAAAAAAAAGGTACTTTCTTTTTTAAAATACCCCCAAATTTCTTTGAAATAATCATCATCGTCCTTGCATTTGATATAGCGCCTTGTCATGTCGTTGAGATGTCTCAAAGCGCGTCACAGAATATACATAGTGCCCAGCAGTTGTGGATTGAGTGACCAAATTATTATTATTATTATTTATTTGTGGAATAATAACGCCTTACTTCGAACTTAATTCAGAAATATCGTCATTTTCTTTCTGAACTCAAAAGATCAAGACGGGAGAAGAGGAGGCCGTTGGGTTTGAGGTTTTCAGCAAAATTGATTGGTTTTTTTTTTTCTCAAACGCTCGCAGCTGTGGATTTCCAGAATTCCGAGAATAGTGAGAAAACGGGGAAGAAAACTGCAGTCACCCCTCGTAACGCGGTTCGGGATTGTTGCTTTTATTTGGCGTCTAAAGTCTTGAAATACTCCGCAGAAACTCAGACCACAATTTTCCATGTTTATCTTTTTTTCTCTCATGCAAGTTTCTCGTTCCTAACCCGCACATTGTCCCATTTTTATTTATCCTGCTTTTAAAACCCAGCGTACGGTTACCGGATTTCTCAGTTTCGAGGCTGTTTCTTTGTGGATTAAGGTTAAAGTCGTCTCGTTTTAGAGTTGCTTTTAATCGTCCCAACAATAATAATTTGGTCACTCAATCCACCGCTGTTTGCGGGGACGCTGCTGTGCGCAATTGGCTGCCGCGTTTCGCCCACAAAATACACAGTCGATTCACTTTACAGTGTATCCTGTGAAGCGCTTTTGAGACGTCTCAATGACGTGATAAGGCGCCGTATCAAACCCAAGGATTATTATTACTGTTGCATTTTGTCCTGCTACATTGAGCGTGAAATTAAATGTTGTTTCAAAAGCATCCTGAAAGCTATTGCACGCTCAGCTCTTATTGTACCGCTCTGCTGTGTTGTGTGGCTGCTCACATTTAAGTGCAGTGTTAAGTTACCTTGTGCTTAAGCCGTTCCCTCTCGTTTCCCAACACTGTGCAGTGAATGGCCCCTCCTGGCAGCCATCTGGCGGACATCCCTGGTATGGTGCGAGGGGCTGCCACTAGTCTGGTTAATTAAGTTGTTCACCTTCAGCGAGATGGTTTCACATACCAGGGAAGGTGGGAGGGTGGCCGAAGGCGAGTTCGAAGAGGAGGGTACCTTCACCCCTTCCCGTGACTCCTTCAAGGCCCATCTCAAGACCGTCCTCATCGGCCGCAACCTTCGACCACCTTCCTACCTTCACCCTCCCTGCCCTCCCCCCATCCTGATCCCGACCCCCAGTTTGGGTGCACGTCCTTGACTGTCCAGCGCTTTGGGACGTCCTCCCGAAGTGAACGGCGCTGTGTAAATGTTCTCGGGCCTGAACCGGTCTGTTTATCTTCCAGGTGGGAGAATCTCTGCCCTAAATCATAGGGGAAAAGCCAACGAGAGATCTTGTGACTTCAAAAGTATTCCAAGACGATGCTCATCAAGACAAGACCACAGAACCACCATGGAACATGGAGACACTGACCAGGGTGGGTGGGCAAAGTGTGAAAGGACCGAAACAAAGGGAAACAAAGGGAAGAACCGCGCACGTCTCCACCATCCAAAACTGACCAGAATGCTTTCAGGGTGAAGCCATGGACGAGGGCAGCATCAGGACCTCCGGTCGTCAGTCGATATTTGTGGGTAACCTGAATCCCGACTTCTCCAAGGAGCTGCTGTGTTACATGCTGAAGGACTTGATCGCTGCCGTTGGCGTCGTGCTCCAGAGACGCGACATAGAAGTCTTCAAGAAGCACAAACGGGCCCACGCGTTTATCCGCGTGAAGAAAACGGGCGAATTCCAGGCCATTTTAGATGAGCTCCAGAACCCTGCCATTCTGGAGCTCGCCAACATGAAGGACTTGGTGGTCAGGGGGAAAACACTCAACGTGGCCAAGGATATGCGAGACTTCTCGGAATACACCAAAGACTCCTCTGATAAGGTAAAGGGGGAGATTGAACGACAATAGCACTCACAAATTCACATTAAACTACCACGCCTCTCGCGTCGGGAGGACGTCCCAGGGCGCTTAGAGATGTAGGAACAAGGGTAGGCCGTTCAGCCCCTTGAGCCTGTTCCGCCATTCTGTTAGCTCTTGGACGATCTCCAATTGATTAATTAATGGCTATAAATAATGGCTTAGCACCCGAGCTGGGGGGGGTGGGATGGCATAACATGATCGATAGAGCAGTCGAAAGAGTTCTTGAACAGGAAACGCCCGGCGCAGAAAGAGGCCATTCGGCCCATCGAGTCCTCACCGGTTCTCGGAGTGAACCGCACTTTCAATCCCGCTGTGTGCGCGCGGGGTTTATTTTATTCTTAAGGGCTAAGAACGGGCGGAATAACTGCTCAAATTACGCGCTGAAGTAGGCGTCGGTGGCTTATTAACGAGGGTGTTCTCACTTGTTGCTGCTCCCCCAGTGCAGTCCGGCCGCAGGTTCCAAACGCGAAGCCGCGAGCGCGAGGAGGAGACCGGAGGCGGGACAGGGGCTGGGGGTCAGTCTGCTCGGGGCCAGGCTCGCGCTGTGGCCGAGCCGGCTGGTGGACCGCATGGCCACCCCGTTGATGAGCACCAAGTCGGACAGCGCCATCATCGGCGGAGAGATCTCCGGGCAGGAGCGCTTGTTTTTCGGGGAGCAGATGGGGAGCGAGACGCGCAACGTGGAGTTCAAGCGGGGCGGAGGGGAGTACATGAACATCGCCTTGAAGCACCACATCAGGAAGTACGTGTGCGCGTTCCTGAACAGCGAGGGGGGCAGCCTGTTTGTGGGGGTGAACGACGACGGGACGGTGTGCGGGGTGGAGTGCACTCACAAGGACGAGGACAGGGTCAGGCTGATGGCCGATTCAGTTCTGAAAGGCTTCAGGCCACCCCTCTTCCCGGGCTCCTACTCCATCCACTTCCTCCCCGTCGTCAAGGACGGTCACTCGGGCCTCTTCCTGAAGGTGATGAGGTTGACCGTTCAGATACCGAAGAAAGAGGGAGATGTTCTCCTCTACGAGACAGACCAGGGGGAAGTCTACGTGCGCAGAGATGGAAGCGTCCAAGGTCCGCTCTCGGGAAGCTCCATCCAGGAATGGTGTCGGCAGGTAATCACCGTAACCGCCGCGATTACTGTCCTCGCCTTCTGCGGCTGGAACGCAATCCCGAGTCCCGTAGCGCAGTGGCTAGTGATCTCGCCTCGCAAGCGAGAGGAACCAGGTTCGATTCCCCGGCCGGGTGAAACTTAAGGCAAGTTTCCTTCCTCCACAGGCCTCTGTTTACCGAGTAAACAGTAAGTAGAAACCCGGTTGTTAGTTGATTAGCGCTCGCATTCTGGGGGTAATAATCCCACCCCCAAACCACCCCTCAGCTCCCCCCCAAAAAAAATTGGTGTGATTCAGCGCAGTCAGCAGCCACTTAACAGTGTGTGTGTGTGTGTGTGTTTTTTTCTCTCTCTCTCTCCCTCCGTCTCTCAGAAATGGACGGCGGAAATCAAGAAGTTACAGGACAAGATGGACCACTTAGTGCGAGAGGAGCAGTACCTGCAGGAAAAGCTCCGACGGAAGCAACAATCGATCGTTGAGCTCCAGCAAAACCAGCAGGACATGCAAGTCACACACTCAGGGAAAGCGACAGTATCCCATCTCTGCTGTGTAATGTGATTCACCCGCTCCCCCACCTCTCCCCCCTTCCCCCACCACCAACCCCACTACAACACTGGCAGAGAAGAACCACCACTGGCTGCGCGTTTTCCCATTGAACATCGGATTGGGACTTGACCGGGAACATCATCATAATCCGAGCAGCTCGGAAATTACACCTCAATAAACTCTTTGCTGTCCTGACCCGCTCCTGTCCATCATGGCGTGATTTAAGAGTGATTTACGATGTATCTAAGAGCTACTGATTATGACCTGGTCCACAGGGAGTGGAGTGATTTTATTATGAGGGCTTCAGTGTTTAGCAGGATTCTTAATTAGTTATTAGTTGGTCAGTTAGTTTTTCGGTGAGCTTCGCAATAATAATCCTCGCATTTGATATAGCGATATGTCATTGAGGCATCTCAAAGTGCTTCAACGATCCACTGTATCTTATGGGCTACAGGTTAACAATGCTGAGGACCTTCAGATGGAATGGGGGTAGTTTTCCAAGTGGAACATTTTACCCCAGTTGGGAATCAAGTTGCAGATCAGCCATGGTCTGATAAAGAGAGAGAGGGGGAACTGGCTTAGCAGAACAGCCTACTGTAGGTCCTACATTATCTTAACTTCCGGTTATTGCAGGGGAATTGATTCCAGCCACAGCATCGAAACCATTGGACTTGCTGCTTATACGGTTGTGGTACATTTTGTTATATACTGTGCGTTAACCTGCCACAATATTTTCCAGCTGCTGCCAATCACACCAAGACGCAGCGAGGGTAAGCTTCTCTTTCCGTTCCTTTTCCGCTGTAGAGTGCTGTTTCCTTGTAATGAAATTCTACCCTTAAATGCAACACGAGACCGGACTTTAGCAGCTCCGGAAAGAATACTGTATTTCCCAAACTGTATGAACAATGTGTTTCCTTTTGTATCTGGTAGAACCAGAGTCGAGAGGGAGAAAGAATGCCAGTGATGGACGGACATGTTCTCCGAAAGGACGTGGGAATTTTCAGGTAAAATGGGGTCTCCGATTTGGCATAAAATCCTCTCACTCGTGTTGGGGTTTAATCGGGAGGGTAGGATCCGGCACAAAGGCTCCAGGGCTCTGCAGCTTGTGGAGGGGAGAGTTTGGAAGCATGGAAATGCAAGTTGTTGTTGACCCATGGGAGATTGGCCATTGTAGCTCATCAGGGAGGGCAAGTTCTGGCCGATGTTTGGCTGGTCCGGGCTGTCGCTCATCTGGATGTCAGGCTCTGGGGTGGTCAGTATTGGGAGGTATTCAAGGGGACACTGGTATCTCCCTTCTCCCTGCCATCGTGTGGCTCCTGTGCATTTATTTACCTCTTGTAGAAATTATGTGAGGTTAGTAATTCTACGGACGCAGGGCTTGCTGCGTTCGTGTGCGATTTGGGACGTCCTCCCGATGTGAAAGGCGCTGTACAAATGTACGTTGTTGTTATGGGTGTGTGTGTGTGTGGGTGTGTTTGGGTGGGGGTATGTGGGGGGAGATGAGTAAGTTTGCTGCCAAACTTAGGTCCTCACACATTAAAACCTGGCTCAAGTCATTTTGATTTCTTCCCATTAATTTATTGGAAAAATCACTCAATCAGACAATATTGCTCTCTTTTGCACAATAGGTAAAAAAAAACACATGTACAGTAGTTACATTTTTCACACAGGCTCAAGTCTGCTGCTCTCCCTCTCGAGGTTTGCTTGAAATGAGGTGCAGGCAAGCAGATAGAGAGAGAAAATTTATTCACTGTTTTGTTTGTTACAGCCACTTTTGCTTCTAATCCTTGCATTTGATACAGCGCCTTTCACACCAAGGTGAGGGGGGGATGAAACGTGTCTCAAAACACTTTTGTCAGGATTTACCGTAAAGCATTGCGACTGTATTTTGTTCGCAGGTGAAGCAGCCAACGTCCCACAACCAGCCACAAAGTGAAAGCTCCCTTCTCTCTCTTTCTCTCGTCCCTAATTCATTCCAATATAACGGGAGACTCTTAAATAGATGGATCTCAAAAGCTTGAGCGAGAAGACCAACATGGCTGCAATGCCCTGTTATAACAGTCTAATTTTATGGAGTCAAAATATTGCGTTATAACATGGCGGGACAACAACAACTCGCATTTATGAGGCGCCTCTCACGTAGGGTAGAGTCCCAGAGTGCTTGACGCGATGCTAAGCCGGGGGGGGGGGGTTGGGAGTAGGCACGATCGAAGAGGAAGGTCTTGGATGCGTGTGATAGAAAGGTCAGGATGAACAAAAGCCCATTAAAGCGTCTTGTTTAACAAATGGGGGGAGGAGGAAACCTTCCATTCAGTGATGCCTCGCATCGCCTTCGTCTAATAGTTGCTGACGGGTTTAGGAAACCTCTTAAGTTTTCAGAATAAACACTGGTTGTTGGGGAGTTAAACACTACATATCACATGATCAGTGTTTTCTCTTCCTCCGTTCTACTTTTGATTGCATTTGTGTGCTTTTTTTTTCCTACTTCCAAATACGTGCATTTTGGAAATTTATAGAAAACTAAAAAATATATATCTCAAACAAAGTAAATGAAAGTAACCTTGATCGAGCCCTACTGCTTGGCAGTAATACAGCAAACTGTTAAATACATCCAAAAAAATCCATGAGCTCTGGCTCTGCAAGAACTAATTGAACAGAGTAAGTAAGGTAACGGACTTAAGTGGTAAGTCCCCGATAGAGTAACACTGCAGAATGAAATGCACCGTTCAGCAAAAATGTCCCAATTTCCACAGCTCGGTAGAACATAAGCAACGACCTGAACGAAAAGGTGAGAGAAAAGTCGCATTTTAGACGACACTTACTAAAGATTAACTGTACTTAAGGCACGCTCTCTTCTTAACTTAGTGGAAGCAGGTAGGGAGGGGCAGATTGGAGCCCACTGAGCAGAGGGAGCAGACAGGCCTGTATATGGCGTTAGCAGGTCACAGGGGTAGGGAGGAGCAAAGCCACGGAGGGCTTTGAAAGCGAGGACAAGGATTTTGAACTCTATCCTCTGGGGGATGCGGAGCAAGTGGAGCCAGACGAGGGTGGATGTAATAAGCTCACGGAGCCTGTGGTGCGGGAGAGGACACGAGCTTCTGAATGACCTGCAGCTTGGGGAAGAGGGAAGAGTTGGGAAGGGCGTGAAGCAGGGAATTGGCACAGTTGAGCCTGGATGCGACTGAACATTCAATCGCTGGAAACTTACCAGACAAAATGTTATTCGTGTAGTGAGATGGATGGCAGCTTTAAGTCGGCAATTTCAGAATCTGGGGAACTACCGCCACTGTGATCACTGTAAGTATCCCTGAGAGAAAAGCAAAAAAAAACACAGATCATTATTACTCGTGAGAATCCTTGGCTTTGATTTTTTGTTCTTGGTCAGTCGGGTGTCTGACACACATGAACGAGTCGAGGTAAGTCTCTGTTCAATCAGTAGAGTTTTCATTTTTTTCTTGATTGGCATAAACCCCAAAATATTCAAATCAAAATTATTATTTTTTTTACCAGACAGTAAACGTTGGATGCACCACTACACTGAGTCAACGATCGACCTGCTTTTATTTGGAGTTTCTCAAGCTGTTGTGGATTATTACCTGGGCGACAGCCTGCATCCCTTTTGCAAATAGCTCTGAAGTTTTCCTGCAGCCGCCAGCAACAGCCCGAAATAAGGGGGTGAAGGCTTCATGGGCCGAGAGGTGAACTCTGGGTGGTACTGAACCCCGACAAAATAAGGGTGATCTGTAACAATGAGAATATTTGTTTGTACCAGTAATAACACTTGCGTTTTATATATAATAATCTTCGCATTTGATGTAGCGCTTTATCCCAAAATATATACTGTAAAGTGAGTGGAATGTATATTTTGTGGGAAATGCGGCAGCCAATTGCGCACAGCAGCGTCCCACAAACAGTCGTGGATTGAATGACTAAATTATTATTATTGTTGTTTTGAAGAGATTATTACCCTCCGGAAAAGCGATCCGCCAGTCGATTAACAACCGGGCTCCTACTTACTGCTGGTGAGCAAGGAAACTTGCCCAAGGATTTGCCCCCATGCCGGGAATCAAACCCAGGTCCTCTCGCTTGCGAGGCAAGTGGTCTAACCAATACTGGACTCCACATATAATAATAATCCTTGCATTTGATATAGAGCCTTATAATAATAATATCACGTCATCGAGATGTCTCAAAGTCATTCACAGGATATACTGTAAACTGGTAATGTTCACAAGGGTGCAAATGAACTGTACACTGTGCAATTTTGTGCGCGAACTCTAGCTAGCGATGTGGCTGTGAGATTTAGCTTAATTACCAAATGGGATTTGCGCGACTGCAGCATTTAGCCTGTCCCTCACCGTCCAGTTCTATTATTTCCATCCGTTCTCCTTCCACGTCCTGCCCAACAAATCGGAAGCCCTTATCCTCAAAGTTGTTTCTCAGCTCGGGGTTTACCTGGAATCCAGCAGTTCACACGTAGAGAAGGTGAGAACAATGTTTATGATTAGCGATAACTCTTGCGTTTTTTTTTGGGTGTGGCTCCTTTCATGGCAGGAGAGTTGCGCAGGGTTTACTGTTGAAGTGTACCAACTGTGTATTTTGTAGGCAAACGCAACAGGCAATTTACCGCAATTTCCCACAAACAGTCCGGAAGTAACAATGATTTAAGATCTTATCGACCTTTTTTTTCTTGGCCACCAAAATACTTCTTGATTGACGCCACAAACCAAGAGATAGTCAAATCAAGAAACATTTATTTTGTTCGCCAGCCAAAAAAGGTTGGCCACCACTGATCTAGAGGATGGTCGTTCCGAGACCCGGGAGAAATTCCCCGTTCGTGTTGAGCAGTGCCGTGGGATCTTTAACATCTGCCTGAACAGGCACAGGTGGGAAATCCATAAACTTCAGACTCAACAACTACAACAAATCAGGTGGGAAAGTCATCCCAGGGCGCTGGACAATCAGGGGTTTTGGAGCTGGGAATTGGGGTCAGAAGGGGAGGAGGTGGCCCAAGGCACGATCGAAGAGGTGAGAGTGTTACTGCCTGAGCCAGGCTGACTGATAGTGTACGTTTACAACAACAACAAAAGCCACTTGGATTTATATAGCGCCCTTCACAAGGGGTGGGGTCCCGGAGTGCTTAAAGAGAGACGTGGGGGTGGGGGGAAACAGCTGTGACAGCGGGGAACAGAGTTTGATTTGTACCTCGTATCGATGCCTGTGACGCTCCTCAACATAGTCCTGAACCCCGTAGAGCCTTCCTGTGAGTCAGAGAGACGAAACAAAGTATTGAAGGGAAAATAAAACGCCCAAAAACTTCCAATATTCTTATATCAAGGGATGTGGGTCGGAGGAAGGTTTTGAGACGGCCTTTGAAGGAGGCGAACGAGGGGTCGAGGCGAAGGGGCTCCGGGAAGGAGTTCCAGAGGTTGGGAGCAGAAAAGCTGAGGGCTTGACTACTGATGGTGGAACCGGCAGGGCGGGGGACATGGGAGCAAGCCAGGGCCTGGTGAGCGGAGAGAGCAGACGGGTTGGTATGGGGTTGTTGGTAGGTCACAGAGGTTGGGAGGAGCAAGACCTTGGGGAGGCTTTAAAGGTGAGGACAAGGATCTTAAACTCGATCCTCGTAAGGTCAATGAAGCAGCTGAGAGGGAGGGGGGAGGAGAACCCAGATATTAGAAGAGAAGGAGTGGGTTAAAATAAACAGGCTCTTACTTAACACTGAACTTGAATCCTTGAGTATTGTTCTCCTCTTGCCAAGTCTCATGGTTCCTCCCATTTCTCCAGGATTGTGCTCTGGCATGTCGATCACCTGCACGAAATGTCACGCGGATTTTTAAACCCGTCAAATGGAAACAGACGAAAGCATTGTGTGCGGTTGCTAAAAGATGCCCCTTAGGGCATGAGTTCCTTTGGGACGTCCTCCCGACGTGAAAGACGCTATACAAATGCAATTTTGTATTGTATTCTGCATTGTTACGAGTGAAACTGAAGCGCATCCTTTTATAAGACGGTGGTTTTGTTCCAAATAAACTGTTTGTGTTATTATCGGCAGGTAGGCACTGCTTTCAGACCAGATTTGCTTGGATTTTCTCGTCCAACCCGCGACCCAACAAGGTTTTATATGCAACACTGGGTTAAAATCAATTAAAATATACATATTTTTTAAAAATCTGGTATTTGTATGTATTAAGTTTCACGCAAGATATCATTATAATAATCCTCGCATTTGATATGGCGCCTTATCACGTCTTCGAGACGTCTCAAAGCGCTTCACAGAATATAATGTAAACAGCAAGCCAAACAAAATATGTATCCTAAGATGCGACAAAGATTGCTGATTCCACCCAACATACTTACCACTGGGTGGCTTGTAGAAGAATCAAATTCAGTAGAATTTGCATCTGCAGAAGATCACATTAGCATTACATAAAATGCAATACAACGTGTGCGCGATAAAGCTTACTTCTCGTTCTGCGTTAAAAGTTTACCAGGATATGCTTTGAGTTGCCCTTCAAATCGCGGGAAATTGTACGTGAAATCGAGAGGTTCGCGTCTCGGTTTAATAACGGCCTCGAGCCCTTACCTAACCATCCGAGGACATTCCGCGCAAACTCCACAACTGCGAGCTGCATTCCGAGACACACACCTACAGGGGACGAGCAGCTTCAGTTATAATAATAATAATAATAATGGAGGATGTCCCAAAGAGCTTCCCAAATGATTATTATTTCCCCAAAATAATAATCCTTGCCTTTGATACAGCGCCTTATCAAATCGATGAGACATCTCAAAGCGCTTCACAAAATATACTGTAAATTAGGTGGATTGTATTTTGTGGGCGAAATGATAGTGCAAAGTAGTAACTCTTTTTTGAGGGGGGAGATGCGGAGAACAACACAAGGGCTATACTAATTATACAGGGTTATTACAAAATGGAAACTAGGAGCGCACCTCAGAGTGTTAATCCTACGTTCTTACCTAAATAAGGCTTCTTCTGTTTTCTGGCCCAAGATATGGCAAGAATCTTTCCCTCTGTACCTCGAATACCAAAACCTCCAGGTACCAAGATGCCACTAACAGGAGTAAACAATGGAGAGTGAGCGTCTGGGCAATATCACAGCGGCAAAAACAGGACAGGTTATCGTCTCACCGCAAGACACGGAGTGAGATTTACAGGGTATGCCCGTCATCACAAGTTTAACCCCGGTCTGCTTCATAACTGCAGATCCACAACAGACCTATGCATCTGCGCCTTCGGTCACCCTCCTACCCTCACCCTCCCCGCTCTCCGCCACTCCTGATCCCAACCCCCAGCTCGGGTCCAAATCCCCGAATGTCCAGCGTCTTGGGACATCCTCCTGACGTGAAAGACGCTGTACGAATGTAATGTGTTGATGTTGTTGGGAGGACGTCTCAAAACACTGGACGCTGCTGGCTGGGGTATTTTTTTTGGGGGGGGATAGATGAGGAAGGAGATATTACTTCAGACAGCAGCATTGAGGTATGCGAAGTACTCACTGAGCGCTGCATAAATTCTGCCAGGCCTCGTGGTACCGAACTGGTTCCTCCTGCTGTGTGCCATATTCCAAATCTGCAGAGTCAATATACTGGAGAGAAAGAGAGCGAGACGTGAATTAAGGCCCGCATTAAGGTACGTGCACTCCAGAGAGAGAGAAAGAGAGGGGGGGTGGAGAGGGAGAGTTAAGAGAGAAAGTGACAGAGGACAGGAAGAGAGAGAGAGAAAGAGGGAGAGTAAAAATAGAGAGTGAAAGAGAAAAGGCGAGGACAGAGTGAGAGAAAGGAAAAGAGAGAAATCGCAAGCCATCACTACTTCGTGCTTTCTCACTTCAGCAAATACAAGAGCAGGAATCAAGAGTTACCGCACAGCAAAGCAATTAGCAAAGGCTTCCTCGCGAACAGTCTGTGAGCTCACCTTTACATCCAGTTTCTGGTTTATAGCTAGAGCGGAGTGTTCCAGGGCCTTGATGACGGAGGCGTATGAATCAGAGAGTTTGGTGTATTTACCAACCAATGCTATGGAACAAGTTTCCAATGTGCGATCGTACCTGCGAGGTTGGAACGAGGGGTGGGGAGAAAGGAGAGAAATTGTCATTCAATGAAAGGATGGAATGAGAACAGTTTATACCCAAAATGACACAGATGAACAAACACATTTGTTTGCCAGTAGATAAATCTAAATATCAACTTTAATCGAGTTAAAACTCAACGCGTCCAGATATTCCTTCACCCCCCACCCCCTCCTCCTCCACTCAGCAAAAGATTAACACAAGAAATGTACTGAGGATTTATTTTTAAAACCACTGGCGAGACTGTGTGGAATCGGCGCAAAATATTAACAAGAGAAGTATTGTCACGTGCAGATACTGAATAAAGCTGGGGCACTAATCACGTCTCAAAATAAGAGAGATTTAAATTTAAATTAATTTAAAGAACATCAGCTCCGAAACTAAGACTGAGGTTTTACAGAATTTCCCACGATCGGGCGATATCTTAAATGTTAAGACTTATACTTAGAAACACTGCCCGGATTTAATATAGCGTCTCATCAGAACACATCGGGTGGATGTGATAATAATAATAATCCTTGCATTTGACACAGCGCCTTATCATGTCATCGAGACGTCTCAAAGCGCTTCACAGAATACACTGTAAAGTGAATTGACTGTATTTTGCGGGGGAAATGAGAGGCTGTATCAAACACAGGGATTATTATTGTTATTATTACAGTTGGGTGTTAAAGCCCTTCACATGATTTTTACTGCAAAGTGTAGTGATAAGATTCAGCCCCCACATTACAGCCCCCAGTGTCAGTTTCCTCTCTCTATCATAAACAGAACAGCTCTGTGGAAGCGTAACCAGACACGAGAGTCACTGTACCTGTCCGCCATCTCTTTCCACTTTGTCAGCAATCTTCGTGGTCGAGTTTGAATTTGGAGATTGAGCCTCTGCCTAAAATATTCCACCACCCCCTCTGCTTCAAGTAACAGAGGGACCCGGTAGAGAGAACAAACATCGTGCACGCAAATAACCTGGAACCAAACAGAACCAGTTGAAAGTTTAAACTATTGGCAAAGAAGGAATGTAATGATTATTATCCTTACACTCGATCCAACGGCTTTTAGATGAGGAGGACGGCTCAACATGTGAGACAGATACTTAAAAAGTAAAAAGTTGCAACGGCTTTGGAGAAAGAGCGGGGGAGCGGGACGAGCTGGGTAGCTCTTTCAAAAAGCCGGCACAGGCACGATGGCCCGAATGGCCTCCTTCTGTGCTGTAGGATTCTACGGTTCTATTCATTCTGTGAAGCCCGCAAAAACATCCTTCACCAATTTTCATTTTGCGCACACACAGCGGCTTAGTCGCTATAAACGTCGCTACACGATTCTAAACAAAAGTGCACTAAGGTGTGGTGCAATTCGCAGGACCTATTGGGGGCTCCGGCTGCCGGAAAATAAAGACCATAAGAATTGCTGGACGAAAGAAGACCGAGGTCCATCCAGTTCACCTTCCACCGTTCCTGGCAGTCGGATGCACATGTCACACCCCAAACTATAACTAGACACTGAACACCAAACAACGTCACTCACCTGCTCGGGCTCCACGTGACAGAACATGGAAATCTTTTCTTTCACCGACTTCTCCATGGGGGTCGAGCACCGACAGACAATCTGCAGAGGGGATCACAGTGGGATTCCTGAGCACAGTTTCATTAGAGCCTCGACGGGACATGTGCCATTTGCTCAATGTGCACCAGTTGCTCAAAGCCACAAATCTACACGAGACGAGGGAAGGTGGTTGGGGGGGGGCGGGGGCAGTAATAATAATCCTTGTATTTGATACAAAGTGAGACGTCTTAAAGCGCTTCACAGAATATACTGTAAAGTGAATTGGGTGACCGGATTTTTCGGGATACGTTTAAGATAACAATCCTTACATTTGATGTAGGGCCGTTCGCACTGGGAGGATGTCTCGAAGCGTAAATTGGAGTGACTGTATGTTTTGTGGGCACAGAACAACAGTTACATAGCGCCCTTCACACAAGGTAGGGTCTCGGAACAGCTTAGAACAATACTGCATTGAATAATATCGAAAGTTACTTCCATATCGGCGCCCTGTTTTAAAACAGTGATAATAAATAATAATATTAATAATCCTTGCATTTGACATAACGTCTCATCAATAGTAGTTGAGATCCAGAAAATCCCAACCAACCCAATAAGTACACTATGCCGCCTACACACGCAAATTTCCATCCAGACCAAGGCTTGGCAGGTTTGGTTTGGATATTCTTAAGCGCGGTGATGTGTTTCCGCTCGGGTCAGGACACCCGGCTGACCAAAAAGAGATCGCGGAACAGCCTTCACTGACCTCATTAGCCCTAGCAATGTGGTACTGAGGTGCAAGCAGTCAGTCCATCCTCTCTCTCTCTGTCCCACCATCAGCGAAGGGCAAGCTGCTGTGTTAACTTAAGGCAGGAATCTGCATCTCACTCACCAAATCTGGTGACAGTCCCAATCCTCTCAGCTCCCGAACGCTGTTCTGTGTGGGTTTTGTCTTTTGTTCCCCTGTAGCGTTCGGCTGAAAAGAGACCGGGATTGTAGTGGGTCAGGATGTAATATTAGGTGTCAGAACTGAAATGGGAGCCTTAATTGTACCAAGGGTCTGAGTGCCGGAGCTGGCGAATAAGTGGTTCTCACCTGAGGCACTAAGCTGACGTGAATGTTGCAGAAGTTCTCCTTTTTGGCTTTGAACTGGAACTGCCGGAAAGCTTCAATGAAGGGCATGCTTTCAATGTCCCCCACGGTGCCCCCCAGCTAAACACAGAGAGAGAAAGCCCGGTTAGACCCTCGGTCTGCTCAAAACCCGACAGCGAAGTAAAAAAAGTTGGCTGGAGTGTCTCAAAGTGTTAAGAATCGACTGTAAAGTGGTGTCTTTGCAGATGAAGGTGGCAGCCAATTTGCGCACAGCAACATCCTCAATTTTAAGGGAGGTGGTGGGGGTGGGTGGGGGCGAGGAATTGTCAGCCAAGACATGAGCAGCCAAAAGGTCAGGGTTTTAACCCTGGTTTAAGGGGTTTACAGCCAGCAGCAGACATACCTCAATGACACAGACCTCAGGCTCCACACCATCCCCGTCCACCGGAATCAGTGCTTGTCGCACGACCCACTCCTGAATCGCGTCCGTGATGTGGGGGACGACTTAAAAGAGAGGAACGCAGCAGTTAGTTAGTCATCAAAGTACATTTCAATCAGAAAAAAAGCTTTCACAGCAATAATAATCCTTGCGTTTGAGTCGTCTCAAAGTCCTTCAAGCTTTAACTGTAGCGATCGAGACCAACAGAAGTGGAATGACTGCGCATTTTATTGTCGGGTGCAGCAGCCAATTTGGTCACAGAGTTGAAAGGCCAATTACCTTGTACAGTTTTGCCCAAGTAATCTCCTTTTCGTTCCTTATTGATGACCGACTGATAGATCTTGCCTGTTGTAATATTGTTATCCTTCGTTAAACGGATGTCCAGGAACCTCTCGTAATTGCCCAGATCCAGGTCCACTTCTCCGCCATCATCTAACACAAATACCTCTCCTGTACAAAATCAAAGATTAATCTCACAGCATCTACAACACATTCTGCAACACAAAGGCACAATTACTATTGTAATAATAAAAGTCTTGCATTCAATATTACACTGTTGTGACGTCTCAAAGGGGCTTCACAGGATATACTGTAAAATTAGCCGACTGTGTATTTTGTGAGCAAAACGCGGCAGCCAATTGCGCACAGCAGCGTCCCGCAAACGCCATACTGTAAAATATATAATATACAATACAGTTGTCCTGTAAATACTACTCACGGGCAAAGAAAAACAAGTGCCCAGGGTTTACTCTCCCTTGTTCTGGTCTTTTCAGGGTTTAAAAAGTAGCTGGGAGTTCTGTTGAAAGAAAGGCCTTGCTTTATTTACCGTGTTCGTACGGGGAGAATGTTCCGGCGTCGATGTTGATGTACGGGTCGATTTTGATGGAGGTGACGTGCAGCCCGCAGGACTTCAGGATGGTCCCGATGCTGCTGGCAATGATTCCTTTCCCAATCCCGGAGATCACGCCTCCCGTAACCAAAATGTACTTCATCGGTGCTCTGAAGCCTGCGCGTCAACAGAAAACACGTGAAATCTCAAGTCAATTGACCGCACTAATCAAACACAAAGACCGTTTTAACTGGGTAAAGGTTATAATAGGATTTGTTTCTTAGATCCTTTCACGTTCAGTGAAAGAAAACGCAACGTAACACACTCCCCTCCTCGGCCCCATCTGCTAATGACAGCACAGCCGAGCCTGGCTCATCGGCAGGATCTGGAAGGGCAGACCAGTTGACTGAGGGTTAGGGACTCTTCACACTCAGCTCCCGTTAACCCTGCAAGCCAAAGCCCTAACGGGTAGGGTGGTCCTAGCTGGACAAGCAGCGGGGAAGCTGGCCAGACAGTGCTCTCAATGGCAAGCTGTGCGGTCGCCCCAACGCACACTCTGGGGTCACCCCCCAAGCCTTGGCTCTGGCCAACCTGCACCTAATACTCTGCGGAATGAGGTAAGCAGGACTTCAACACTGGGCAACTCATGGTGCAACGCGGTGCGTTACGGATCCAGGGACATTCCGGTCCGTGCATTAAAACAAACTGCACTTCCAACAGTGAGAGGAAAAAAGAAAACTTAACACCAAATCCCTGAAATATTTATTTCCCTCTTCGCCGCGAGAAGTGAAGGTACATTCCACAATCAATGTTCACAGAAGTCAGTAACAATCCTTGCGTTTGGCACGCTGCTTATAAACATCGGAGCGACTCAAAACGCTTCACAGGGAAGCGATGACGGATGTAGTGACTGTAGTTCCAGTCCAGTTAGCACAGCACACGACACAACACGTCCCACCACAAACCCTCTGCGAAAAAAATCCTCAAATTCAGTCTTACAACTGACAGCTTCCAAAGTAAGACTCAAGTTAAGAGATTTCTCTCTCTTCCCGCCCGCAACTCAGCGGGATCTTAAATTTTTTTTTAAATCACAAAACGGGCTGACAAACTAAGACTAGGTGAGAATTTGTGTTCCCGCAGGTGGACCTCGAAATCAATTGGTCAAAGGCACAAAGGACAACAAATTCTTTGTCCACAGGCCCGATAAAACCGCTTTTTACGTCCTCCTTTTCGAAGTATACGTTTTTCGTTCCAAGGCTACGTCTCAAGATGTATTTCGATGACCGCCGCAGTCGCGGTCGTCTTCACCCCGCGCCCCGCTCCCCTCGCTCGGATTGCACCCCCTCGCCCCAGCTCGACTGCCCAGCCGCGAGTGCCAAGCCCCTCGAGACGTCCCTCCCGACGCGAAAGGCTGTGTGCGTCAGCGTAAGATTGTTCTGAACAAGCTATCCGACATCCAGGACGCCACATTCCTTGCCCCGTGTGAAACCCCTGACACCATCCAGCTCCTCCTACGAGAGGCTTGACGTAGTGGCGACCGGACCCTGGTGAAGACAAACAAAAAAGGCAGAGCCGCTCATTAAAAAATTTGCCAATCGTTTCGCGCCCCGAACGTTCAAAATTTTGAAGCAGAAAAACAAATGGTTTGACGCACCGGAGAGAGAGAGAGAGAGAGAGAGAGAGAGAAAAAAAAAGACACCGCACGCCTTCCCGGAAACGTACCTTCTCCGAGGATTCCCTTCATTAAATGTCGCAGCTGCGGTCTGGAAGAACGCACGTGCGCAGAGATCGCCCACATCTGCTCGTTCTCCTTCACAGGCCTCGGTAGAGTGTCAGACACTTCACCTCGGAAGTCATTCCTCGCTACAATATCAGCCAGTGGTCAGTGGGTATTGGGGGGACAGGGGGAAAGAACGAGACAAGGGGTCTGATTATGGTGGGGCGGCGGTGGGCTGTGGATGGTACTGAGTGTCGGCACTGGACACTGGGAGTCCTGTAGCTCAGTGGTTAGAGCACTCGCTTTGCAAGTGAGAGACCTGAGTTCAATTCCAGGCAGAGGGCGAAACCTTGGGCAAGTTTCCTTACTCCACACAGAGCCTAATAATAATCCTCCAAAACCCAAAACAATAATAAATTGGTAATTTTTAATCTACGACTGTTTGTGGGACATTGCTGTGCGCAATTGGCCGCCGCGTTCGCCCACAAATATACAGTCAGTTCACTTTACAGTGTGTTCTGTGAAGCGCTTTGGGACGTCCTCCCGACGTGAAAAGCGCTATATCAAATGCGAGGATTATTATTATTATAGAGAGAGGAACTCCCTTCTCTTTTCAAGTAGCGCAGCGGGACCTTCAACGTCCACCTGAACGGCGCCTCTAACAGTGCAACCGCCCTCACTCCCAGCACTGCATCGGGAGTGTCAGCTTAAGACCCCCCCCACCCCCCAACCAAAAAAATGTTCTATCTGCGAGTTCGAGACCCGACCTGGGATGACGACGATGACAACAACAACAACAACGGCACTTACGTTCCGACACAGCGCTTTCCGCATCGGGGAGGACGTCGAGAAGCGTTTCACGGGGGTTCACCGTAAAGCGCAGTTACCGCTGCACTTTGTGGGTGAGCGCAGAGCGCAGCAACGTCCCGCAGAGCAGCCGCGAAGTTAGGCGGTCATTTTATCCGGGTGCACGGGTGAGTTGGGGGGTGGTGGTGGTGGTGGTGGTGGTGGTGGTGGTGAGGGTGGGGGTGGGGGGGGGTTTGCGGGGCAAAAAGAAAACACACACCGCCCGTTTGGAGCTCTCGGCCAACCTCGGCTCGTGTTTCAGCTCACGAGTGTGATTGAGTTTGACCTGGAAGCGACTCAGAAGAGTTGGAAGGAAGGAAGTGGAAAAGATGGGTGGGAGGGAGATAGGTAAATACATACAGAGAAAAGAGAGAGAGGGGGAGAGGGAGTGCGGGGGGGGGGGGGGGAGGGAGGGATGGGGTAAAGAGAGAGGGGGAGAGGGAGTGCGGGGGGGGGGAGGGAAGGGGTAAAGAGAGAGGGGGAGAGGGAGTGCTGGGGGGGGGGAGGGAAGGGGTAAAGAGAGAGGGGGAGAGGGAGTGCGGGGGGGGGGAGGGAAGGGGTAAAGAGAGAGGGGGAGAGGGAGTGCGGGGGGGGGGGGGGGGAAGGGAAGGGGTAAAGAGAGAGGGGGAGAGGGAGTGCGGGGGGGGGGGGGGGGGGGGAGGGAAGGGGTAAAGAGAGAGGGGGAGAGGAAAGCCATAGTTCAAAGAAGATGCCATTTGTTTCCCGGATTGGGAGGGGGTGTGTGTGGGTGTGGGTGTGTTTTTAAAAGGAGGCATTTTAACACACAAAATTAGAATTAGTGTGTGTGTGTGTGTGTCTGTATGTAGTGTGTATATGTGTGGGTGTGTATGTACCCGGGGGGAGAGTGACACGGGGGAGAGGGGGGGAGAGAGTGACACGGGGGGAGAGAGAGTGACACGGGGAGAGAGTGACACGGGGGGAGAGGGTGACACGGGGGAGAGGGGGGAGAGAGTGACACGGGGGGAGAGAGTGACACGGGGGGGAGAGGGGGGGAGAGAGTGACACGGGGGGAGAGAGAGTGACACGGGGGGAGGGGGGAAAAGAGTGACACGGGGGAGAGAGTGACACGGGGGGAGAGGGGGGAGAGAGTGACACGGGGGGAGAGAGAGTGACACGGGGGGAGAGGGGGAAAAGAGTGACACGGGGGGAGAGAGTGACATGGGGGGGGAGAGTGACACGGGGGGGGGAGAGTGACATGGGGGGAGAGAGTGACACGGGGGGAGAGTGACACGGGGGGGAGAGAGTGACACGGGGGGAGAGAGTGACACGGGGGGAGAGGGAGTGACATGGGGGGAGAGAGTGACATGGGGGGAGAGGGAGTGACATGGGGGGAGAGGGAGTGACATGGGGGGAGAGAGTGACATGGGGGGGGGGAAGAGAGTGACACGGGGGGAGAGAGTGACATGGGGGGGGGGAGAGAGTGACACGGGGGGAGAGGGAGTGACACGGGGGGAGAGGGAGTGACACGGGGGGAGAGGGGGAGAGATTTTGGAGGGAAAGCGGTTCTCAGAGACAGAAACAAAAAAAAATTGCTGTTTTTTTCTCCAAATCTAAGGGCAGTTTTTATTTGCGATCTATATATATATATAAAAATATATATATATTTCCCCCCTTTTTTCTCTCCCTTTTTCCCCCTTTTTTCTCTCCCTTTCCCACCGGTTCTTTTCGAGAGAGAGAGAGAGAGAAAAAGGACCTTTTTTTTTGTAAAACAACAACACAACAACGAAAAGAAAAGAGCAACAAAACGCGTCGTTTCTCTTTCCTTTTTGGGGGGAAAAAAAAGGGGCAAAAAAAAAATACACCATTTTAAAATACAAAAACATATAAAAAACATTTTAAACGTAAAAAAAATTCAAAATATTAAAAAAAAACACCAAAAAAAATACCATTTTGGAATATTAAAAAAAACATTTTTCCAAATATAATATATATATATATAAAAAACACAAAACGCCCCTCAAAAAAACACCATTTTAAAACACACACATCAACGAATAAACGAAAGGAATAAATCAGTAAAAAAGAACGAAATCCCCCACAAAAAAGGGGGGGAAGTGGGGGAGAGGGGGTGAGGGAGGTGGGGGGAGTGGGGGGGAGTGGGGTTAGAGGGGGACAGTAGGGGTAGAGGGGGAGTGGGGGGAGAGGAGAGGGGAGTGGTAGTGGGGTGGGAGAGGGGAGTGGGGGATGAGGGGGGAGAGGGGGAGTGGGGGGAGTGGGGTAGAGGGGAGTGGGAGTAGAGGAGAGGGGAGAGAGGGAGTGGGGGATGAGGGGGGAGAGGGGAGGGGGGGAGTGGGGGTAGAGGGGGAGTGGGAGTAGAGGAGAGGGGAGAGAGGGGAGTGGGGATGAGGGGGGAGAGGGAGTGGGGGGAGAGGGGTTAGAGGGTGGGAGAGGGGAGTGGGGGAGAGGGGGAGGGGGGAAGGGTGGGGGGAGAGGGGAGTGGGGGATGAGGGGGGAGAGGGGAGTGGGGGAGAGGGGTTAGAGGTGGGAGAGGGGAGTGGGGAGAGGGGAGGGGGGGAAAGGGGTGGGGGAGAGAGGGAGTGGGGGTAGAGGGGAGAGAGGGGAGAGGGGGAGAGGGAGTGGGGGGAGTGGGGTAGAGGGGGAGTGGGGGGTGGGAGGGCCACAAAAAAAAGATGCAATTAAAAAAACCCCTATAGATATATATAGACATATATAGTGACAGTCCCTCTCCCCCCAAAAAAAAGCACCGACATGTGGTGTGTGTTCTCTCTCTCTCTCTCCCCCTCCCCTCTCTCCCCCCCCTCCCCCCTCTCTCTCTCTCCCCCCCCTCCCCCCCCTCTCCCTCTCTCTCGACTGCTTAAACATGTCTGTAAAAAAGGCTGAGAGAAGGTTAGTAACTGCCCCCCACAGCCCCCCCTCCCCCCCCCCCCTCACTCACTCACCAGGGTCCAGGGGGAAGGTGGAGGCCCTCTCTCTCTCTCTCTGTCCTCACTGCAGCCACGTGTGGTGGTGATGATGATGGTGGTGGTGGTGATGATGATGGTGGGGGGGGGAGGGGGGCTGTTGGTTGGCACTGCAACATGGCCTGACGTCAGCTGCCTCTGCTCTCCCTCTGCTCCTCCTTCCTTCCTTCCTTCCTTCCTTCCCCCTCCCACTCATTGCCTTCCCTCTCTCCTTTCCTTCCTTCTCTCTCTCTCTCTCTCCTGTTTCCTTCCTTCCTTCCTTCTCTCTCTCTCTCCTGTTTCCTTCCTTCCTTCCTTCTCTCTCTCTCTCCTGTTTCCTTCCTTCCTTCCTTCTCTCTCTCTCTCTCGTTTCCCTTCCTTCTCTCCTTCCCTCGCTCCCGTTGCCTTCCATTCCCTCCTTTTCCTTCCCTCCCTCTCATTGCCTTCCTTCTCTCCTTCCCTCTCTCCATCTCTCTCGTTTCCTTCCCTCTCGTTCCCTTCCTTCTCTCCTTCCCTCGCTCTCGTTTCCTTCCATTCCTTCCTTTTCCTTCCCACCCTCTCCCCCCCCTCATTGCCTTCCTTCTCTCCTTCCCTCTCTCCTATTTCCTTCTCTCTCGTTCCCTTCCTTCTCTCCTTTCCTCGCTCTCGTTTCCTTCCATTCCCTCCTTTTCCTTCCCTCCTCTCCCCCCCCCCCCCTCATTGCCTTCCTTCTCTCCTTCTCTCCTATTTCCTTCCTCCTCGCTCTCGTTTCCTTCCTTCTCTCCTTCCCTCTCTCCTATTTCCTTCTCTCTCGTTTCCTTCCTTCTCTCCTTCCCTCTCTCTGTCTCTATTTCCTACTTTCTCTCTCATTTCCTTCTTTCTCTGCTCTCTCTCTCTCTCTCTCTCTCATTTCCTTCCTTCTCTCTCTCCCCCTCATTTCCTTCCTTCTCCCCTTCCCTCTCTCTCGTATCCCTCGTCTCAACGACGTGAGATCAAATGCGAGGATTATTATTCCTTCACTCTCCATTTCCTACTGTCCCTCTCTCTCTCTCTCTCTCTCCCTACCCCCCTTTCATTCCTTCCCTCCTTTTCCTTCCCGCCCGAGGGAAGTGCTACATAAATGGGAGCAAACCTAGACCCAGGTTGACCGATAGTAATTTTCGATAAGACTTTATTACCGTCCTCCCACCGTGAAAGGCGCAATGTAAACGCAATTTATCGTTGTGATTAACAAACATCATATCGAGATGAACTGGGATTATATTATGTCAAACTCTCATCAAATAATTGGCACCTGCTGGAGTCCTCGGGCAAGTTTCCTTACTCCGCACAGAGCCCTAATAATAATAGTCCCTCCGAAACCCAAAACAATAATAAATTGGTCATTTTCAATCCACAACTGGTTGTGGGACATTGCTGTGCGCCATCGGCCGCCGCGTTCGCCCACAAATATACAGTCGATTCACTTTACAGTGTGTTCTGTGAAGCGCTTTGGGACGTCCTCCCGACGTGAAAAGCGCTGTATCAAATGCGAGGATTATTATTATTATTATATCCTATCGGTTTGCAAGCTTTATATCAGTGTATTGCTGTATCAAATGCGAGGATTAATTAACTCCGAGCTAAGAAAATATCCTGTCAGTTTTATCTGGTTCATCACATGTATTCCATGTTTAATTGGTTGTTACCATTAAAATAGAATCTGCAATGGGGGGGGCAATGCTCCTCAGTTGAGCTCAAGTTATTATATTAGTTATTAACAATAGTAATAATATATTTTACTGCAATAACATAATAATGTGTTATTACCTTATTCTATTGCAGCTTAAATCACAATTGCAATTAGTGTTGTGATTTGTACTATAACGTAATAATTATTGCTCACCTATTCCTCGCCCTCCTCACCGATCAGCAGTGCTCGGAGGCAAAGACAAAGGGTTTTAAATCGCCTCAACGACCCGATAAGGAGCTATATCAAATGCAAGGATTGTTATTATTATTGTAAATGCGTTTCAGAAAAGAAATTTTCGGTGGTTCTTGAAGTACCACCGATTAATAATAATCCTCGCATTTGATATAGCACTTCTATCGCATGGTTGAGACGTCGCAAAGCGCTTCACAGGATTGCTCAGGAGATGGCAGCAAACTAAAAGCAGACGAAAGTCCCGTTGAGGAACAAAACAATGGGGAGAGAGATTGGGGAAAGGCAATTAAAAAGAAAACAAAGACAATTCTGCAGATCTAAAGGCCAATCTGATGAAGAAATCGCTCCTTGAGGAAAAACATTTTGGGTCTTCTTTAAACCGGCTTTTGGGAAATTGCCTCTATATTATAATAATAATTTGTGGTCACTCAATCCACGACTGTTTGTAGGACAATGCCATGTGCAACTGACTGCCGTGTTTCTCCCGTGAAAGTCAATCCACCGTACAGTGTGTTCTGTGAAGCGCTTTGAGATGTGCTAAGGCACTATATCAAATGCAAGATGATTATTGTTATTATTATTAAAACAGTGCAAAGCCCCGCTCTGATATTCTCCGAATCCTCCTTTACAGGGCCCTGCGATTTCCCACTCCGACATCGAAGCTTATTAAAATACAAATCCCGGCAGCGCTGAAGTTGAGTAATAGTTTATTGGCAAAAAAAATCGTACGTCAACATTACCTCTATACAAAGATATGAAAACGAACTACTCAACACTCCACTAAGTCCCAATTATATCAGACTACCATTAATCAATAAGGAAACGTCACGATTTCACACACACATCATCCACTTTTTACAAATCCTTATGCTTTTTTTGTATTTCAGAAGGGAGCGGTCAAGAGCCCAATTTGTTGCTACGGTGTATGTTGGGGCCAGTTCAAAGTTACTTCATTAGCTCTGCACAAAAAAAANCACGCACTGTATCAGCCTGTCCCAGGCTCCTCTACAGTAATGGAGGAGTCGCCGCAGATTGCACTGCACAAGATTTTCTTCTCGTCCTCTGGAGATTTATTTTTTGGTTGTTTTGCGGATCAGTGCCATCCTCTGCGAGAAGGAAACAAGGGATAATTGTAAAAACAATCAACGCTTATACGCTGCTTTTCACTTACAATGTCTCAAAAGTATTTTACGTGGACAGTGTGGAACGTTAAGCAAGGTGGTGGTGGGGTGGGGGGGCGGCGGAAGGTGGCAGAATGCATGCTTGAAGAGGCAAGTTTTTAAAAGACGGAGAGAGGGCGCAAGGCACGCAGATTTGGGGAGGAAGAAGGAGCATCGTTGTCTAACGTTTCTGCCGTTAATTGAGGGGTAGAGAGACACACAGCAGTCCCTAGACTATAGAGCGGAGGGAGTCAGTGTTTCTGGAGGAGATAGCTTTTAATGGTGATTTATAAAGCTCAAACATAAGCATTCCTTCCTATTGCACAATGCAGCAAGGTGTCACAGGCAAATATCCCACCTGTTTGTGAGCTTCTGTTGTGCAAGCTTTCTTGTACGGCCTAATTTCGTCTGAGCCAAATCCTGGGATCCACATATTCCATTGGCGTTCTGTGGAAAGGAAAAGACTTGTGCTCAATTATCATAACCAGCTCAAGAAGACAAGTACCAAACACTTCCAAAGTCAGTATAACTCAAATCTACTGTTAACAGCATAATACAGTAAAACGCACATCAGTCTGATCTGTATAAATCGTATGATTGCCTAAGTCGTACATCTGCCCAAGTCCCGTTCAAGAGTTTAGATTCTATGCAAGTTTGACATAACTTACACTTTGTGTAAGTCATATTAAATGTGTGGTCCCAACTGATAGGTTTACTGTAATCGTTACGGGGTGAATGGAGGATAAATGTACACAACAAACAAAGAATTGTTTCTTCGATGCACGCACCCAGATGCAGCTGGACATCCTTGACTTCCAGCGTGTTGGATTTGCGATGACGGGCCAGCTGACATGCGGCGCTTACTACACTCTCAATAAAATCATCAGCGATCTGCAACAGCATCTGCAAGAAGATGAGGAAAATGGCTGACTTTATTTTATTGTCGGTCAGCCCATGGATATCTCGCTGTATAAAACCAGAGTGTGACCACGATTTCGCTCCTGTGTTTCTGTATAGAACTTACTTCCTCCACGTCTTCATCGAGCTGTTCATTTGGATCAATTTCACGCACCAGATCCTGCAGCTTCTTCTTGCTCAACACCTGAAGCCACAATGAACACAAGTCAATTCCTCTCACGTGTTGGAAAGAACCGTAAAGCAGAGCAAAGACCTTAACATTAATTTGTCACTACCCTTTGTCTAAAAACACAATGTCACAACCTATGTACATACTGAGGTACCCCAATTATTCAAATGAAGTGGTTATGAGTTGAATTTGTTTCCTTTAACACTCACTTAAGACATTGCAAAATAGGGACAGGAGGAGGCCATTTTGCCCAACGAGTCTGTTCCATCAGTTGATTGGATCTTTTGCCTTTTATATCTGAACCACTCGAGTATCTTGCCATACCAGGAGATTTGGAGCCAATCATGACGCTACACTGCCAGACGTTTCTCCCCCCCCACCCCCATGTCCTTAAACTTCACGTAAAATAACAAATATATAAAATTATATATTAAAACGGCAAAATAAAATCCCTCCTAATAAATTCTCATTCCTGTTGATATGCTCGGACGCTATATAAATGCAAGTTGTTGTTGCTGCTGCTGTTGTTGATACCTGGTTGCCTTCTGGACTCAATCGTCCCCCTGAGCTTGGAGTTCCAGGTATTTTGACGACAGTGGTGCTGTTCGCCATTGTATTTGGGGGGGGCGTGCCGGACGGATCAGGTTTTACCGAGGGAAAATTGGTGAGGTTTATCAGAGTTGCCGGTCCAAACTGGTTCATAATCTGTTGGGCTTTGACCTTCAAATCATTGAGTTTCTCCAGGTCCTGCTTCTGTTTAGGGTTGTGTGGGCCAGCACCAATCAGCTGTTGAAAACATAAAAGCAAAATATTATTTGTGATGTACAGCGAAAGACACAAACAGTATATGTGTGTGTGTGTGGGGTGTTGTGAGCCGTCACTAGGATGAAACCAACCCCGCAGCTGTTGTCTGTAAGGGAACTGCCTGTTAATGGTTACGTGACTCTTTCGTGACACATTCACAAAGATCAAAGCTGCTCCTGGTTCTCCAGCAGGACCCGCAATGTGGGCAGGTCGAGCCACAGTCACACAATCATTCCCCCCCCACCCCACTCTAGTCAGATGCCATTTCCAGGCGTGGTGTCCCAGTGATTATAGCGTCCCTCACTGTAACCAGCCACAACTCGACGCAGCGCGACTGACTGTGTTGCTGGGATTTATTCAAACACAGTTTAAAAATACTTGTTCGAATAAGAAGACATTTGAGTTAGCGTTTAACACGAGCGTGCCAGCAGTGAAATTAGACTGTATAAAGCATCACACTGATAATAAAAAGCCGCATTTCTGAGCGAGGAGCCCTTGGACAGTCTCAAGACTCCACCTCTTCGACCGCGTCTTTGGTCACCCTCCTCCCCCTACCCTCCTTGCCCTCCAGCCCTCTTTATCCCAAACCTCAGCTCAGGTCCAAACCCATAACTGTCCAGTACCTTGGGACGTCCTCCGGGTGTGAAAGTTGCTGTACAAATGTAATTTGTCAGACTGACATCAGTAGCCCATTCTTGACTAGGTACTGAAAATCACCATCAGCAACCACTAAAAGGGGTAACTTTAACCTCTTCATTGGATGTCAGCCCCTGGAATATTGCCCGTCCTTGAACGAGTTGATTCAGACAATGACGAAATGTTGGTCAGATGGTTAGCGGTTTATTTCATGCAATTATTTTCAAGTTAAATATAGAAAAATGGAAACACAACCGGACCGAGCGGTGGGCTGGGACAAACGTGAGGCAAACACATGAATCACGCAGCTACTGTGCAGTGCCATTTTTTGGTGAGAGGTTCAAACAAAGTACTGGAAGCAGTCAGTCCCCAGCGATATAAAGTAACACAGAGGCAAAGAGCCAAATAGGTTGGCACTGCAGCCTTCGTTAGAGCCACTCTCTACCCCAATTCACATGTAAAACGTTGGGACACAATCCTCTTAAGATACTTTGAATTAATAACCCCGCACAATTATGAACTCTCACACCTGTTAAGAATTCAACATTTTTCAGGATCTCTTGCCACAACCTTTAAAAGAGGAATCTTTAAAAAAAGGGAGCAGGCGTTTAAAATTACAGCAAAAAAATTAACTGTGCTGGTTGAATCAACTTTAGAACCAACGGGGAGGGGGGGGGGTGCAAATTAAGGGAAAATTGTCACTGGAGGAACCAGCAAGGTTTTTTTTCATGCAGGGAGTTAGTTGATTAGTATATGAAAAGCTCTGCCACGAATGATTGCACCACATAAAGCCAAAACAACTTGGAAAAAAGGAAATTGGGCAATTATTTGAAGCGGAATAAAAAGGTAACAGGGAAACCCATAAACGGAGAGGGAACTGGGATTAGAATTGTTCAAAGAGTTTAGAATTGGATGCAGTTGTTTCGCCCACAAAATACATAGTCAATCCACTTTACAATATACTCTGTGAAGAGCTTTGATATATCTCAGTGCTGTGACCAGGTGCTCTATCAACTGCAAGTATTATTATTGTTAGAGAAGCAAAAGCTCAATAATAGCAACAAACAATGGGCCCAAAGGCTTCCTTTTGTGATGCAGGTTCTAGTATTCTATAACCAAGGCATGAGCAGATGTTATGAACACATTGATTAGTACGCAGAATGCTAGAGGATTACCACTATATGACGAATGACAGCTTAGTAGTGTATTTTAGAGTGCTTAAACTAGTTAAAACATTTGAATGAAAGGTTGCGTAAACAGTCAGTCAGTTATAGAACTGAGCAGAGCTCAGAATAAACGCTTGCACTTGTGTCCGTGTCGAGCTGGTGCAATAATTCAGTGATAGTTAAATTGTGGCAGTGATACCACTGCGGGATTTATTGATTGTGATAGCTTAGCTCCTGCAGTCAGAGAACAACCTTGCTTCCAGGTTAGGGCTCTTGAGCAAAATATGCAGTTTGAGTAGAAACTAATATACTGTATTCAACACATTAAACAAAAACTTACGCAAGGAAACTTATTTTATTTATATCCAAGCCATCCTCCAGCTGAATATGGAATAAATGCTGTACTCCATCCAAGGTATATTCTTTCAAATAAAAGTTAAAACGTTGATTCAGAATCTCCTGGCAAATGGTGAGGAAGTGTTGGTGTGTTTATCTAGTGGCAATTTAACCAGCACTTGAGGTTCAACAATTGAAGCCTGGTAACATTTCTGAACGCATATTGCGAGCACTTTCGTGCTTGTGAAGGCGATAGAAGCGCTCAGGAATGGAATAAGCTTTTAAACCTCCTTACAACACCCAGGGACAGCCTCAAACATACTAGGTCACGCACCCTGCATTAGGCAGAGTAAAACCTCTTACTCTGATACAACATAGTTTAATGACCCTCAGAAAAGCAATCCCTGCCACAGGATACCATTCCACCCCAGCATGTGTGCCAACTAATAAGGCCAGTAAACTGACCAGGTTTTCAGCAGGTATTTCTATGTTGTGTTTAAATTTTTATACTAAGGTGCAGGCATGTCTTGAAAGAGTTAATCTGCAATAAGAACAATAAGCCCTAATATTCACATTTGCTCCAGGTTTATCTTTCCAGTGGGAATATTATTTTATAGCCAACTCAGCAACAGCCACAGAAGCCAAAATCTAACTTAACATACAGGGATCGTGACTTTCCGCAGCAGATGTGAAATAACTTGCAAGTGAGTTACTTTAGCCCTATATTCTAAACTCTCAAGCAAACCTAAAACAAAACTCCTGCGCATATTCTTCTGCTGCATTCTCTCACGCCAGTCAAGGCCAACTCAGGCACTACTTACTGCTATCTGAGAGTCTAGATCTTTAATCACATCAGCTACTGCTGTAGGCCCAGATAATGAAGAGGTCATTGTGACATGCTGCCTAGAAACAAACAGCATGGATTAAGCCACATACACTGGGTTCAACTAAACTGCCAGTGTGAGAGCCTTAGTAGAACATTCAAGCTATCTGAAAATATTACCGGCAGTTTTAAATATAATAATAATACCGCAGTGATTTAGCCGGAAAGCTTTTGATCAGGAAGTGGGACAACATGATCAGTTTGTGCTTTGCTGCCACAGTTATTTAGCGATTCCTCCAGAACGGAACTGCACTTGTAATCAGTTAAATGATTAATAAGTAAAAGAAAAAAACGAAATAATAGTTTGGAAATCTGCAGCTTGGTATTTTCACCTCCTGATGCCAAAAGTGTCTCTGCTAGTGTGTCGATCTGTCTGTGACTGGACAAGGACAGGGGATGGTGGGGAACTGTCTGAACAGAACCTCTGATTTTCTGCTAATCCTTTTCTTAAAATAATTACAGGAAACCAGTTACAATTAGAGCTTCGATGTGAAGGCTGAATTCAACAATTACCAAACTCTGAACTTTCTGTAATGCCCAATAAACAGAACAAACCTAGACCCACGTGGAATTTCTCTCCCACCAACATGCGACCTGAAAACTCGCGGAACTGGTCAGCCAAGGGAGAGTCCGTTCCCCCATCCCCAGACCTACAGCCTCGGGCAGACTTGTCCCCACTTCAAATGTATCCAACAAAATAATTATAGAAATAACAAAAGTGATGCCATACATCAAGAAATATTCAATCAAGAAACATTTATCTTGTTGATCAACCAAAAAGGTTGGCCACCACTGGCGTTTAATCAAAAATGCTGCTTAATGTCTGTACAAGATTAGAAACCTTCCCCTACCTACCTCCAAAATATTGAAGAATGTCTTCTACAGCTTTTCTGAGTTACGTCTACCTTTTACACAAGTTTTCAAGGAGCTTCACTGTAACGGCAAAGTTTAGGAATACCCTTCAGTATTTTTTAATATTGGGTAGAGAAACTGACCCACTTAACAAACTGAAAGTTAATTAAATGTTAAATGTAACAAACGCACATATTTCTTATGCAACCAAACCAGGGAAGGAAAGGAAGATCAGCTCATCAAAATGTTATTATAGTTCATAAATTACAGCACAGAAGATATTTGGCTGACAAAGGGTTCGCTGGTAGTAGCAATTTCAATGGAGCTACCTATTCTGATCCTTATACCCTTGGTATAGTTTCTCTTCTAAATGCTTATCCATTTCCTTTATAAACTGCACTGACACCCTCAACTTCAAAAAACCACTTGCAGCACAGGACACCATCACTAACTGAAGAAAAATGACTTCTAACCTCCTTGGCTGAACTGCCAGGGACGCTCCTGACACACACCAGGGATTCTTCCCACTCAGCTCCCGTGAACCCTGCAAGCCAACGCCCTGACGGGTAGGATGGTCCTCACTGGACAAGCAACGGGAAAGCTTGCCAGACAGTGCTCCCAGTGCCTACAAGTTGGATATTGATGATCGCCCATGGGGCTATTTGAAAAGAGAAGGAAGAATCTCCTGGCATCCTAGACGACAATCCACCCAAATAAAATCAGTCACTCCACGGCTGTCTGCGGGAATGTCGCTCTGGCCACGTTCGTCCCCAAAACACATACACAGACTGCACTTTACAGTAACATCTTGTGAAGAGCTGCGAGACATCCTCCCGCAGTGAAAAGCCCAGGACAGATGTAAGGTGGCCTGGAAGGGTGGTTGAGGCCAGGACACTGGGACTTGTTTATAAAGCAGCTTGATGCTGTGATTGTGGGAGGAGTGTGTGTGGGGGGGGAGGGAGGGAGAGACTGTGAAAGATGGATGTTCTGGAGGGATACATAATAACAACAACAATCCTCACATCAGGAGAACATCTCAAAGCGCTTTTCGGGAGTCGCTGTAGAGTACTGTAGAGTGAGCGACTGTGGTGATGAGGATCAGTTGGGCTACAAGTGGAGGTGGTGGTGGGGGGCGGGGTGAGGGAGTGGGGGGGTGAGGGAGAGGGTGGGGGGGTGAGGGAGAGGGTGGGGGTGTGAGGGAGTGGGGGGTGGGGGAGAGGGTGGGGGTGTGAGGGAGTGAGGGTGGGGGAGAGGTTGGGGGGGAGGGGGTGGGGGTGAGGAGTGGGGGTGAGGAGTGGGGGTGAGGGGGTGGGGGAGAGGTTGGGGGGAGAGTGTGGGGAGAGGGTGGGGGGTGAGGGGGTGGGGGTGAGGGGGTGGGGTGAGGGTGGGGGTGAGGGGCGGGAGGGTGAGGGTGGGGGGAGAGGGTGGGGGAGAGGGTGGGGGAGAGGGTGGGGGTGGGGGGTGAGGGGTGGGGGAGAGGGGGTGGGGAGAGGGTGGGGGTGGGGTGAGGTGGGGTGAGGGGGTGGGGGAGAGGGTGGGGTGGGGGAGGGTGAGGGGTGGGGGGGTGAGGGGGTGGGGGAGAGGGTGGGGGTGAGGGGTGGGGAGGGTGAGAGGGTGGGGGTGAGGGGGTGGGGGGGAGAGGGTGAGGGGGTGAGGGGGGGCTTCCTTATTCAGACCGATTTCGTGATCTAAGTATTATTATATTATGATTCATTATTAATGAGAATGTGAAGTGTTAAGACAGTCAAAGTGAGGGGGTGGGGGGTGGGGGGGCAGTCAATCACACATTACACCCCGTCCTCCCCCTGCTCCACCTGGGGGTGGGGGTGGGGGGGAGAGAGGCCGCCGGGGGGACACTTACCCTCCTCCTCCGACGCCGCCTCCGCCGCCGCCGCTCGGCCTCACTCCCCCATCCTGTGTGAGGGGGTGTGTGAGGCTCTGTGTCAGGGTTTGTGTGTCTCTATCTCTCTCTCTCTCACTCCCCCACTCTCCCTCTGCGTCTCTCTCTCTCTCTCTCTCCCGCCCTCCCGACGCTGACCCGGAAACACTCGGTGTGGGGCTGACCTCCTGACCCCTGACCCCCCTTCACTCCCTCCCTCCCTCACTCCTCGCCCGTCTCCCGCTCTGCTCTTCCTCCTTCGCCGGTGGTTTATTCGGACCGTTCGTCCGTTTTGTTTATTATTGAGAGATAAATAAACGGTTAATAATCAGCGTCATCGGCGGCGGCGGCGGCGGCGTGAGGGGAAGGGGGAGGGGAGGCGCATGCGCAGGTCAGGCCGCACCCCGACTTCCGGTCAGTGAGGGGAAAGGGAGGGGTAGAGAGGGGGAGGGATAGAGAAAGAGAGGGAGGATAGAGAAGGGGGGGGAGGGAGGGATAGAGAAAGTGGGGAGGGAGGGAGAAAGGGGGGAGGGATAGAGAAAGGGGGGAGGGAGGGAGGGATAGAGAAAGGGGGGAGGGAGGGAGAAAGGGGGGAGGGATAGAGAAAGGGGGAGGGAGGGAGGGATAGAGAAAGAGGGGGAGGGAAGGAGGGAGAAAGGGGGGAGGGATAAAGAGGGGAGGGAAGGAGGGAGAAAGGGGGGAGGGATAGAGAAAGAGGGGGAGGGAGGAGGGAGAAAGGGGGGAGGGAGGGATAGAGAAAGAGGGAGGGATAGAGAAGGGGGAGGGGAGGGAGGGATAGAGAAAGAGGGGGAGGGAAGGAGGGAGAAAGGGGGAGGGATAAAGAGGGGGAGGGAAGGAGGGAGAAAGGGGGGAGGGAGAAAGAGGGGGAGGGAGGGAGGGAGAAAGGGGGGAGGGATAGAGAAAGAGGGGGAGGGAGGGAGGGAGAAAGGGGGAGGGAGGGATAGAGAAAGAGGGAGGGATAGAGAAGGGGGGAGGGAGGGAGGGATAGAGAAAGGGAGGGATGGACAGAAAAAAAGGGGGGAGGAAAGGATAGAGAAAGAGGGAGGGATAGAGAAAGGGGGAGGGAGGGATAGAGAAAGAGGGAGGGATAGACAGAAAAAAGGGGGGAGGGAGGGATAGAGAAAAGGGAGGGAGAGATAGAGGTGGTGGGGGAAGGAGGGATGGAGATATAGAGAAAGGGGGAGAGAGGGAAGCAGAGAGAGGTACAGAGAATGATAGAGGGAGAGAGGCACAGAGACAGAGAGGAATAGTGACGTAGAGAAAGATAGAGACGGGAGAGAGACAAAAGTGGGATAGAGAGAGACACAACTGTTTGTGGAACACCGCTGTGCGCCATTGGCTGCACCAGGAAGTATTTCTTTACAGGAGGGAATAATGGAAATAATTGGGAGCGCTGCACTGTTAGAGGTATCCTCCTTGGGATGAGACGTTAAACTAAAGTTCCTCCTGCGCAGATGATCATTAAAAGATCGCACGGTCCCATTGGAAATAAGAAAGTTTCTCCTGGTATCCTGGACAATAATAATAATAATCCTTGTATTTGATATAGCGCTTTTCACGTCGGGAGGACGTCCCAAAGCGCTTCACAGAACACACTAAAGTGAATCGATTGTATGTTTGTGGGCGAACGCGGCAGCCAATTGCGCACAGCAATGTCCCACAAACAGTCGTGGATTGAAAATGACCAATTTATTATTGTTTTTGGCTTTGGAGGGATTATTATTAGGCTCTGTGTGGAGTAAGGAAACTTGCCCAAGGTTTCGCCCTGACCTGACTGGGATTGAACTCAGGTCTCTCGCTTGCAAAGCGAGTGCTCTAACCACTGAGCGACAGGACTCCACGTAGGACTCCTAATCTTCCATGTAGATCGGTCATTCGCTTCATGTTTGTGAAACATTGCTGTGTGCAAATCAGCTGCTGTGTATACCAGCAAATACACAGCCACTACACTTTACAGCTATTTCCTTTGAGACATTTGACATAAGTGCTGTATTGAACGCAAACATTGTAATTGTGAGTAGAGACAAAGCCAGATACAGTTTAATCTTTTATCCAGTACAAACTTTCTATTTAATTATTGATAAAAAATACCATCAAGAGTTTCTGTGACAAAGAATTCTCTTTTTGAAAAAAATCCATCAAAGCAATACAGGTTTTCTGCCCTCATTCGCAAAGTGCCTTTTACTCCTCGTCGACCGTTTTTTTTTAAAAAAAAGGAGTTACAAAAAATATTAAATAAGTGGATTACAAAAAATCTAAAATGCAATATTCTCGCTTGTAAAGTGATTTCCAGTCCCCTCACAACCTGGTGCCGTAAATTCAGTGGCTTTTACTGTACTTTGAAACCCGTCGAATTCAAGACTGCCGCGTTGTCATATTTCAAGACGTACCTCTGTGACCGTGTTATTTTCCCCCGTCCCCCCATCCCACCACTCGCCCCTCAACTCCCAACCCGTAGCTCGGATGCCCAGCCAGCAGTATCGAGCCCTTTGAGGCGTGCTCCAGACACGTGTATCTAAAATTGTCTTGTCGAGATCTTCATAAATCAGGAATGTAGGTAGTTTTTTTCATATATAATATATATATAATATACACACACACACACACACACAAAAACACACGTACAAGTGCTAATTTTCCACACTTTGTGGCAGGACCTTACTATCCTGACAGCACAGCGTCAACAGGTGTTGAAGTGTCCTTTGCCGGGCTCATTTGCTGGTTGGCTCTGTTCCGATCACCGGGGTTTTGGTCGGGATTCTGCCGCCAGACGGTTGCTGGAGGAGCGTTGTGGGGAGGGGTGGGGGGGTGACCCAAGGCGCCGGGGCGGTCGAGTCTCTGAGCGGGCGAATCGTACTGCGGCTGGACTGCTTCGGGCGCCGCCGGAGCCTTTAAAGACGGGATGACTTTGACCACGCAGACGCTTTTCTTGGTGCTGGGCTCAGACTCGGCAGTTCGCTCCACAAAGGGAGTGGCGTACTCCGGCTCCTGGTTCGGCAGCGGTGAGGCGTACTCGTGGCCCCTGCCCGAAAACGGGACGTCGTAGTGATCGACCGCGAGCGGCACGGTGTAGCCGTCGTCCATCTCCAGCGGCTGGAAGGTCAGCGAGGGTTTCTGCGGCCCCGCCATTGCCGACCCTCGTCCCGCTTGAACAACGTCGGGCTGAGCGTATACTTAAAGGGGGCCGGGGGGGGGGGGGAAATGACAGAAAACAGCTCGGAGTTAGCCACGTCAACAAATGGCGCGGAGCCAAAACAGCAAGTGTGCAGACGTTACCCTGCAAAGCCTGTGGCGTGAAGCTAGTCTCAAAAGGGACAGCAAGTCAATGAGCGAACGCAGTTAGTCATTGAAAAACATTCCCCACATACAGTGTATAGTCAATAAGCTTCACACTATGTTCTGTCAAGTGCTTTGAGACGTGTTTAAGCGCTCCGGGACACTATCCGGTGTGAAGGGCACGATATAAATATGTAACTATATAATAATCCCTCCAAAAACAAAAATAAATTGGTCATTTCAATCCACGACTGTTTGTGGGACGCTGCTGTGCGCAATTGGCTGCCGTGTTTCGCCCACAAATATACGGTCAATTCACTTTACGGTCTATTCTGTGAAGCGCTTTGAGACGTCGAGAAGACATGAGAAGCACTATATCAAATGCAAGGATTATTATATTATTATTATAAGTGCAAGTTGTTGTCTCAATGACGTGATAAGGCGCTACATCAAACGCAAGGATTATTATTATGATTACTGAGTTCGCTTGCTGTAAGGATAGTTTCCAGACACCAGATGGTGCTCCTGTATTACTGATTGTGGAAGACATTCACTGGAGGGGCAGTTACTTGCCAAGTCGTTGCACAATTTGAAGGAATTTCGACAATCTTAACTGCAGCCTCCTCCTCACTAAGCATGAAAGCCAAATGACCTGGTCCTCTGCTGTAAAGATCCAGATTCTTCGAACTTGAATAAAAGCTTTCGAGAATTACTAGAACTGACCAGACTCTTTATCTCTGACAGCAATGTACTGGCTTACCTTTTGGTGAAGGGCGGTCCATTTCTGCTCCAGTTTTCCTACATACAGAAATCAATCGTTAGACCTCAATGCAGATACAAGCAAACCTTTATATATATTTTAAAATTTGGCCAAGTAATTTGAAAACATGAGAATGAATGATAAGGGTATGCAGAGGGATTGGGATGGAGGGAGGAATGGAGAGAGAAAATGAGAAGGGGAGCAAACGAAAATAGGAATTGGGAATAAATAGACAACCTTCTCAGATCCAGGCACGATGAGTGGAAAGGCATGTTGTAAGATTTTGTCACTCACAATCATGACTGACAGGACACAGACATCTCACCTTTTCTTCCAGCATAGATGCAGTGTCAGGACAGCCGCAGAAACGATTAACACAGCGCCAACTACAACACATATCACCATCAAATTAAAACCTGCAAAAAAAAAAACATACATAGAGGGTAAAGGCGAAATAAAACATGGTTCAGAAATCCTTCATAAAAGTATATATTTCAAAGTTTCAAACAGTTCTGTTTGCTTCACAGCTATCTGGGGCCAGCCCCGTGTTTTTTTTTTAAAAAGCTGTAAAGCGTAAAAGCCTTTTTAACGCTTAAAAAATAGACAATGTATCTCGTGGGCGAAATAATAAAGAAATGGCAATCTTTTATAACCAGAACAGGCGCAAGTTTTATCCGCTATTAAGTGGCAGTACTTTACGAAGACAAGTGGTGATCGTCAAATACTCTTTTAAAAAAAATCTCACCTGTTAAGTGCTTCTCGATAACTACATGATCTGCCGGAGTGCTGCTTTCCTTGGGAAGGCTAGTCGGCTTTGGCAAAGGTTTTGGGCTCCTGGGAAACCCTGACGTAAGCACATGACAGCAGTGAACACGCACGGCACACGCCTGAGTACATACAACCTACCGAGAGTCATCTTAAACACCACCACAGTCAAGAAAAACTGATGAAATGTTACACCTTTGCGATGGCACGTACCATTGACTTTAAATGCTGCGCTAACGCAAGCATCGCCACACCTGCACGGAAGAGTGAGTATTTAACACATCGGCAAATCTTCTCCCTCCCCAAACCAGAGTTTTATTATGACGTCCTCCCGACGTGAAAGGCGTATGTTTTTAATTTGACATAAAAACTTTTCTCTTTGCTCTTCCAATCGTTCCTCTCTCTCTCTTCTCCGGAAAAGATGCCCGCAAAATGCACATTTTACACCCACGAGTGAGGACTGTGAGGTGAGGCGTGTGTGCCTCCACGCCACCCGTCGCTTTCCACGCCCAATATCCATGCGATGTGATGATGGATTAGTCATCGCAGGAAGGAAGAGGAGCTCTCTCTCTCTCTCATGTGACCTCAGAGAATGAAGGCACCGGATAATAACTGCATCCTGGACGTAATGTTTGTTTGCCTTTCAAACCCAACAGTTCTGTGGTTTGTGCTGCTTTGCGTCACGTGTTTGGCTGGAGATTCATAGCTACAGGGCAACGTTCCTGGGCTGCATCAGGAGCTCTTTCTCTCTCCCTTGTCTCATCGTACACAGTCATGTTTACAGAGGGGAATGATCTATTTCTTCGAAAATAGAGTTATATAAAAAAATAATAATCCTTGAATTTGATACAGCGCTTTTCACATCTTCGAGACGTCTCAAAACGCTTCACGGAAAATATACTGTAAAGTGAATTGCCCGCGTATATTGTGGGGGAAACACAGCGACTGTGAAGGGCAACATATCCTGTGAAGCGCTTTGAGATGTCTCAACGCCATGATCAAATACGATTATTATCATTATAATAACTGAGGTCGGGTGGCGTGTGACACACAAATAACCGTGCGGAGGTGAAGCGGTCATCGGGAGGGCGTTACCGGCTGAGCGGGGACGGGGGGAGATGTCGCAGCCGAGAACCACTGCCTTCAGCGAGATTCTCTGCGACCACGTCTGGGGGTTGATCCGGATGTAGCGGCTGATGAAAGGCGGGAGAAAGTTGTTCCTGGCTTGTTGCCGACAATCCCGATTCCCTTCGAAAACCTTTAATTAAAATTAGAATACAGACGTATAAAACGTGGGGCAAAGAGCAAGTGGGTGGGTGAGGCGATGGGTGGGGTGGGGGAAAGCGTTGGGACTCAGACATAGTTCAAGAGGAAAGTCAGGCAAAGTGGCGTAAGGGGGAAGAGGCGAGCGATACTGAGTAGGTTGGAACCTGCTCAGCGCCTCAAGATCGTCCTCTTCGACCGCGCCTTTGGTCATCCTCCTCCTCCCCTCACCCTCCCTGCCCTCCACCCCTCCTGATCCCAACCCCCAGCTCGGGACCAAACCCTCGACTGTCCTGCGCCTTGGGACGTCCTCCCGACGTGAAAGGCGTTATACAAACGTAATGCGTTGTTACGTAGGAATAGGAGTAGGACATTCAGCCCCTCGAGCCTGTGCCGCCATTCTACTAGATCATGGTTGAACTGTACCTCAACTCCAAATCGTCTTCGCTGCTTTTAGCATCATTCAATATTCAGAACAAGTCAATATTCTCTTAAAAAGATGCACCTTCTCTTCCTTGCCCCGTCTGCTCTTGTACATTCTCCAGTTTCTTCCATCCCGACTGTAGGAAATCTTGTACGACTTCACGTAATAGTTATAGGAATTGTTCCCAGTGCCTGTGGTCACAATCCCTGCAGATACAGAGCACACATCGGTCTGGCTCAGTGACACTCAGGTATTTAATGTCCCGACATTGCTCTTGTGTTTGAGAAGCTTTGCCCCCTGACTCAGAAGGTTGTGGTTTCAAGCCCTGGGTCAGGTCACTTGAATCCACACAGGGGTCTTGGATGAGATGTTAAACCAAGATTCACAGCCTGCCAGGCTGACAATCCTTCTGATAAATTTAGTCCCTCAGGAGCTAACTTGAAATGGTTTCTCTGCCGCGGTTCCATTTCAATACACACACTGTTCTGTTGTTAAAAATGCTTTCTCCCCCATACCCTCAATTCTCCTCCTCTGTGCTATCCCCCCACCGCCCCCACACTAAGATAAGCAATTCCTGTAAAATTTCTTCCCATAAATGATGCTCTAAACATTGAGAAATGTGAACACAGACTCAGACTATTGCAGCATGAAAATGACTAATGGGATGTGAGAATGGGAGCCCTTTGACTCAGTCCCAGTGTAAAGTCACCCACACCCACACTGTCCTGTCACCAACCAGTGGCCAAAACTAGACTAACCCCTACCCCCACCCGGTGAAAATACACTAAAACTGTGGACTGTCGAGTTTAGGAGTTAGCGCACTAGCAAGCGAGAGAACCTGGGTTCGATTCTCAGCCAGGGCGAAACCTTAGGCAAGTTTCCTTGTTCCACGCACACACACAGACATACACACGCACGTCTCTGTTTACCTCGCAGTAACCTGGTTGTTAGCTGACTGGCGGGTCACTTTTCTGGGGGTAATAATCCCTCCAAAAAGATTTTAAATATAAAAAGCGAGGTGAGCGTTGAGGTGACTTTTGAAGACAGAGAGACGAGGCAGAGGAAGGGGGAGGAAGCTGCTAATAGGGACACGGCCACCAATGGTGGGGTGAAAGCGGGAACGCTTGAGGAAGGATGCCAACGGGGGCGGGGGGGAAAGAGAGGGAGCCCGCGAGTGAACCAGAGAGCAAGGCTGGGGAAAGGAACACACTGAAAGAGAGGGAGGGAGGGGCGATGGTGTGAAGGGATTCCCTAAAGGGTTGCACAAGGGATCGGATGTGAAGCTCAATCGCAGTTGTAGAGCCTCTTTGTACTCGTCAGCTGCTGGGAACTGTGAAGCATTGTAACCCTGGCTCTGTTCCTGACCTCGCACAGCGGAAAATACTGAGCAGCTACAGTAACCTCTCCCGCAATCAGGCTGGGTCTGATCGAGAGAATGCCAAAGGGAACGATATGACTTATAAAATCAAACAAGCCTGAATTCTGATTCACTTCCTATGTCTCGTCGCAATGATCTGTATTGGTGGTGGGGTGGTGGTGGGGGGGATGGAGAGGGAGGGGGTAGGGAATGGAGCTGGAGAGGTGTGTAAGAACACGAGCAGAATCAGAATCGAGTCTATGTTCAACAAGCCAGCGTTTCGATGGCGAAATCCCACAAACTATTTTGGGAGTGGGGTTCCCTCCAAGTTGCATTGACCTGCATCGGGTTCAGCGAGTTACTGGAGGGAGTTTGAGCTCGCATTGCTGAATGAGGCAATCTATTGGAAAGCCCTTGATGTGCAATCCAGGAGAATATTTCCTCTGGATTCCTTCTGTGACACGACTTCTTTGGCTTAAAGTTTCAGATTGCTGTGAATGGCGGAAGCTAACAACAACTTGAGTTCGTACAGCGCTCTTCACAAAGGATAGCGTCTCGGAGCCACTGAACGATGGCAGGGTTGGACGTCAAGCGAGAGGGAAGTGGGAGGTTACACTGAGGAGCCATCCACCTGCTCGGGTGGATGCTAAAGATCTCACGGAGGTATTTGAAAAGAGAAGGGAGTTTCAGTATATCCTGTGAGGGGCTTTGAGATGTCTCAAGAACATAAGGCGCTATATCAAATGCAAGGAGTATTATTAATATTAACAACTACAACAACTTGCGCTATATAGCGCCTTCCATGCAGGATAGCATCTCACGAGCGCTTCACCGGGGTGGAGCCCGAGTCCGAGCCGGGTGGAAGGGGTGGAAGTAGCCGTAAGCACGGTCGAAGAGGAAGGTTTTCGGGCGGGACTTGAAAAAAGGGGAGAGAGGGGGACAAGGCGGAGGGATTGAGGGAGAGAGTTCCAGAGCGTAGTGGCTGAAAGCGCGACCTCTGACGGTGGGCTGGAGGGACGAACGGAAGGCTGGTGCCAGTTGAGCATAGGCTGCCCTCTACCCTCCTTTATCTCAACTCCCTCCCCCCAGCTCGGGTCCAAATCCCTGACTGTCAAGCGCCTTGGGACATCCTCCTGACGTGAAAGGCGCTGTGTAAATTTTGTATTGTATCGAGGAAACAGGAGTCACTGACCTGTGACGTTCTTCCGTTCACCCAAGTCGATTTGGAGCCACTCCTTGCGGGAGGCTTTGCGAGCGGCCCAGGCTGGAGGATGCCCTTCGCTGCTGGTCCGAGCTCTGTCTGGAGACCAGACGACCAGACCCCCGGTACGGCCGGTGTCCCTCCACGACGATGAGGCGTTGAGATTGACAGCTTCCAGAGCCTCGTCGCAGTCTGTGGAAGAACCGAAGAAATGGTTGTTGCGGAGGGAGGTGGGACTCGATCTGTTCTGTGATAGGGAGCCCGTGGAGGCTGGCGAGGACTGGTGTGGTGGAAGTACGGAGTTTAGTGTGGGTGAAAATACGGGCAGCGGAGTTCTGAATCACAGATGGCGTGTGTGTGTGTGTGTGTGTGTGGTGGTGGGGGGTGGGGGGTGGGGGGGTGGGTGGGGAAGGAAGAGGGCTTGTTTTTTTTAAATGAACAGTATTTATCAAGTACGTCTCGAGCGATCTTCTGTTTGTTGGGCAGAATCGTCAATTTTGTTGTGGGTTTTGTTGACGTTACCTCTGCGAACGAGGATCCGTTTCTCGGAGAGAGCTCCCCTGCAAGACAAGCCAACGCGGGAAAAGATTAGTGGAAAAAAGGGGGGAAGGGGCGGCGGCGGGGGGGGTGTGGTGGGGGAAGGAAGCGGAGCAACAACATATTGCACTTATCTAGCGTCCCAGAAACGCTCGCGGAGGACTTCGTAATCTTCCACAGAGACGACGGGAGGGGAAGCATTAGCATTTTAAAACTTACATTCTAGTTAAGATCCCGTTGGCCAAAGCGGCTTCGTACAAAGTCACGCCTTTGAGCAGTGCGAGCGAGGTACGGCCTCCCACGCCGTCCGCGATGGCCCCAGCGTGAATGGCCGCCTTGCACAGGACTGACGTCTGCGGAGCGGAAAATGGACACCGCGTGAGCGCAGGTCTCCACGTCGAGCGACGGTCGCGAACGGGAGATTTCAAGGAACTCTCTCGGAATAAACTTCCCCCCCCCCCTGTACTCACATCGCGATAACCCGGCTGATTGTTTCCCCAGATCTCTCCACTGACGCCTTGACAGCCGGCCGGACAATACACACTGGGAGAGGGGACACAAGACGACAGAGTTATGGTACGACAAGAACAGCGAACCTCGCGCAAGTCGTGTCAAGTTGGGCGACCGTACATTTGATGCGGCTTCTGCAAAGTCCGAGTTACGTCAAGCTCGCGTAAGTCGGAGCAAAATTCAACGGGACTTGGGCAGCCGTAGGGCTGAGCGCGACGATACGATTTATACAGATCGGACGTACGCGAGGTTTACCGTGTAATGATCAGTGCAACCTGAAAAGATGTGCAAATAAAAAACAAACACCTGGAGCTTTGCACGACTGCTCAATCTGAGGGAACGAATGTGCGAGGCACCAATGTCACAGATGTTACTCACGTGAACCGTGGCTGGGAATAGTGAATGCCTTTATCCAGACAGGAAATCAGGTCTGTGCAGCGGAAACAATTTGCGCTTTATTATTATAATAATAATTTTTGTATTCGATATAGCACCTTATCATCATAACAACACTCCTCGCGTTCGATACAGCGCCTGCTAACCTCAGTGTCGCAAAGTTCTTTCACGGAGAATCGCTGTCAAGTGTAGTGACTGTGTACTCGATTGACAACAAATAATAATAATCCTGGCATTTGATATCGCGCCTTATCACGTCGATGAGACCTCTCAAAGCGCTTCACAGGATAAATTGTAAAGTGGAGTGACTGCGTAATTTTATGGGCGAAATGCGGCAGCCAATGATACACAGGGGTGTCCCATAAACAGTCGTGGATTGAGTGACCACTTTCTTTTTGGGGGAGTTGGGGGGAAGGGTGGAGTCCTGTAGCTCAGTGGTTAGAGCACTCGCTTTGCAAGTGAGAGACCTGAGTTCAATCCCAGGCAGAGGGCGAAACCTCGGGCAAGTTTCCTTACTCCACACAGAGCCTAATAATAATCCCTCCAAAACAAAAACAATAATAAATTGGTCATTTTCAATCTACGACTGTTTGTGGGACATCGCTGTGCGCAATTGGCTGCCGCGTTCGCCCACAAACATACAGTCAATTCAATTTACAGTGTGTTCTGTGAAGCGCTTTGGGACGTCCTCCCGACGTGAAAAGCGCTATATCAAATGCAAGGATTAATTAAGGGATCATTACCCCCAGGAAAGCAATGCGCCAATTGACTAACAACCAGGTTCCTACTTACTGCTAAGGTATATAGAGGTGTGTGGAGTAAGAGAAACTTGCCTATGGTTTCTCCCTGCCCTGGAATTGAATCCGGGGTCCTCATACTTGCGAGACGAGTGCTCTAACCACTACGCTACGAGACTCCAAAGGTTTCGGAGGCAGCTGTGCAAACGGAGGTGGCTGGGAATCTGGTGCTGACCACGAGCGCTTGCAGTTTGACTCAGGCTGTGACGCTGCACATGCGTGGGCGGGTTTGCAGGAAGCTGTGGACCGTGGTTTGTTGCTGCGAGCGGGCTGCACCGCTTCCTGAGGGAGTTTACTCCAAGGATTAATTAGTGTCACAGTCAGCCGTGGGGAGCGGTGCAAGAAGCGGGCGAGGTTCCTCAGGCCCTGTCGTCTGAGTGGTCGGTCTCGGAGTCAGAGATCCCCATCGAGTGGGACCCCTGCTCTGCAAGCAGAAATCCAGCCGGCGCTGGGTGGGAGAGTCGGACCGTTGTGTCTGCGCCGGTGCTCGCTCCCCCATTGGAACTCTCTATTCTAATCCCATTCCCCTGCGCTCTCGCACTCTCTCTCTCTCTCCATTCAGCGGGTTGGGTGGGTGGGTGGGTGGGTGGGTGGGTGGGGCGGGAGGGTTGGTGTGTACCTGGGTTGTTGTCCGTGGAGTACGAGAGCAGAAATCCTCTTCCTGAAATGTGAGTGACGCTCCTGAACTCCACAGTCACGTGGCTCGAGTTCAGCGTGAGTTCCCTTGGGGCCGTGTTAAAGTTCCCGCAGTAAGTACCTGCCGCAAGGTGAACGTACAGACAGACACTGCGCGTGAGGGCTCGGGACTCGGGACAAGTTGCATGTTTAGTAACGACAGCAACAACATCTTGCGTTTACGTTACAGCCTTCACGCAGCGTAGCATCTCGAACCCGCGAGTTAACGGGCGGACATTAAAGATCCCGTGACTCTCAGGGCTCAGTAGCTCCCGGTATCTCCTCGGTCCTCCGGTGCCTTACCGGTTTTACTAGCCACTTACCGGCCACTTTGTCCATCGACGGGGAAAAGATCTGCAGTGAGCTGGAGGCGCAGTGCTCCGTGTATTCGAGGTCCAGGTCACCCAACTTCACGATGATGTTGCTCCCGGACGACACGCGCAGCTCCCAGCGACACCGGGTGTGATTGGGGTACGTGCCCGGGTAGTTCTTGGAGGTTAGAGTCCCGCTGTGGGCGCCCAGGACTGTGTGCCCGCAACCGTCACCTGGGTCAAAGAGACGGACAAAAAACAGAGAGGTGAACGGTCAGGTTTATTGGTACCAGTTGTGCGACGCCAACCGGGCTCCACCAACCCCAACCTCTCGCCTCACGGTCAGAAGGTCACAAGTTGGTATCAGTGGGTTACTTCAAAAAATAAAAATAGTTTGGGCACTTCAGTCCACGACCGTTTGCGGGACGCTGCTGTGTGCAATTGGCTGCCGCACTTCGCCCACAAAATATACAGTCAAACCACTTTACGGCATATTCCGTGAAACGGTTTGAGACGCCTCGAAGACGCGATAAGGTGCGATATCGAATGCAAAGATTATTATTAACCTGTTTCAGGTCAGGAGGATGTCCTCCTCAGGTCAGGAGGGGGTCCTAAACCCCACAGGATTTACTTTAAGGTGTAGTGCCTGTGTACGTCGTGTTTGGTAAATCTGAGCTTCCGTCACTGCCCCCCAAACCCCCCCCCCAACCGCTCGTTCCCATTTCCTAAACACAGAACATCTTATCTCTGTCACGAGGCGCGCCTGACGTTAACTGGGCTTGAATGTTCTTTCAGATCTTCCTGTCAATAGCTCACGCGGTGAGAGTGAATTAATCTCAGGACTGACTGCGGACACAGGACGTGTAGTTCAGAAGCTTCAGGGCTGCACAACTCCCTCATTTACACTTTCAAACTAAGAAGCCTTGTTGAAAAAATAAGACTCGCAGTGATGTTGGCTTTAACACACACGGGTGGGGGAGGGGTGCGGGGGAGAGGGGAGTGGGGGGGAAAGACACTGGGATCCTTGTTAACACTGGACAAAGTGAGGCTTCGATATCGATGCAAATAAATTGCACAGTGAGCAAAGACCCATCTTCTAACACACGTCCGCTATATCGTATCTCAGGCTCACACGCTGAGAAATGGGTTCGAGCCCCCACATCGGGACATGGAACTCGTGTAGCCAAGGCTGCCCCCCACCCCCCCCAGGCTAAAGATCCCATTGGCATTACTCAGAGAGGGAAGTGAGTTTCTCTTCACCCCCCCACCGCCACCCTCCTCCGCCACTCCCCAGTGTCCTGGCCGACAAGTCCCCCCCCCCCCACCCCGGAAAACAAAAATCTATCGTTCACTTCATGGCTGTTTGCGGGATGTTGCTGTGCACAGATCAGTCTCTACACTGCCTTATATTGGCCGCCGCATTTCGCCCACAAAATATAGAGTCACTTCACTTTACAGTATATTCTGTGAAGCACTTTGAGACGTCTTGAAGACGCGATAAGGCGCTGCATTAAATCCAAGGATTATTATTATCATCGTCGTCGTAATTAAAGTTATTGCCTTTTCTTGTTGTTTCCCCCCCCACCCCCACCCCCACCCGAGTTACTATTGGCTGTGAGGCAGTTAAACACAGGAATCTCTCTGGTCTGACGCCCAGTGTCAGACTGACAGCTCCCACACAGTCTTCAGACTTTCCGACAGTTATTGCACCGTTAGCAAACTGCACCCGATGACAGGAGCCCTGCATTCCATCAGCCCAACTGGAAACAAAGGAAGAAGTGGCATTTTTATAGCCGCTTATCACATCAAAACATCTCAAAGAGCTTCACAGCTGATTAGCGCCGGGTCTAATTGCTATTTTATTAGGCCAACAAGGCCTGGCATTTTGCGCATCGCACACTACTCGAATAATACTACTACTAATAATATTATTAACGATAATGCGTGAGTTTGACCTTCTCACGACATTGAGACAAAGTGCTTCACTGACTATACTGTGAAGTGTATTTTGTGGGTGAAACACAGCCGCCACTTGCACACAGCAGTGGCCCACAAACAACCTACAGAGAGCGAGGGACCAATTTTATCGGGGGATTTGGGATCCTTCCCAAACCCAAATGTTTCAGGTCATTTGACTCAGACACCCAAAGGGTTTATAATAATCATCGTCCTTGCATTCGATACAGCGCCCTGTAACTTTGGAACATTGCTCAGGGCTTCATAGCGATTTATTGTTTAGTGTAGTGACTGTATTTACAGGCAAACAACAAATTACATGTGTGTAAACGCCTTTCACGTCGGGAGGACATCTCTCAAGACGCTGGACAGTCGGGGATTTTGGAGCCGAGCTGGGGGTTGGGGTCAGGAGGGGTGGAGGGCTGGGAGGGTGACCAAAGGCGCGGTCGAAGAGGAGACCTGCCCTCCAGTCAATTTGCACACAGTGACGTCCTGCCCACAGCCAGCGAGGTGGACGAGCCTGGTGTATTTGCACAGTTTGTACACAAACCGCCACTTAATTGCTCCGTCCGTTTACATTACAGAGTCACAAACCCTGGGAACTGCCGGACTGCGCTGGGCTGAGCAATGCATTGTGTTTAAGGAGCTCATTAATAGATGCCTCAGGGATGAGGTGGCGAGTTTGGTGGGGGTGGGGGAAACTCTCAGACTGTCTCCACCAGCGGCACATCTGTGCTCAGCCTCAGTGAATGGAATCTGGGTTTGGAACATAGTACGTGGCTACTTTAAACAAAAAAATATATATATATATATATACACGCTGGCTGGATCCTGCACTGACTGCGAACAGTAAACTTCTGGAACAGGTTCCCTGGGGAGACAGACGGTGGAAGCGGAAAATGTTGCTGGTTCTTCATGAAGCTGAGACGTCACAAAGCGCTTCGCAGGATACACCGTAAAGTGGATCGACTGTGTGTTTAACGGGTGAAACACGGAAGCCATTTGCGCGCAGCAGTGTCCCACAAACAGCCGTGGAGTGGATGAATAATTTTATGGGGGGGGGGGGGGGGGGCGGGGGGAACTGTTGGCCGTCAGATCCAACAGCCAGCACCTCCGACAATGCAGCTCGCCCTCAGTACCGCACTGGAGTGCCATCTTAGACTGTGTGGTTCCAAGTCCACTCACACACTCACTTATCCACAACCTTCTGACTCAAGAGGTGAGAGAGCTACCACTGCGCCTCGGAGTCAGGAGCGACCTGGCGCCATGTCAGCCATCGCGGCATTCACGTCGCGGGTCCAAACCGCCGCTGGACACAAAAGGTGCGAAAAGCCTCGCATTGCTGGGAGGAACGTGCTGGGAGTTCTCTGGTATCCGCTGTGTATTGCGTACCTCGGTCAAGGCAAAACCAGCGAAGACCGAGGTGCAAACCTGCCAGTTTTACTCCCACATTTAATAACAATCCTTGCATTTGACACAGCGCCTCATCACCCGGTCGCGACGTCTCAAAAGTGCTTCTTAGGACGCATCTCCCTCTTTCGGATCACAATTCCCGTGCGCGATTGGCTGCCGCAATTCGCCCACAAGATACGCGGTCAATTCATTTTACAGTATATTCTTCGAAAGTGCTTTGAGATGTCTCAAAGACGTGATAAGGCGCGATATCGTGGCTTGACGGATCGCTTCCCGGGGGGTGTTAATCCCTCCAAACAAGTAAATAAATTGGTCACTCAATCCACAAGTGTTTGTGGGTACACTGTGCGCAATCGGCTGCAGCATTTCACCAACAGTCGCTGCACTTTACAGCATATCCTTGAAGCGCTTTGAGGCGTCTCAACAATGCGATAAGACGCTGTGTCAAATGCAAGGATTATTATTATATACTGTAAGGTGGGATGACTGTGTATTTTGTGGGCGAAACGCAGCAGCCAAATTGTGCGCAGCAGAGCCCCGGAAACGGTGGTGGATTGAATGAGCAATTTTTTTTTGTGGCTGGAAATAAACTCTGCAAAAAAAAAACACTCATACAAGTTTACTCTCTTCTTCCCACCTCCGCCCAACACACTCATCCACATCCTCTCACACACACACAGACACACACACTCAGGCACAATCACTCACACACACAATCACACACAGACACACACACACAGGCACAATCACTCACTCACACACACACAGACACAATCACACACACACACTCAGGCACAATCACTCACACACACACACAGGCACATCACACACACTCGCACACACACACACAGACACAATCACACACACACACACACACACAGGCACAATCACACACATACACACACACACACACAATCACACACACTCACACACAATCACACTCACACACACAGGCACATCACACACATACACACACAGGCACAATCACACACAGACACACACACACATACACAATCACACACATACACACACACACACAAACACAATCACACACACTCACACACACACAGACACAATCACACACATACACACACACACACAAACACAATCACACACACTCACACACACACAGGCACAATCACACACACACACACTCACACACACACACAGACACAATCACACACATACACACACACACACAGGCACAATCACTCAACACACACAAGCACAATCACACACACACACACACACAATCACACACACTCACACACACACACACTCACACACACACAGGCATAATCACACACTCACTCACACACACCCCACACATTCCTGTCCCTCACACCCACTCACACTTCCTCAGCGAAGTTCCCCGTTAATTAACTGATCATTACACAGTCGTTGCGCCCTTTGAAAGACATCGAAGTACATCGTTTTTTCTCTCTCTCTCTCTTTTTTTCTACCCCAACCCCACCCCCCCCCCCACACCCCCCACCCCACACAACAACAACAACAGCCACTGAGAATTCCTTATGTACTATTAGATAGAGAGAGAGAGAGAGAGATGGGGAGAGGATGGGGATGGGGATGGGGGGGATAACGTTGTCTCCATCTCCCTTTAAACAGCCCCTCACCCTTCTCCAACCCCCCCCCAAAAAAACACACACTCAGACACTTAAATTGCAAAAAAAAAACACTTGACTTACCTTCCTGTGCCTGAGCTGCACTCCTGTGGACAGTTGGAGAGGTGGAAATAATGGCAAATAGCAGGAAAAGGTGGAATGGGGGGAGACACATTATGTCCCAATGTAAACCAAACCTCGATGCTCCCATCTCCTGCTCTGCCCTCTCCTGTCCCCAGTGAAATGGACCAGAAATTGTTCTGAGACTCACTCACTCACTCACTCACTCACTCCAATCATTGGTCTCCAGTCGAGATGTATGTTCATTTGTGGGCGGACTTCATCACTTTACCAACTTCAAAACTTTCAAGTAACTTCACACACACAGAGAGAGAGAGAGAGAGAGAGAGCGCTTCCAACTCACGACTCGACTCAGCTTAAAAGAAGAAAACACCACCTTGAGCAATCATACAGTCGTAGAGATTGCGCGTTCCCCTCTGGGTGTGTTTGTTGCGGAGTTCTGTAACGCGGTGGTTAGACCGTTCGCCTCGCGCGCGCGAGCGAGCGAGAGGACCCGGGTTCGATTCCCGGGCAGGGTGAAACCGTACCCGAGTTTCCTCACTCCACGCGCCTCTGTGTTACCCAGCAGCAAGTAGGAAATTAGTCGATTGGCTCATCGCTTTCCGGGCGTAACAACAATGCACATTTACGCAGCGCCTTTCGTATCGGGAGGGAGAACTTCTCAAAGTGCTTCACACAGGAAAGACTAAGGGCTAAGGATGATGTTGGGGAGAGTGAGCAAGGTGCTGGAGTCTGGCTTTGCTGGACAATGTTCATAGGCTGATTCTTGATGTTTGAACATCATCACTGCCCCTTTAGTAACGTTACTTAAACCCTTGATTCGCTTGTTATCTTGTAATCGCTTCTAACTGCCTCCCCGTTCCCACAGTGTTGCCAGAGTTGAAAGACTTGGCTTCATGAGTGAAGAACAGTCGCCACCTGCAGGAAAGACAACTGAATTCTTGTTTAAAGGGCCGACAGAGAACTTGGTTCATAAAGCAGGCATTGCTGTGTCAGTGACCCCGTTTAAAGATGAGCAGAAAGGGGTTTGCATTTAATACGGCGCTTATAGCATCTCAAAGCACTTCACAGTGTTTTATCAAATGTAGTAACTGGGTATTGGCAGGTGAAAGCAGAGGCCAATTTGCACACATCGCAGGCAGCCAACAAAGTAATTTTTATCGTTCCCGACCGGCCTTCCAAATTAAGACCGATGGCGAGAAATTTTCCTGAATTTTCCGCACAGTGTGAAATTGTAAGAGGAAATGGTTGATTGGGCTGAGACTGGGTGGAATTTGGGGCTGCGGAGGATCGCACCCAGTAACGTGAAATTGCACGGATGCGATTCTGTCCTGACGGCACCGTTCAGTCAACAACAACAGCAACAGCTTGCATTTATATCACGCAGGGTATTGTCCCAGAGCGCTTGATGCTGGTGTGAAACAGGGCCCAACCCATTCTATTACATTAGATGCAGGTGCTATGCAGCGCTGTCCATGGAAGGAATGGGTTAAACCGTAGCTTTAATATGCATGGGTTCAGCATGGTACGGAAACCTTGCCTCAGTGTCAATCAGTGCAGTGCAGCACTTGTGTACTTATGTGTTCGTCAGATAAAATCCGACTTTACGTAAGTCATAGCTGATAGGACTTATGCAAGTTTGCCGTAACTCATACTTTGCGTAAGTCTCACCGAATGTGTTGGTCCCAACTGATGTGACTTACGTGAGTTAGACTGCAATAACCTCCGCTGGGAACCTCAAGGTGCAGTTGCAGGTTGTTCCCACCCGAGGACACTGTGGCTCTTCTCGCAGTGAGCCAGAAAGTCTGAGTGGAATTAAACGAGTGATTTTTATCCCAGGGGATTGGGTGGCAGGGCTTTCCCTCCTCCTTTACGCTTAGCGCCGCGGGATCTTTAGCTCCCGCACAAACCGGGCAGCTCCTCGGTTCGTCCCAGCCGAAAGGCGGGCGCCTCCGACAATGCAGTGCTCCCTTCCTCTCCCCCCACCACCCCCCACCCTCACCACACCCCACACCCCACACCCAGCTCTGCACTGCCATGTGGATTAAAACCACAAGTTTCTGGATGCCAAGCAGTGCGTCAGCTTCTGCAGCACGCAATGGGCTAGTGCGGGTTTTTTTTTATTTGTAAGCTTTGAGGTTGCCTTGAAAGCGTTAAAAAAAAAATGCGGACATTTAATCCACGGCTGTTTGTGGGGACACCGCTGTGCGCAATTGGCTGCTGGTTTCGCCCACGAAATATACGCTTTACCGTATATTCTGTAAAACGCTTTGAGACGTCTCGACCACGTGATGAGGAGCCACATCAAATGCAAGGATTATTATTAATGTTATTATTATTCTGATCGTATCATTATCACTCCTGACGCCTCCGAGAGAACAAAAACACAGAAACCGCCGTCAAAGTGAATCCCCTGATTTTATTATTTCTGTTGTTCCGTTTAATCTTATTTAAACTGTTAGTTGAATTCCCGGGGAGAATCTTCACATATTCGACAGCTGCGAGAGAGAGAGAGAGAGAGAGAGAGCTAGCTAGAGAAGAAAGTATTAAAAAAAACCTTTCCCCCCCCCCCCACACCCAACTACCACCAAACAAAATCAGATAAGTTTCCAGAAGATAAGTTAGAAAAAAGAGAGAGAAATCACCAACATGAGTTAAAAAAAGGTATAAGAATTCGTCCGTTCTGTTTCCCATTCGAGAGTCAATGAAATAAATAGGTGTTGTGTTCGTTCCTCTGTTCCGCAACAACAACAACAACAACAACAACAAGATTTCATTTATAGAGTGCCTTTCACGTCGGGAGGACGTCCCAAATATCAGGACCTGTCCGTGCACCCTTCCCTCGGGTAAAGTTCTGTGCTGACAATGGCTGATGGGGAACAGGCGCGTGTGTAGCGTGTTTGTTGTATGTTCAGAGCACTCGCTCGTCCCTTGCTGGGGCTCGCTCACAAGCTCTCCGTCTCCTGTCAGATCTGCTGGGAGATCAGTGGGTGCGAGCAGGAGCCAACTGCAGAAAGACAGCACCTCACTCCCAGCCTCCAGCAGCGAGCAGAGTCCGGAGGCTAATACCAGAACAGGTCTTTGGCTTTGTCGTGGTGCTGCAGCCCTGGTCAGAGACAGAGAGAGAACGAGAGCGAGAGAGAGAGTGTCAGATAGATAGAGGTAGAGAAATAGAGATGGAGAGACTGAGAGAGATGGAGACAAATAGACAAACGAGAGAGAGAGAGAGAGCGCGAGAGAAATATACAGAGTGAGAGAAATAGAGAGATGCAGGTATACTTAGAGTTACATAGTGATAGAGAATGAGATAGGGAGTGAGATAGAGAGACAGACAGATAGTATAAATACAATCAAATGCAAGGATTATTAATTATTGTTATCATAGTTATGATGTAACCAGTTTTACTGTGACGATGCAGCCAGTGTTACCTGCATCGACGTTCAAGTTTAACATCTGTGTGACCTCCGCTGTGGGGAAGACCCCGGTCCAGGGTGTGGGGGTCTCTGAGCTGCCGAGGGCTGGCGGGAGGCGAGATGACCTGATGGCCGGGACGAGGAGCGAGCCATAGTGAGGGTCCAGGCTGGGGGTGACTGGGTAGAGTTCGTGCACTGTCCGAGGGTGGTGGTAGGAGGTGCTGTGCTGGGCGAGGGGTGGGTAGTGCCAGTGCTCCAGCGACTGGGGGGGCAGTGCCGGAGGGTACGTCTCGGAGCCCGGGGAACACAAGCCACCGGTGGCGGCGGTGGCCGAGCCTGGGGGGGGCTGGTAATTACTGTCCCAGAAGGAAGCCGGGAAGGTCCGCTGGGCGAGAGGCGACAAGGCTTCTGAAACAGAAAGGTACCAGAAAGAGCTGAGTGAGGACACAGGCAGATATAATGCGTTTGACGATGCATCTTGAGGACCCTCAGCCCTTTCCCCTCCCTCCCTCCCTCCCACCACCACCCCCCACTCCTGGGGACTTGTAATAATTCCTTCAAAAAAAATAAGAATGATAAATTACTTCAATCCACGACTCTTTGTGGGCGCAACTGTTTTGCCCGCAAAATGTACAGCCCGTTGAGACGTCTCGAAGACGCAATAAAGGCCATTATCAAACGTAAAGATTATTATTATTATCACATTATTATAATATTATTATTATTATAGTATTATTATTATTACCTGGCGATTGCTTGCTCTGTTTGCAATCTTTGCCCTCGGCCGTGTAGTTGTTCAGAGCGCGGGTAAAGTGTTCGTCCACCACGCTGCTGATGTCTCCGTTGAAGTACGTGAACAGGACGCACTTGGGGTTAATGTACTCCGCCTCGGGGCTCCCCTTCTCTCGCAGAGATTCCCCTTTGGCCGAGGACGAAGGGTGACCGAAGCCCACAGCGACCCCCTCCATCGCAGCTTCCTGCACCCGGGGGTAAAGCGGCAGAGTCTGTAAGAAACAGATGGCACCCACCGCCTGACGTTAGTGCGGTTACAGACGGGCACTGACCTCCAACCCCCCCCCCCACCACCACCACCACCACCACCACCATACTCCAGCCCTCCCTCCCCCTTCTCCCACACTCCCCCACCCTCTCCCCCCACATTCCCTCACCCCCTCCTCCCACACTCCCCCACCCCCCCAACACTTCCCCACCCCCCAACACTCCCCCACCCCCTCCCCCCATATTCCCCCCCCTCCCCCAACGCTCCCCCACCTCCTCCCCCTACACTCCCTCACCCCCTCCCCCCGCACTCCCTCACCTCCTCCCCCCGCACTCCCCCACCCCCTCCCCCCAAACCCCCCCACCCCCAGCTTTAAATACTTCGGTAAGATCAAAAGAATCTTACGAAGCACAGATTGCACACAGTCTCCTGAGACGAAAGACTCCGTATATCAAACACAAGGATAATTATTACTTTTTCGGTGTGTTTTCCTGATGAATTCTACTTTGGCTTTCCACCGACTGAAAAATTCATTCTAATATCAAATGCAAGGATATTTATCATCATCATTATTATTATAATTCCGTTAATCTCCGTCCCACACTAATGGAAAAATCTGAGTTAATGAAGAAGATTAGGAATACCGTACACAGTTATTCGTTATAAGCTTCTGACTCTTTAGGGAGAAATTCTGCCCAGGTGTAGATTTTAACACCGTTTTACACTATTTACGTCGTAGTTCAGCAAATTGGTGAACTCGGTCTCAATTTAGAAGTTGTTTTATTTCCCGCAGCTCTGAAAAGAAACTTCCAGAAAAACAACGGCTTCAAATTCCAGCCTCCGTCTAAGAATTTGCCGAATTCCGGACGTTAATTTCTTGCTGAGAAAATAGAATGAATGAAAGTAAGAGCTGTGATTTTGTTACGATGTCAATTTCGATATCTGAGGCATTAAAAATCAGCGCACTTGATAGCTACTGTATGAAAGTAATAATAATCCTTGGATTCGATATCGCACCTTATCATGTCTTCGAGACGTCTCAAAGAGCTTCACAGAATATACCGTAAAGCGAATTGACTGTATTTTCTGAGCGAAACGCAGCAGCCAATTGCGCACAGCAGCGTCCCACAAACAGTCATGGATTGAGTGACCAAATTATTATTAATTTGGAGTCCTGTATCTCAGTGGTTAGAGCACTCGCTTTGCAAGCGAGAGACCTGGGTTCAGTTCCAGGCAGAGGGTGAAACCTTGGGCAAGTTTCCTTACGCCACACAGAGCCTAATAATAATCCCTCCAAAACCAAAACAATAATAAATTGGTCATTTTCAATCTACGACTGTTTGTGGGAACACCGCTGTGCACAATTGGCTGCCGCGTTCGCCCTCAAATATACGGTCAATTCACTTTACAGCATATTCTGTGAAGCGCTTTGAGACGTCGAGAAGACGTGAAAAGCGCTATATCAAATGCAACGATTATTATTATTAATATTATTTTTTAAAGGGATTATTACCCCCGGAATCGCGATCCGCCAATCGACTAACAACTGGGAGTAACTGGGACTAACAACTGGGCGTGTGGAGTAAGGAAACTTGCCTAAGGTTTCTCTCTGTCTGGGAATCGAACCCGGGTCCTCTCCCTTGTGAGGCGAGTGTTCTAACCACTGAGCTACAGGACGCCGGGTGCTACCGGAGTTAACGCAGAAGCTGTTTGCACTGATCGAAAAAGCAGGAATGAGGAATGAATGATGTGCTCACTTCACTGTACAAGAGAAGGACTGACCTGGGAAGCATTAGACATTCAAATTACAAAGTTTAATTACAAAGCGAAACAGATTTCTCGGTTCAGCCCATGTTGATTGCTGTCTCCAGACGAGCAAACAAACAAACCGATCAACATTTCCCCCCAATGTTGCTCGAAACGAGAAGATCAAAGTCAGTCAAAGTTAATATGAAACGTTTTAACCCATAAGAAAACAAACCAAAAGAGATTAAATATTTCACCGATATTAAAGGCTGCTGATCGATGACATACCAGGAGTCCTTCAGGAGTTTGTGGAACAAAATAAAAACAATTTGTGCATAGATACTCCAGTTGGCTTTATTTCTGTTTAACGCAGATTAAACAGAAACTTTGCTTCGCCCACAACATTTGCAGACAATTCACTTGACAGTCTATACTGTGAAGCTCTTTGAGACGTCTCGAAGACGTGATAAGGTGCAATATCAAATGCAAGGGTTACCGTGCATTATACCAAATCTAAAAGAGACGTAGGTGTGTGTGTTTTGGGGAATTTCACTGCGCTAGAAAAACACAAAATGGCAAAAACAAATCGCTGGGAATACAAGGAGAACAGAGGTGGCTGCACAGTAGGACGAAAGGCATTTACGAGGTTTAGTCTTACCAGTAAAACGAGCAACAGTTTCTGAGAATAGAATTTAATCCAATAAAATCGTGTGCAAGTTTCCCTGCAACCCTCCCTCCCCCATCCCCAATATAAAAATAAACAGTTAAAAAACAAACCCACAAATTAGCAAGAACACAAGTGCCAAGTGATGACCGGTGCCTACCTGCGGGTATTGAGTTGTGAAGGCTGAGGCGCTTGTGAAATAAGGGTGATGAGCTCCATACATGTGAAACATCACATCCAAACAGGTCATGGCGCTAAAGACATGGGCAGAGGTGGCCGGCAGCGCAAGGCTCTGATCCAACCATCTCCTTCCTACCTCTCCTGCGAGAGAGAAACTCTTCTTGAATTGTCCAGCCCTAGTTACTGAGAGGCAGCGAGAAAGAGAGAGAGAGAGAGAGAGAGTGAGCGAAGCAAACGGATCCTCTCTTGGGGATACAATGAGTGACAGCAAAAGATGTCTGTCTGTCTGGGCAACTGAGCAAGGTTCCCAAACACGCACATCACAGGACACTAGTCACACCACAGCCCCTCCCAGGATGAAAAGCATCTCAAAGGAACTACCTCCACTATCCCCCCAACCCCCTCCGCCCCTCTCTCCTCCTCTCCTCAAACCAATCGCCTTTCACACACCTAGTATTTAACGATTAATCCTCAACGTTATTAAACCCCCCCCCCACCCCCGAATTGCAGATCGAAGATATAACAATAATACTTGCATTTGATATAGCACCTCATCACGTCGTGGAGAAGCGCCTGGAAAATAGAAAGAACGTGGGTCAGGGAAGTGAGGGGCGAATAGATAGATTAATAGTTTAAATACTTTTGGGGATTTGGGATTTGATAGCTGTTGAACTGAGAGATGTTAAAAAAAATAATAATTTTTTTTATTTCTTTAAATTGGAAAATGTTCTTTATCTGCGCTTTTTAAATCCCCCCCAAAATATTTCGAAGTTGTGTTAAAGATCATCGTTGTGAACCAGTACGGTTATTCCTTTCTAGCAAATCATTTTCCTAACTGGATGGTTCAGTGGTTTCAAAGAAAAGTGAATTATTCTGTGTTTTTCTTTAAAAATCTAATCAGGTCACATTTTTTTTTGAAAAATATCTTTCTTTTTAAATGAAGAAAACACGAATAATTATTTTTCGGTCACATCAGTTTCATTTAAGAAACGTTTTAAGAGATAAATTAAACTTTGTTTCACTGAAACAAAATAATAGCTTACAAATCGACACCCTGTCATTTAATTTAAGGTCAAAATCGCTTGCTGTGTGCGCAGGGGGTGGGGGGGGGTGGGAGAAAGAGACACCTGAATTAACAGCTAAAAACGTTTCAGTTATTTTTAGTTAATGGCAAGCAAGATTTAAAACAAAAATAAAAGTTGCTTCTCATCTTAAATAACTGCACAATTCATTTGCACTATTTCAGGACAAAGTCTGAGTTACAGGAGATATATATAGATTCTTGGAAAACAGCTGTTTTTTTGGAAGGAGAACTGACACACACTTATAAATACAGCAGCTCGTTTCATGCAGTGATGTAATGACAAGCTGGTTTAAACCTCGCTGCAAATCCTCGCAGCGTCTCCCAGTCACCTCCGTCTGGTTAGTTACCAGCTGACCAGCGCGGCAGTTTCAGCGTACAACCACAACCACAACAACCACCACCGCCGCAACACAACAACAGCTTGCACGTACGCAGCGCCTTTCACGTCGGAAAAGGACGTCCCAAGGCGCCGGACGGCTAAGGGTTTGCACCTGAGCTGGAGGTGTGGAGATTGGGTTTGTGGCTGTGCCAAGAGGTGTGTAGGTTCAAGACACTCCGGGTAGAAAGGGGCCTCGAGAGAAACTCCCATGCGTTTTCCTATGGCATTGCGGGATTATGCAGAACGGACGTGCAATGGCCAATTTGCGCACAGCGACGTCCCACAAACAGCCACAAAGTGAACAAATGATTTTACTTTGGGGTGGAGGGGGCGCAGCGGGGTGGGGTGGGTGGTGTGGGGGGGTGGGGGGGAGTTGTCGGCCAAGACACCAGGCAGAGAGAAACTCCCTTCTCTTTTCGCAATGCGTGGAATCCTGGGAATGCCGTTCGAGCTATTTATCAAACCACCTGTTTGTAAACCTCCCAACAAAACGGCCAAACAACGGCAGAACCCGTGTCCTCTGGTTTGCTAACTTCTCACACGCCATCTCATTAGAAGCCGAGGCATTTTAAGTAGCGGCTTTCTCGTTGTGATTGAAGGCAGGCTCGGAGGTATCCCAGCGATGTGCGGAATTGCAGCTGATTGGAATAAATTCCGTGCCCATTTTCACCCCGAACACCCTGCCCGCCCCTGTGATCCCGTCGGGCCTCCCGGCTTGTTCCTACGGCGCAAAGCATCAATGTTAGGACACCCGTCAACGGTTAGAGAAGCATTTCACCCCACATTTGCTCGTGCAGTAATCGTACATTATCCATCGGATATCACGCCTAGAACGTCGAAACATCTCAAAGCGGGTCACAGGGGATTGCTGTCAAGTGTAGTGACTGCGTTTTTATTAGGCGAACCCTGCAGCCAATTTGCACGCAGCTGGTGAGGTGAATGGCCAATTTATAATAGGAATAATAACAATAATAATCCTGGCATTTGACATAGCGCCTTATCAATTCTTCAAGGCGTCTCGAAGAAGGTTATCAACCGGAAAGCTCAGGAGAGTCACTAACTAACGGGAACACCTCAGGAAGTGATTCCCGGGGCAAGGAGCCAAGGGGTGCAACGGCATCCGTGGCAAACATGTGTCGACAAACCTGAAGACACGGGTGAGAGGTTCTGACAGTCAGCTGCTGACAGTAGATCACACGACGAGTGTTTGTGGAGATGTAGTGACAGTTGCAACGACAGTGGACGTATTAAATGCTCCAGCCCACAGATAGTGCCCACGACAGCTGCCTCCAGTCATTTGTCCTCTCTCCCCGGCAATCAATGTTTCGACAAGGACCGAGTATCAGACAGCTAGACACAAAGTGACCAAACTAGGAAAGAAACTGCGACGGTGATTGCTTTGCCAAGTGGGGCAGACAATAAGAGGTAGACATGAGGACATGACATGTGCATGGGGCTGCCTGGGAGGTAAACCGGACTGGACTAGATGGACCTCAGTCTTCTTTCGTCCAGCGACTCTTAAGTTCTGGTGCTCTAAAACGCGCCTGTGTAAAAATAAACTAGATCCCTGATCGAAAATAAATGAGTCAACTGTATGGGGACGGTCCTTTGGCTGGTCGGAGGTTTGGAGTCCATCTGTTTGTATTTAGGAATTACAGGAGTGGAATTTGCTTTTAAGGAAAAGATGGAAGGGAACTCTACCTCCTTTACCTCACTGACGTGTCTCAAAGCTTCCCAGATTAATTCATGCCAAATGCAGTGCTGTGCATTTGGAGGCATAACCGGTAGTCAGCCAATTTGCATTGGCCCATAAACAACAACAACAATAACTTGCACTGATATAGCGCCTCTCATGCAGGGTAGCATTCCAGAGAGCTTGCAAACGTGAGATGTTTTTGTTATTATTTATGTTGGAGAATTGTTGGTCAGGACATCAGGTAAAACTCCCATCTAATTTCCATTTAGAGCTCTGGGACCATCAAACTGGACCTTGGTCTATCATTTCAGTTTAGCCTAAGAATTTTATAGCAATAATAATAATCCTTGCATTTGATATAGCGCCTCATCACCTCTTCGAGACGTCTCAAAGCGCTTCGCAGAATATACCGTAAAGTGAATTGACTGTAATATTTTGTGGGCGAAACCTGGCAGCCAATTGCACACAAAAGGGTCCCGCAAACAGTCGTGGATTGAAGTGATCAGATTATTAAATGTCATAAGCACCAGAGAGCAAGCAGCCTCCATAGATAGGATTCACCACCCATTACAGTGCGTCCGTCTAAGTGAGGTCAACATCCATTTGTAGCTCAGGTTCCTGTTGCCAGTTCCTCAGCACCTGCCTCTCGATGTGACAGCACCATTGGTGTCCCACATCATCCAGTCATGTGCCCGAGACCTGGTGACCCGGAGGCCGGAGAGTAAACTTAGTAACTTGTCCTGTAACTCTAGTCGAGTCGTGTTGGTGGGACAGCTGGGGAGAGATCACAAGGACACGATGCAAGCCAGCTCTGTGGGTAGGTTTGACGACAGAGATAGGCAACGTGGGCAGCTTGAATCATGTGCCTTTGATTTATAGCGGCAATTCATACTGTAACTCAGCCTGGTTCAGTCAATAGCACTCTGGCCTGGGAGACAGAAGCATTGCGGCTTCGAGTTTTCATCAGGACTTTGAGTTTACAATCTAAGACCACTTTGCATTACGCACCTCAAGTCCAGTAAACCACACCCACCGCCCCCCACCCCACACTCCCCCCCTCAACGGCTTTTAATTATCTAATCCCATCCGTCTTTCTGATTACCCTTTGGAACTTCATCCCACAGTCCCTTCGCCTCCCTCCCTCCCTCCCTCCCTCGCCTCCTTCAAGGCCCATCTCAAGACCCTCCACTTCGACCGGACCTTTGATCACCCTCCTACCCCTACCCTTCCTGCCCTCCACCCCTCCTGATCCTAGCTCTCCAATCCCTGACTGCCCAGCACCTTGGGACGTCCTCCCAACGTGAAAGGAGCTATACAAATTTGTTGTTGTTGTTGTTGTCTGGCCGCCTGCCCCCTTCACAGCCATAGTAGATATGGAGCAAATTCACGGGACTGGGAGTGTGTGTGTGAGTGTGTGGTTTAACGGCTCTGTGACCCACATCTACATAGCAGTCCACAAACTCAATGTCAGGAACGGGTTAAATCAAATATTTTATCGGTGACGCTGGTTATTTTAAGGAGGCACCAAGAAAAAATCAATTATCTCATCTGGTGTGGAATGACCCGAGTCTATATATGTATGAAACCCTCAGCACATTGTTGCTGGGGAAATGGAGCTGCAGCCTAGACTCGGTCACCTCTACTAAACCACCGCAACGGATATTGGGCGATATGGGCCGCACAGTCACTGCACTTTGCCGTGAGTCCCGTGGAACCCTTCAAGACGACCTCCAATGTGCAAGGCATTATGTCAGATGGCCATCACTTCATTTAATTCTCTGTTACCCTTACTCCTCTGGTGTTTACCGAGCAGTAAGTCGGAACCCGGTTGTTAGTCAATTGGCGGATCGGATGGGACACCTTAGCCAATGGTACTATTCACTTTCATCGGGTGGGGGGTGGCGGGAGGGGGCAAAGGGTGGAGGAGGGAGGGGGGAGAGGATCTCCGGATAGTGTTCAGGAGCAGGAATTGTGCCAGTCTCAGGGGGTGCAGCGCTCAACATCTCACACGAAGCCTCTGACAAGGCCACGCTCCCCCCGGCGCCGCACTGGAGCATCAGCCTAGATTGTGAGCCCCAAAGTCCCCGATATGTGGGCTCGAACCCACCGTTGTTTCTCACCACCGACATGAATGGGAGAGCCTCCGAAACATCCCG